GCTCTCCCCCCCGTATTTTTATCATCCTTTATAGCACTCTGTAACTCTTTAAATTCCGGCAGTGTCTCTGTTCTTTTCTGTGGCAGGGAGTCGGACCGTGATGCCACACAGGAAGGCCAAGAGGATGCTGACGTGGCATGGGTGGATGATGACATGGCGGATTTCATCGTCAGCAGGGTGGAGGGAGAGGGGAGCGGGGATTTAGGAGAGGAAGAGGAGGAGGAGGAGGATGAGGGGGAGGAGGAGGGAGAGGAAGATGAGAGGGAAGAGAGTGGGGAGGAAGATGATGAAATCGAGGAAGTGGAGGATGACGACGAGGAGGAGAGAGAGGGAGAAGGGGAGGGCAGTGCGGGGAGGCGTGGAGGGCCTATGGTGACGGAGAGGAGCATGCAGCACATTTACCGGTGAGTTGGGGCCCTTAGCTTGGCGTGAAGTGGCTGATTGGTGCAGGGATGAAGTTGTTGCTTTTTTCGTCGCATCCTCTTACATTCTTTCGCTCTCTTTCATCTGAATCACTCACTTCTCCTCCTCATGCCCCTGCAACACTCGTTTCTCTCCAACCCCTCCCCATTTCTCCCCCCCCTCCCCAACACCCCCCCGCCCCACCTCCCTGCCCCTCATGCCTCTCCACCAGGGCGTCACTGCTGAGCCAGCTACCCATGGACCACTTCCCCCCACCACCACGACGCCGAAAGCACAAACATTCCAGAACGACCGACCACGTGCAGCCAGCAGATCATCTGAAGCCCACTGCACAGCCCAGCAGCAACAGAGGCACAGCCACACCCTTTGACTGCCATGCCCCAGCCTCAGCAGCCATCCCAGCCTCTTCTCCCCACTCCTCTAACACCTCCTCTCCCCATTCCCTCAGTGCCTCTCCCCACCCGACCCCCAGTCCCCCATCCCCTCGCCGCTCTCTCCTGCCGCAATTTGCCTCGTCCCCTCTTGGACTTGCCACCCGCAACGCCAACAAGATGCGATTCCTGCCGCCCAGAAGAGATTCTGTGCTGCCCAGCACACACTCGATGCCGGCCAGTGCGGATGGTGCTGTGGCCCGTAATCATTCTCTGCCGCCCATTGCGCCATCCAGTTCACACTCTATGCAGCCCGGGTGGCATGAAGCAGATGCGAGGGAGGGAATGGTGGGCGGCAGCGAGCTGGCAGAAGGGAGGAGCGGGCATGCCATGCAGCATCCCAACTCCAATACACGTGACAATAGCAAGGGTGAATGCGAAGGTGACAATGATGAGGCTGTTCGTCGATGTGGCACTAACACGCGGGAGCTTGGATGTGATAGAAACGAGGGTGAGCGTGCATGTGAGGGTGAAGAGGAGGATATATTCGAGGGGATCGATCTGGATGCTCTGGAAGCAGAGGCATGGGCGAGCAGAAGCAGAGCTGGAGGGGGAGGAGGCGTGAGTGGGGTAGGAGGAGGAGGAGGAAGAGATGGAAGGATGAGTGAGTGTGCAGCAACTTCTTCTTCAGCAGCAGGGCCTTCCTCCCAACACTCGCCACTAGCAGCAGCAGCAGCAGCAGCAGCAGCTGGTGCTGGTGCTTGTGCCTCCCCAGCATTCCCAGCCAACCCTGCACGTGCTCCTGCCTGTTTTCCAACACCAACACCCGCCGCCTCCTCCGCACAACCCTGCTCAGCGCTCCCTGGTGCATCACACACACCTACCCCCGGAACAACTCCCTCCCATCCAGTTGCTACCTCGGCAAAACAGGGAGCTCAGACCAAGGACGGTTGGCCTAAGGCGGGTTTTTGCAATGATTGCATTGAAACTGTTGATGATTTCCAGTGCTTCGGTGTGGATGAGGTGTTTGGGGGCATTGATCTTGATGCTTTGGAGGCGGAAGCGTTGCAGAAGAGCCAGCACAAGAAGCAGCGGGCTTCAGTTTTTGAGGAGCCTGAGAATGAGGTGTTTGGGGGCATTGATCTCGATGCGTTGGAGGAGGAAGCGTTGCAGCAGAGCCAGCGCAAGAAGCAGTGGGTGGCGGCGAGTGAGGGGATGGTGAAGGGGAGGGAAGTGGTGGTGGAGGGGGGTGTTGGGGCTGGAGTGGAAGGCAAATCGTCATTGTCCCCGCAGTGGTGTGCTTGGTGATTGTTTCGCAGTTACGTCCTTGGTGTACATTCTTTTATTTCATTATTGTTGTTGACTTGGTGTTCCGCAAACTCATGTGCCGTTATTGCAGTAGTCTAATGTGGATATTCGCATGTCGAGCATGTTTGTGACCACGAGCAACATATGGCACAGTACGTTTTGAGGCGTGAAAGGCTGCAGCAGCAGGTTTTGTCCATTACCACATTAGGGAGCGTATATTGGTGAGATCAGTACACCTAGATTTATATTGGTGGGAGCGTATATTGCACATAAACGTGTACGATAACAGGTTGGTCAACATCCCTTTTTTCCTTGTGGGCCGCAATGCGGAACTCATTACCGCGAATGGTCCATGAGGCTTTTGGAACCGCGTTTTTCGACATGCATCCCGTTTTGCGTTGGAGCAGGATCCCCAACGAGAGTCTGTTTTCCCTAGGCCGCCACCATAGTCAACACTACGAAAATTAGGTGACTGGTGTGATCAGTCGAAGTAGTTCGATTGCCTGGTTTGGCATTTAGGCGCGTGCTTCGTCTCCGATCAAGAAGGCCTCCTTGTTTGTCCAATCGCTGTGTTGTTCTTACGGCCGCATTAGCAGTGTCGGCGGTTGCTGCATCTCCCTTGGCTGTACACGTGGCAGGCAGATCGCAAATGGAGGAATCGCCTGGACCGAACGACGCTGAAGCGTCGGGGAGTTGTAACGGCGGAAATGCGGCGGAAAGGAATCCTGAGATATCTCAAAACGCGTCAGGCGGTGACAGTATCGGAGGAGAAGAAGCGGTAACGAGGTTTACAGGAGTTCGGAACGCACCAGGGGGTAGTGGGGGAGAGGATGCGGAGGAATCAAGGTCTACGCCAGGGGGAAATGGGGAAGAGGAGGCGGGGCAATGGAAGGAGAAAGCGCTTAGTCTTGAAAAGGCAGTGGCGGTGCTGGAAGCGAGGGTGGCGGAGCTTGAGAGGGCTTTGGAGAAGGAGCGGAAGGAGCGCGCGGCGGAGCGGAAAGGGCGGATCCGCGCGGAGCAGCAGCTGCGCAGCCGCCTCCTCGCCCCAGCCGCCGTTGGGCCCTCGTCGCCTGTGCGCGCGCACGGCGCGCTCGCTGCTGAATTGCCTCAGGAAGGCGGCTCGCACGGCGATGCACGTGACGGCGGGCATAGCGATGGGCATGGTGACGGCAATAGCGTTACAGAAAGTGACGCTAGAGACCAATCAGAGGGCTGTGACGTGGCAGTGACTCAGCATGGGCGTCAGTCTACAGGCGAACAGCACGGGAAGCATCACGAGCAGCATCACGGGCAGGAGCGTGTTGGGCTCACCACGTATCCTATGACTCCCATTGGCGTTATCCGCTCCTGCTTCTCCGCCAGGTGGGTGGATTGACACTCACATGCTGCTCTAGGCTACTACTTCACATGGCCGTGAATCTGCTCTTCTCCTCTCTCTTCTCCTCCTCCTCCTCCCCTCTCACCCTCTCCCATGCCTCTCCCATCGGTGTTATCCGCTCCTGCTTCTCCGCCAGGTGCGTACGCTGCCACTCACATGTCCTGCTTCTCCGACAGGTGCGTACGCTGCCACTCACATGTCCTGCTTCTCTGCCAGGTGCGTACGCTGCCACTCACATGTCCTGCTTCTCTGCCAGGTGCGTACGCTGCCACTCACATGTCCTGCTTCTCCGACAGGTGCGTACGCTGCCACTCACATGTCCGGTGGCACTCAGAGGCCGAGTTGGAGAATTTTATCTTCTCTTCTCCTCTCACCCTCTCGCCCTCTCCCATGCGTCTCCTGTTGGCGTTATCCGCTCCTGCTTCTCCTGCTCCTCCACCGCTCTGCACGACATACAGGAACGGCACGCCACGTCAGCCGCTGCTGGTGCCAGCGGCGTGGGCCTATCTGGAGCTGCCACGTGGAGGGGTGGCGCCAGCAGCGCTACAGGGATTGGAGGGGTACTCGCACTGCTGGCTGCTCTACGTGTTCCATGCCAACACGGACATTCAGCGTCTCTGGTCCGACCCCCACCATCGCAAGTTCCGTGCCAAGGTGAGGATATAGGGTTTCAGGGTTTCGGGTTTAGGGTGAGATGGTGTCTGGATGGGGAGATTGGATTGGAGGGATACTCGCACTGCTGGGTGCTCTACGTGGTCCATGCCAACACGGACATTCAAAGGCTCTGGTCCGACCCCCACCATCGAGCATTCCGTGCCAAGGTGTGTGCATGTGACATATGGGTTTTGGAAGTGTCGAGGTTGTTGGGAGGGTGGGAGGAAGAATGGCGAGGTGGGGTTGGGTTGGAGGGGTACTCTTCGCACTGCTGGTTGCTCTACGTGTTCCATGCCAACACTGACATTCAAAGGCTCTGGTCCAACCCGTTACTTCGCAAGTTCCGTGCCAAGGTGCATGTCAGATGAGGGTTGGTGGAAGATTTCAGGGTTCAGGGGTTGAGGCTTAGGGATTGGGCTGGAGGGGCTCTCGCACTGCTGGCTGCTCTGCCATCCCTTATCAGGTGGCCTTTCGTGCTGCCACTCCGTGCAGGTCCGACCTTTGAGGCGCCTAAAAAAAAAAGAGACGATTTTTGAGGTGCCTCAAAAGAAGAGACGATTTTTGAGGCGCCTCAAAAAAAGAGACGATTTTTGAGGCGCCTAAAAAAAAGAGACGATTTTTGAGGCGCCTCAAAAAAAGAGACGATTTTTGAGGCGCCTCAAAAAAAGAGACGATTTTTTAGGCGCCTCAAAAAAAGAGACGATTTTTGAGGCGCCTCAAAAAAAGAGGGGCTCTCGCACTGCTGGCTGCTCTGCCATCACTTATCAGGAGGCCTTACGTGCTGCCACTCCGTGCAGGTCCGACCGAGTGCCTGCCCATCAGGTTTCATTCATCTCAATGCCATCACCTGTCGAGTGCTCATACTTGATACCACTCCATGCAGGTCCGAGTGCCGAGGCTGCAGGGCGGCAAGCTGGGAGCACTGGCGACGCGCACACCGCACCGGCCGGTGCCCATCGGGCTGAGCATCGCAAAGGTGGAGCGCGTGGAGGGGCGGCGCGTGCTGTTGTCAGGCGCTGACCTAGTCGATGGCACGGTGAGTGTCTGCACATTACTGATTACCGGCCGGTTCTTGAGAACTGTGAAACACCACCTTATTAATTGCTCTGACCGGGGCCCATCGGGCTGAGCATCGCCAGGGTGGAGCGTGTGGAGGGGCGGCGCGTGCTCCTGTCTGGTGCTGACCTAGTGGATGGCACTGTGAGTGGCTCTGTAATGGCGACCAGTTGGATGTTATGGGAGATGTCAAACACCACCTTACTTACTACTGGTACTGGTCGCACCAGCCGTTGCCCATCGGGCTGAGCATCGCCAGGGTGGAGTGTGTGGAGGGGCGGCCGGTATTTCTGTCAGGCGCTGACTTGGTCGATGGCACGGTGAGTGGTAATGTGAAAATCTGGTTCTGTAGAGCTATCAAACACCGCCATACTGGTTGCACTGGAGTGCCCATCGGGCTGAGCATTGCCAGGGTGGAGCGCGTGGAGGGGCGACGCGTGGTGCTGTCAGGTGCTGACTTGGTGGATGGCACTGTGAGTGGCTGTATTGATTTCTGGCTGGCTTTTTAGAGTTAACCAGGTGAGCATCGCCAGGGTGGAGAGTGTGGAGGGGCGACAGGTACTGCTGTCGGGAGCTGACCTGGTAGTGGCACAGTGAGTGTGGCTGTCCTAACCTAATCTGCAGTTGGCTGTAATTATAATTTAGCCATTGCCAGCATACTGATACGCCGGGTCCCATCGATCGGGCTGAGCATTGCCAGGGTGGAGAGTGTGGAGGGGCGGCGGTTACTACTATCCGGAGCTGACTTTGTTGATGGCACGGTGAGTGGCTGTAATGGTTAGAAAATAATGTGATTTTTCTTGTGTGGGTACATGAAATGGCCTATGATTTCAGGCTGTTTCTTAGAAATTTTACAAGCGTGCGTGCCTCGCTTGCGCGGAAATTTCCGCCCTCTTCGTCATTCCCCTTCCTTACCCCTCCATTCTACCTCTCACTCTCTCTCTCTCTCTCTCTCACCCCACGCCACAGCCTTTGTTGGACATCAAGCCTTATCTGCCCTACTCAGACGCTGTGCCATCTGCCACACTCGCAGGAGCATACCCCTCAATCACGTTCCCTTCGTCTTCCCCCACACACGCCACAGCCTGTATTGGACATCAAACCTTATTTGCCCTACTCGGACGCCTTGCCATCTGCCACAGTGCCACAATGGGTGGAGGTGAGTCGACATGGGTACACGTGATGTGGGTATCGTACTGTGTGTCATTATTCCCTCCCTCACTTTCACTTTCACTTTCTGATCTGGTTCTTGCAACCATTTCTATCTCAATATTCTTAGGCATCAATGAGTGAATTGCATGCTTGACTTTCTGTTGTGTACCTGTATGTATGCACGCGCACATAACACCCATCCTACACTTCCTCTCGTCCGTTCACATTCCCCCTCGTTCTCCCCACCAGCCATCAGGAGAGGGCAATGGCATGCACATGGCATGGCATTGGTCACCTTTCATCCTGCCGTCCCCACCCACTTCCCTCTCCCCTTCACATTCTCTCCCATTTTCCCCATTCTCCCCCCCCCCCCCACTTCCCCCCATCCTTCCACACCAGCCATCAGGAGAGGGCGATGGCATGCACATGGCGTCAGTCACCTTCCATCCCGCCGTCGCCACACAGCTTCAGGATGCATGGTCGTCGCAGGTGCGCCTTGTTGCACACTCACTCTAGGGCCGGCTTTCTTTATTAGGCGCCCCAGATCACTTCTGCCACCCAGCCGTCGCCACACAGCTTCAGGATGCATGGTCGTCGCAGGTGCGCCTTGTTGCACACTCACTCTAGGGCCGGCTTTCTTTATTAGGCGCCCCAGATCACTTCTGCCACCCAGCCGTCGCCACACAGCTTCAGGATGCATGGTCGTCGCAGGTGCGCTTTGTTACGCACTTATTGTTCTGGCTTAAAAAAAAACGTCTAGTTTCAGAGGTGCCTCAGACCCAAGTTGACCTCCCGGGCGTGTTTAAGCATTCAAAATCACCCTGGAGGCTGGGACACCTGTTTCCCCTTTCTCCAGAAATACACTAGCTCGCCCAAAACTCACGGCCAAAACACTAGCTCGCTATACTCACTCTGCCTTCCTTTCCCCACCTTTTCCTCTCTCCCTTGCTTTCAATCACTCCTCCTCTCCCCTTCCCCTCCTGCCCCTTCTCGTCCCCTCCCTCCAGAGCCACCGCTCGTTATACTCACTCCCTGACGACCTGCAGGAGCTGTGCCGGCAAGTGCTGACGCGAGACATTCGCTCTTCTTCCCATCAGAAGTCAAGACTGGATCTCCCTAGCACAGGAATGAGTTCACATTCTTCTGGGCATGGCATCACAAATTCAGAGCATGAAAGCACCCATTCCGAGCCCACTCTAACGTCCAAACTCGAGCTACCTAGCATGCCAGCAGGGGCTGAGAGAGCAGTACTTACTGCACCTTGTAACGCAGTGTTTCATGATGCGGCAGGAGTGACGTCAGTTTCAAGCTACGGCCCCTCAGGGGATGTGCATGGCGAAGTTAACCTGGTAGGAGGGCCTGATTCTGCAAGCCTAGTGTACCATGTAGTTCTGGATGGAGTAGATTTCAGTTACGTTGTTTTGGACGGCAACCATGTTGTAGTAGAGGGAGCACGACCTGCGCGTTGAAATTAGTACCTTGTGTTGATCTTGTGTGAGTGTCATGTACGCACCGAGTTTTAGTTGACTCTGCATAGCGGACCATCAACATCTGTGTGTGAAGGGGGGTGAGTAATGCGAAGCGGGAGCCCACAAATGCAGTACCAAAATACCAAAAAGTTCCTAAGTGCTTGTATTGCATCCTGACTGTCGTGCTCGATACTATTTAAAGCGCATACAGATCTTCCACAAGGTACAGTCCGGTGTTTGTTACATACCATGCGTTTAAACGCGATGTGAATGGGGTTTGTGTGCAATCTGCAACTAACCCCGCTGCCTTCGGCAGCACTTGGATTTGCGTCGCGAGAGTCGCCGATTCGCCGCCGAAAAAACCGAGTCTGTAGAAATCCATGTTCTTTCGTGTCGTCCATGCTTAAAGCTGCGGTCTACATACCTCAAGCGGGAGGCAAAGGTTTATCACTTGAGAACAGGGTAACACTGTCCCCAAAAGTACCCCTTTGCGGAGAAACGAAAGTCGAGGCGGAAGGAGGGAGGGGGGTGGCGGGTGAGCCGAAACAAGTTCGCCAGATTAGAACTTGACCCGCATGATGGTTTGTAGACCAAAACTGGTCCGACGATGGTTTTGCCATAGATCACTCCATAGACCCCTAGTGATTCCAGAGATTATAGTCGCCACAAAATGAAACCTCCTTCTGGTACCTACACCTCGATCGCAATAGCGATTTAGGCCGCATCGGCCGCGGATTACCAGCGTAGTCGAACACACCGTCGCGTTCTGCCCTTACTCGTTGCCAAATAGCTGAGCGCCGCCTCGCCTAACAATCACTGTTAGGAAAACATGTCGCCCAGTCACGGTGGTTCACCTCCTCGCCTCATATATTTTCGCCTCATCGCCTTCGATTAGCTGGTCTCGTCGCCGGATATCTGCTCGCCATATCGCCTCGTTCTCCTCTCCACTGAGCCGCAAGCTTTACCGTCGTCCTCTCTCTTTCCAAGTAGCGCTCCCACCAAGCTCATGTTCCTGCATTTCACTGTTACGGTCCACTCCTCATATCGCTTTCTACCACTGTGGTACTAAAAGGTGACAAACGAAATTGTATTCACCGGGCGCGAGACGCGATTCAGTATAAGAGAATACGTAACACAAACTGAAGTCTGCAGCGAGGAGGTGTGAGCCGCGGACGGGAATGGGTTGCGATATCGCGCGAGTGGCGGTGGGGTGTGTGCCGCGTTTACGTGCGGGGCGCGCGCTCGGAGCTGCCGCGATCACGTGAGGCGAGCGGCATGGTGTGAGCAGCGACGCGGTTTGGCGATGCGGACGGGAATGAGCACCGACGACGCGGAGGGAAGAGGGGGATGGGAGCGAGAATTTGCGTCGGGGTAAGCCTCGACATGCGAGGGTTGTCGGATGCGAGCAGGTGCGGGGGGACAGCAAGCGCGCAAAGGCGGGGGGTTAGCATGCGAGCAGGCGCGGAAGAATGGCAAGCGAGCAGAGGCGGGAGAAAGGCATGCGAGCAGGCGTGGGGGGTTATCATGCGAGCAGGCGCGGGGGGGGGGGCACGTGAGCAGGCGCGGGGGGTTAGCATGCGAGCAGAGGCGGGAGAAAGGCATGCGAGCAGGCGCGGTGAGTTAGCATGCGAGCAGGCGCGGGGGGTTAGCATGCGAGCAGGCGCGGGGGGTTAGCACGTGAGCAGGCGCGGGGGGGTTAGCATGCGAGCAGGCGCGGGGGGTTAGCATACGAGCAGGCGCGGGGGGTTAGCATGCGAGCAGGCGCGGGGGGTTAGCATGCGAGCAGGCGCGGGGGGGTTAGCATGCGAGCAGGCGCGGGGGGTTAGCACGTGAGCAGGCGCGGGGGGTTAGCATGCGAGCAGGCGCGGGGGGTTAGCATGCGAGCAGGCGCGGGGGGTTAGCATGCGAGCAGGCGCGGGGGGTTAGCATACGAGCAGGCGCGGTGAGTTAGCATGCGAGCAGGCGCGGTGAGTTAGCACGTGAGCAGGCGCGGGGGGTTAGCATGCGAGCAGGCGCGGGGGGTTAGCACGTGAGCAGGCGCGGGGGGTTAGCATGCGAGCAGGCGCGGGGGGTTAGCATACAAGCAGGCGCGGGGGGTTAGCATGCGAGCAGGCGCGGGGGGTTAGCATGCGAGCAGGCGCGGGGGGTTAGCATGCGAGCAGGCGCGGGGGGTTAGCATGCGAGCAGGCGCGGGGGGTTAGCACGTGAGCAGGCGCGGGGGGTTAGCATGCGAGCAGGCGCGGGGGGTTAGCATACGAGCAGGCGCGGGGGGTTAGCATGCGAGCAGGCGCGGGGGGTTAGCATACGAGCAGGCGCGGGGGGTTAGCATGCGAGCAGGCGCGGTGAGTTAGCACGTGAGCAGGCGCGGGGGGTTAGCATGCGAGCAGGCGCGGGGGGTTAGCACGTGAGCAGGCGCGGGGGGTTAGCATGCGAGCAGGCGCGGGGGGTTAGCATGCGAGCAGGCGCAGGGGGTTAGCATTCGAGCAGGCGCGGGGGGTTAGCACGTGAGCAGGCGCGGGGGGTTAGCATGCGAGCAGGCGCGGGGGTTAGCATGCGAGCAGGCGCGGGGTGTTAGCATGCGAGCAGGCGCGGGGGGTTAGCACGTGAGCAGGCGCGGGGGGTTAGCATGCGAGCAGGCGCGGGGGGTTAGCATGCGAGCAGGCGCGGGGGGTTAGCACGTGAGCAGGCGCGGGGGGTTAGCATGCGAGCAGGCGGGGGGGGTTAGCATGCGAGCAGGCGCGGGGGGTTAGCATGCGAGCAGCATCCCCACGCGCGCCCTCATGCTGTCAGCCTATGTGAAGCTGGCAGTGCGCTCGCCCCCCGACGATGTGCTGCACGGCAAGCTCATGGCCATCTTCACTCGGTCCATGGCTCCGTTGGCTTGACCGGGAGGGTGGGTGGGGGAGTGGGTGGGTGGGTGGGTGGGGGGGGGGGGTGACTTTTGAGGCGCCTCAAAAGAAGCTCATGGCTATCTTCATTGGGAACATGGCTGGCTTGGACCGGGGGGGGGGGAAGGGGGGGGCAGGGGGTGGGTGGGTGGTGGGTGGGTGGTGTTGCGATGCCACTTGAATTAAGTCAGGCCCGCCTGCACTGCAAGTGCATGGCCGTTTTCACTCCATGGGTTGTCAGGGTGCGGGATTGGGTGGGTGAGGGAATGGGGAAGTGCGAGTGAGCAGCACGTAGGTGCCCACCTTTTTATTCCCTCCTTCTCTCTGCAGCTTCGAAGGCAGTGTGGATGCAGAGGTGCAGTGTGACTGCAGAGGTGCGGTGTGACTGCAGAGGTGCGGTGTGACTGCAGAGGTGCGGTGTGACTGCAGAGGTGTGGTGTGACTGCAGAGGTGCAGTGTGACTGCAGAGGTGCAGTGTGACTGCAGAGGTGCGGTGTGACTGCAGAGGTGCGGTGTGACTGCAGAGGTGTGGTGTGACTGCAGAGGTGCAGTGTGGTGCAGAGGTGCAGTGTGACTGCAGAGGTGCGGTGTGACTGCAGAGGTGCAGTGTGACTGCAGAGGTGCGGTGTGACTGCAGAGGTGCGGTGTGACTGCAGAGGTGCAGTGTGACTGCAGAGGTGCAGTGTGACTGCAGAGGTGCGGTGTAACTGCAGAGGTGCGGTGTGACTGCAGAGGTGCAGTGTGACTGCAGAGGTGCAGTGTGACTGCAGAGGTGCGGTGTAACTGCAGAGGTGCAGTGTGGTGCAGGGGCGGCCCTGCCATGGCCGACATCGTTGCTCACATGACCAAGTTCCCCCAACGCGTGGTGGGGGAAGGTGGGGGGAGGTGGGGGAGGTGAAGAGTGTTGTGAGGAGAAGGGAGGGCTGTGGGAGTGTGCATGAATGGGATGCAGGGGCGGCCCTGCCATGGCTCACATGCCCTGCCATGGCTCACATGCCCTGCCATGGCTCACATGCCCTGCCATGGCTCTCTCTTCCCTCCCTGCTCTCTCTTCCCTCCCTGCTCTCTCTTCCCTCCCTGCTCTCTCTTCCCTCCCTGCTCTCTCTTCCCTCCCTGTTCTCTTCCGTGGTGCAGCTCATGAGGCATGAAGCAACCAAGCAGACAAGTTAGTGCGATTTAGGCTAGTGTGATGTGGGCCCTTGCCGTACCATAACATCGCATATACCAATTACCCTAATCAGTTTGAGGTTCTATATATTCAATAATGATAGCATTTGTCATGTGTTGGGTAACTGTATGGTTCATCATTTGCAACACTGGTGGTGGGTGTGGAGAAGATTTATGTATTATATGGTAAATAACCTGAGTTACAAGACGGCCTTTGTCCACTCGTATTGTCGCCTCCGCACACATGTCGGCTGATTAGCTCCTGCTGAGTGGTGAGAGCCCATGTGGAGCTCATGTTGCTGCAGTCACCCCAGCTGCATCAGCAAGTCGGAGGCCCATGCAGGAGGGAAGGAGGGGTGGATGAGTGGCGTGTGTGGTGGCAGGTCGAATAGAGAGTGCCATGTCGCGTGTGGTGCCATGTCGCCCTATGGCGCGTGTGGTTGCAGGGCGCTCCTCTACATGGCGCCCCGCTGCCCTGCTGCAGCCTGCACAGCACACTTAGCCGAGGACGCGGGGAAAAGAGGAGAGTGGCAGAGCAATAGCCTGGGCATAAGGAAAGCAAAGGGAAAGGAAGGGGAAAAGAAGGGGAAAAAGAAGGGGAACAGGTTGCAAGGGCCAATATTCGTCAGGTGTAGGAAATGGGGCGAAGGGAAACAGGAGGAAGAAAAACGGAGATAAGGGAAGCAGGGGGAAGGGAAATGGGGGAAGGGTAATGAGGGGAAGGGAAATGGGGGAGAGGGAAATGGGGGTAAGGGAAACGGGGGGAAGGGAAATGGGGGGACGGGAAAAAGGGGGGATGGGAAGTGGGGGGAAGGGAAGCTGGGGGAAGGGAAACGGGGGGATGGAGGGAGAGAGGAGGACAGGGGGGAGAGAGGAGGACAGGGGGGAGAGAGGAGGACAGGGAGGAGAGAGGAGGACAGGGGGGAGAGAGGAGGACAGGGGGGAGAGAGGAGGACAGGGGGGAGAGAGGAGGACAGGGGGGAGAGAGGAGGACAGGGGGGAGAGAGGAGGACAGGGGGGAGAGAGGAGGACAGGGGGGAGAGAGTCTGCGTCTCGCACCCACGCTGCTGCCACGGGAGTAATGCAGACTCAATCACAACGCCCGCACTCACCACTACCGGAGGGCGGCGAGGCAGGGCTCGGAGGGATGGCGCATGAATGGGCGCATCTCGCGCACCTCCTCAAACGTGCAGATGGCAGTTCCGTGGCGGTGACCACGCTGCAGAAGCAGGTGGCGGAAGGGGGGAGCGGGGAAATCAAAGGGAAGAAGTGGGGAAATGGGGAAGAAAAGGGTGAAATGAGGGGAAGGAGGAATGGGAATGAGGGCATGGAGGGGGAAAAAGGGGGGAAGGAGCGGGGGACATGAGGGGAAGAAGGGGGACAGGGACGGGAGGAGCTGGAATGAGCTGAGGGAGGGCTTAGGGTGAGAGCGCTATGGAGAAGGATGAGAGGGGAGAGGAAAGGACGAGAGCGGGGAGGAAAGGACGAGAGCGGGGAGGAAAGGACGAGAGCAGGGAGGAAAGGACGAGAGCGGGGAGGAAAGGACGAGAGCGGGGAGGAAAGGACGAGAGCGGGGAGGAAAGGACGAGAGCGGGGAGGAAAGGATGGGAGCGGGGAGGAAAGGATGGGAGCGGGGAGGAAAGGATGGGAGCGGGGATGAAAGGATGGGAGCGGGGAGGAAAGGATGGGAGCGGGGATGAAAGGATGGGAGCGGGGATGAAAGGATGGGAGCGGGGATGAAAGCGGGGAGGAAAGGATGGGTGCGGGGAGGAGAGGCAGTGAGAGGAGAGGCAGTGAGAGGAGAGGAGAGGAGAGGAGAGGAGAGGAGAGGAGATGCTTGAGATGTCTCAAAACCCGCGCAGCCAGAGGGGACGCCAAGGGAAGGGACTTGAATGAAGCGAGGGGGGGGATGGGGAAAGGTATGCGTGTGAATGAGTACAACCGTCTACCGCACGCAGCATTCCCCCGCGCGGCGCAGCATTCCCCCGCACGGCGCAGCATTCCCCCGCACGGCGCAGCATTCCCCCGCGCGGCGCAGCATTCCCCCGCGCGGCGCTGCCCCGCGTGGTCCTCCTAGGCGCGCAGAGTTCACCCCCCTCTGCCCTCACCCCCCACGCGCTCCTCGTCACTCTCGCCCCTCACCTGATCGAGAAATCCGTCAGTCTTCGGCGCGCCGCCCGACGAGCTGCTGCTCGTCAATCGACGCTGCCCGTCAATTGGCGCGCAGCATTCACTCCGCCCCCCCTCTCCGCCGTTCGTCATTCTGACCGAGCGTCATTCTCTCTTATCAAGAATGGCGTCGCCGTCCTCGGCGCGCAGCGGGGTAACCAGCAGGCTGGCGACGAGCAGCAGCCGCAGCAGCGGGAGCGCGAGCGCGAGGAGCGCGGGAAGGCGAGCGGCACTCATTTCGTCGCCTGGACGAGTCGACGCTCGCACGTCGCGGAAAGCTGCGGAGAGCGTAAACGGACAGACGGTTTGGTATGGAGGGAGGAGCAGAGGCGGAAGTGAGCGGGAACGATTCGTAACGATATATACTGAACGAGAAGCAGCTATATATCAGTATGGCGCTCCTTCTGCTACCGTCGTTGGAAGTAGGGAGCTCACGCTGGAGACACTTCCCCTGTAACACATCAGCCTGCGCGCCTTGTCGACACTGCACCTTCGAAACCTGCTGTGCTCTGTTCGCCACAGTCGCCTAGTTTATTTAGCGCGGATCGTGCTGGTTTAGGCTTGCATGTGTGTGATGATAGGTTAGTAAGTAGGTCCTAGTCGAGGGGGTCGATGTGAAAATAGACGTTTAGAACTTGGTGTGTCAGGTTACGCGCTGCTGTTCCTTCCCCTCCGCCCTTTCTTCCCCCTCTTCCAACCTTCTCCGCCATTCCTTCCCCCAACCCAACCCTCTCACGAAATGTGGTTGGGCTCGCCACCCTTGTTCTGGTTCATCGCACTGGTGATTGAGAAAAGCATTCACTTCGCAATCCAATGAACACACGCCAAAGGGTTAGCACTCAAAATACCCCCCAAAACCCCTCGAAGTATGTAGACCGCAGCTTTAACTGCCGTCGGATTAGGTCGTTTTGCATATTTTCATCATCTCAAGCCAATCCAAGGGTTTGCCAGCAAAAGGTGGTACGCCAGCTACTCCCAATAAAATCCGCAAACCTAAATTCGATTGGCGGAGCATCGATCAGCTCAATGGGAGGAGCGCAGCGCAGGAATGGAGGAGCAACTCCCAAGAAAATTTGCGAATTATCCTTCAAGAAGGATGAGAACTCGAGTCCAAGCAGCTGTTTCCCAGATTTCATCAGAGCTTAGAAGTCGCAGTCTTTGTCAACAGCTGCGATTCTATCCGAAGCCATGTCGATCGGCAACGCTGCAGCCGTCGCGGTTAGTAGTGCCTACTCCGAGGGTGCTGCAAGATTTGCTCTCTCTCGTCGGAAACTTAGACCCGCATTGATTGGATGGCCCACCAAGAGCGCGATTCGGACAGGTAGTAGATAATGTTCTCGGTTAACGATTCCCATTCACCTTGCACAATAAAATTATGTAAAATCGTCAGTTTATTCTTAACGTCTGATTCCCGCACAGTCTGATTCTCCTGTATTGATTATAGATTTTTTTCTCTTTCTAATCCTTCCAACATTCCCGGCTCAGGTAGACGTGGCGTATCACCTGCTGTACCTGTGTTTTGCTCCGCGAACCACCACACCGGCCCGTCCACGTCAGCACCTAACACGTCAGCGCCTTCCACGTCAGCATCAGCCATGACCCCTGACAGCGGGGAAGCGACGTCGTTCCGACAGATGAGTCCGGAGGAGCACTGGTGGTGGGGTACCCCCGAATACCTGATGGGTAACTGGCACGGCCAATGGCGATCGTGGAAGCCGATGCAATCAACGGACGAGATCAGATCCATGAAATCCGTGCGCAAATTCTGGGCCACGTCACCCGATCTCACCAGCTTCGCCCACATGGTGATTCAAACTACTCCCCGCCCCTCCCCACCCTACCCTCCCCTCCCCTCCCCTCCCCTTCCAGTCCCCTCCCCTCCTCTCCCCTCCTTTTCCCTCCCCTCCCCCCTACTCCATTCCCCTCCCCTTCCCCTCCCCTCCCCTCTCCCCCCCTCCCCTCTCCCCTCTCTTCCCCTGCCATCCCGCCTCCGGCCGCTCTCAGAACGACTGTTACGACTGCCAGGGCGACGCTTCACCGCAGGCGACCAATATGGGCGGGCAGTGGGACATGTCGCTCGCACAGCACAGCCTACCGTTTCAGTAGACTCATAAGTCACCCTCACACCTCACGCCCTCCCTTCCCCTCCCATTTCTCAGAACGACTGGTACGACCGCCAAGGCGACGTTTCCCCACAGGCCACCAACGTGGGCGTGCAGTGGGACATGTCGCTCGCACAGCACAGCCTCCCAGACGGCTTCTGCCACGTGGCATCCAGCAACGCGCGCCGCTACACCGTCAGCAGGAAGGCGGACGGGATCTGGGCAGCTCTGGAGGTGTCAGATGGGGCGGGCGGCATCAAGCTGCCATTCTTAGTCGAGTTCTTCTTCTCCCACAGTGAGTGCTCCTTGCTGCCTGGCACTGTCCTGTCTTTTGCCGCCGTGTTATCTATTGGCCACAGTGAGCGTTATCTGTTGACAACAACGGGCCACATTGTCGGAGTTGATTTATGAAAATGACCGACTATTCTGGCATGGCAGCTCATCAGGGACAAAGAGTTCCAAAAAAAAAGATATGATTTCTTATTCATCTCGTAAAACGTGAGTGTGTTCATTCATTCTGATGGATAGATTCTCCCCATTCACAGTCTCGTCTGCTTCCTCTTCCCTCCAGCCCCCACGTCTCGTCTTGGCACCATGGTTGGATTCGAGTCCGACGGAGCATTCCGGGTATCAGTGGTGGTGGAGGAGTCACTAGATACCAATGAACGCCGCCCTGCGGACTGGGTCTGGCCCACGTGGGGCCCGAGCGGCGTCCCGTCCCATCTACCCGACCACCTGCCGCCCGTTCCGGCACTAGATGACAAGACAATGACAGGAACCCGCACCATTCTGACTCGCAACCTGATGGTTCAGGAGCGGGAGAACGTGTCCTGGGCAGAGGAATGGAGCCCTAACAGCGCTGCCGCTGCTGCTGCCATTGCAGCAGCAGCAGCAGCAGCAGGAGGAAATAATGGTGAAGCAGCCTCAGCTGGAGGAGCTGCACCAGAAGCAACAGCAGCAGCGGCAGCGGCTGGGTTCATGGGGCGAGTGCCAGAGGGCGATGAGGAGCGGTATGCGGTGTTTGCTCTGCCCCACGGGGTGGTGGTGTGCGCCCCGCGCTCGCTACAGCTGGTGGCAGGGAGGCCGTTTGTGCTGTCGGTGTCGTGGGTGGTGGGGGAGGTGGGCGAGGGGGGTGTGGGTGCAGGGGAGGTGAAGCGGATCACTGCCTCTTGGGGGGCTGATGGAGGCTTTGAGAAAGTGGAAGGCGAGTGGTACAGGAGACAGGCGTAAAGCAGCAGCGGCAGCAGCAGCGGCGGCGGCGGCGGCGGCGGCGGCTGGGTTTATGCGCCTTGCCACGAGGGCTGATGGGGGCTTTGAGAAAGCGAAGGGGGAGTGGTACAGGAGACAGGCGTGAGGGGAAGCATTGGTGCGAAGGAGGGTATCATAACATGCAGGAAGGGTTCTGTTTCTTGTGCGGCTCTTGGGGGCTTTGAGCGGGCTGAAGTGTAATGATAGTGCGGTAGTGTGCTGGTGCGGTAGTGTGGTAGTGCGGTAGTGTGGTAGTGCGGTAGTGTGGTAGTGCGGTAGTGGGCTGGTGCAGTAGTGTGGTAGTGTGGTGGTGCGGTAGTGTGCTGGTGCAGTAGTGTGGTAGTGTGGCACAAGAGACAGGGGCGAAGGCATGGGAGAGAGAGGAGAGTGCATCCCTGTCGCCGGCTCACTGCGGCTAGCATTGATGGGAGAGAGATGGATGGGTCTGGCTGGTAATGCAAGGTTGTAAGATTGTACTGTACATTCGGTGTGAATGGACCCTTTCCCCTCCTCCCCCTCTCCCCCTCTCCCCTTCCCCCCCTCTCCCCCTCTCTCCCCCTCTCCCCCTCTCCCCCTCTCCGCTTTTCCTCTTCTCCCCCGCTCCCCATCTCCCCCTCTCCCCCTCTCGCACTCCCCCTCTCCGCCCTGTCCCGTCTCTTCCCCCTCACCCTCTCTCCCCCTCCCCATCTCTCGACCTTCCTTCCCCTCTCTCCAGAGCCACCGCTCGTGATACTCACACCGTGATGAGCTGCAGGAGCTGTGCCGGCTAGTGCTGGCGCAAGACATTCTGTCCTTTTTCCATCAAAACCCAGGACTGGATCTGGATCCTTCCAGCACAGCGGTGATGATGCGTTCTCAGCCTGGCATCACACACATTGCGTCGACTCAGAGGTCTGAACTTGAGCTTTCTAGTGCAGCAAAGGGGACGAAGAGTGAAGTTACTGTACCTTGTAGTGGAGTGGTTCATAATGCAGCAGAAGTGGCTCCAGTAACCAGTTCTAATGAATGATGGCTTAGAGGTTGTGCATGGAGAAGTTAAACCCCTGGGGGGTTCTGCATTGGAAGGTGCAGTGTAGCAAGTGGTATTGGATGGAATATATTTCAATTACTGTACATTGTTCTGGACAGCATCCATGTTCTATTTGATGGAGCAAGATCTGCTCCGTGAATTTAAAGCCCGAGTTCTACATGGCAATTTTCAAGTTCAAGATTCCTGAATATGAATTCGCAAAAAACCATGTTACCACCCGAAGTGGAGGATATCCGTCGCGATCCAGAGGGGAGGTTTTGCGACGTTGTTCCATGATTGGCTAGCGACAAAACCAGTCACACCGAGTAAAGGGTCGGAGGGCAATGGAGCACTGTTCACTTTCAGTAAACTTGAAAACCATGTTGTACTAAATGGCAGGCATATTGACAGCCTACGTTTACTTAGTTCACCCGTTTTTCACGCCCAAACTTTCTCCGTATCACTCCTTTTCTCCGTAGCAGCTGTATCAGTACAGCAGCCTATTTGGTGACAAATACGAACAGCCAATCATAAAACCAGTCGGAGATGTCCCATTTATACAATAACTAGAGAGCTCACATGCGTGTGCGGTGCGCACCCAACCGGATATAGTTACTCGCGCGACGCCAACACGTGCCTGCACGTCACAATTCCATCCACCCCCCCGGCGTCTAACCCGGGTTGCGCATCTAGACGGTCGCACGGTCGAGGGTCAAGTATATCCCTTCCGACTGTTGCTCTCCCTTCCGCCGTCGCTCTCCCTTCCGCCCGTCGCCCTTCTTTCCCCCTCGTCGCCCTGCCTTCCGTCCGTCGCCCACCCTTGTTCCCGTCGCCCTCCCTTCCCGTCGCCCTCCCTTCCCGTCGCCCTCCCTTCCCGTCGCCCTCCCTTCCCGTCGCCCGCACTTCTTCCCGTCGCCCTCCCTTCCCGTCGCCTTCCCTTCCCGTCGCCCGCGCTTCTTCCCGTCGCCCTCCCTTCCCGTCGCCCTCCCTTCCCGTCGCCCTCCCTTCCCGCCGCCCTCCCTTCCCGTCGCCCTCGCTTTCCCCGTCGCCCTGCCATCCACTCCCCGTCGCCCTCGCCTTCCCTCCCGTCTCCCTTCCCATCTCGCACACTTGTCACCCTCCCTTTTCTCTCCCTACTCCCTCTTTTCCCTCCCTCCAATAATCGCCTTCCTTCCCCCAACTTATACCCCTTCCCTGCTTCCCCCCATCCCCTGCCCTGCTTCCCCCCATCCTCTTCATTCTTTCCCCGTATCCCCAGCCCTGCTTCCCCCCATCCCCTTCCCTGCTTCCCCCCATCTCCTTCCCTTCTTCCCCCCATCTCCGTCCCTGCTTCCCCCCATCCCCCTCCCTGCTTCCCCCCATACCCCTTCCCTGCTTCCCCCCATCCCCTTCCCTGCTTCCCCCCATCCCCTTCCCTGCTTCCCCCCATCCCCTTCCCTGCTCCCCCCCATCTCCATCCCTGCTTCCCCCCATACCCCTCCCTGCTTCCCCCCATCCCCCTCTCTGCTTCCCCCATACCCCTCCCTGCTTCCCCCCATCCCCCTCTCTGCTTCCCCCCATACCCCTCCCTGCTTCCCCCCATCCCCCTCTCTGCTTCCCCCCATACCCCTCCCTGCTTCCCCCCATCCCCTTCCCTGTTCCCCCCCATCCCCTTCCCTGCTCCCCCCCATTCCCTTCCCTGCTTCCCTCATCCCCTGCCCTGCTTCCCCATGTCCCCTGCCCTGCTTCCCCCAATCCCCTTCCCTGCTTCCCCCCATCTCCTTCCCTTCTTCCCCCCATCTCCGTCCCTGCTTCCCCCCATCCCCCTCCCTGCTTCCCCCCACACCCCTCCCTGCTTCCCCCCATCCCCCTCTCTGCTTCCCCCCATACCCCTCCCTGCTTCCCCCCATCCCCTTCCCTGTTCCCCCCCATCCCCTTCCCTGCTTCCCCCCCATCCCCCTCCCTGCTTCCCCCCATCCCCTTCCCTGTTCCCCCCCATCCTCTTCCCTGCTTCCCCCCATCCCCTTCCCTGCTCCCCCCCATAATCTCTGCCCAGGTGTCCTTCCTATTCATTCTGTTCCGCCCACCCTCTCCCATTCCGTTCTGCCGCCATCTCTCATTCTTCCCACCCTCTCTCTCCCTCCTCCCGCACTCTCTCTCTCCTCGCACCCGCACTATCTCTCTCCTTCCTCCCGCACTCTCACAATCCTTCCCACCACCCTCAGCCCTCCTTCCCCCCCCCCTCTGCCATGTTCCCACCTGCCCTGCCCTCCCTATCCCTGCCTTTCCCTCCCTGCCCTGCGCTTCCTTTCCCCATCCCTTCTCAACCCTTTCCTTCCTTTTCATGCCTTCCCCTTCCCCCTCACTACTCACCTACCACTCTCTAGTTCCCATGCATGTGGACCCATCACTGTCTCCCCGTACACGCTTTCATCATGTGCCGTTGCTGTTGCCGTTGGTCCCTTGCACCTCACACCACCTCCCCCATGTTCCTTCACACAATTCTTTCTGCCTTCTCCATTCCCCTATTTTCAGTGGTGAAGCAAAGGAGCAACAATTGCTAGCTGAGGCGCAGCTAGTCGATGCTTTACACCGTGACACCACCTGTTACGTGTCTGTTGTATGCGCGCATCGTACTGTATTACTGTTGGAGATATGCATCCCAAAGGCAGACTATGTACGGTACTTTTGTTTCTGCAGTGCAAGATATTCTTCTAAGATGCATAGGCATGTACGCATGTTCTAATACTTTTGATTGTAGGCAAGGGTCAAGGGAAGCAATACATATACGACTGAACCTTTCTCAAGGCCCTGAAAAAACACAGGAGGGGAACTGTAACTCTACGAGCATGGGATGGGATGATGGGTTGAAGTACCAGAAAAATCTTCAGTGTAGTTACTGCAGTAGCCAGGGGGAGGGAGAGAATACAAGGGATTGGGAGGGGGAACAAGAAAAAGGTCAAACAGATAGAGATTAGAAGAGTGGAGATAGGGGAGACAGGGAAGAGGGTGAAGCAGGGGGGAAGAGAAAGGGGGAGATAAGACGATGGGAAAGGGGATAGGAAGAGGGGAGGAAAGGGAAGGAGGAGACAGGAAGAGAGTGAGAGGGAAAGAAGAAAATACCATAGGAAGAGGGAGCATAGGGAAGAGGGAGGATAGGGAAGAGGGGAGATAGGGAAGAGGGGAGATAGGGAAGAGGGGAGATAGGGAAGAGGGGAGATAGGGAAGAGGGGAGATAGGGAAGAGGGGAGATAGGGAAGAGGGGAGATAGGGAAGAGCGGGAGATAGGGAAGAGCGGGAGAGGGAAAGCGAGAGATAGGAAGTTGTAACAAGGGGAGGAAGAGGGGGAAACGAGGGGAACCAGGGAGGGAAACGAGGTGAAACAGAGGGGGAAATCCTGGGAAGCAGAGGGGGAAATGAGGAGAAGCAGGGGGGGGAATGAGGGGAAGCAGGTAAGAACAGGGAAAGCAGGGAGGGAAATGAGGTGAAGCAGGGAGGGAAATGAGGGGAAGCAAGGGGGGAAATGAGAGGAATCAAGGGGGGGAATCAGGGGAAGCAGGAGGGTACAAACATGGAAAGCAGGGAGAAAAATGGGGTGAAGCAGGGAGGGAAATGAGGGGAAGCAGGAGGGATAATGAGGAAAGGCAGAGCTGGAAATGAGGGGAAGGAGGGGGAAAAAATGAGGGGAAGGAGGGGGAAAAAATGAGGGGAAGGAGGGGGGGAAATGAGGGGAAGGAGGGGGGGGAATTAGGGGAAGCAGAGGGGAAAACAATGAGAGCATACGGGGAAACGAGGGGAAGCAGCGGGGTAAATGAGGGGAACGAGGAGAAAGGGAAGCAAAGGGAGGAATGAAGGGAAGTAGAGCAGGAAACGAGGGGAAGCAAGAGGGTAAAAATTTGGGAAATCAGGGGGGAAATAGGGGAAGCAGAGGGGAAAACGAGAGGAAGCAGGGGAGTAAATGAGGGGAAGCAGAGAGAAGAATGAGGGGAAGCAGGCGGAGAAATGAGGGGAAGAAGGGGAGGGGAAGGAGAGGGGGAAATGAGGGGAAGGGAATGAGGGGAAGCAAAGGCAAAAATAAGGGGAAGGTAACACGTGGGAATGAAAGTGCAGGGAAGCGAGGGCAAGGTATGGGCAGGTGGGAGAAGGGCAGCGGGAGTGGAGGCGTGAGGAGGGGCAGCGCGACGAGGGTGCTGGCGCACTCATGGCAGGGGATGCGCGGCGAGGTGAGCGAGGCGCGGCGAGGCGAGCGGAGGCGCGGCGAGGCGAGCGGAGGCGCTGCGAGGCGAGCGGAGGCGCGGCGAGGCAATCGGAGGCGGGGCGAGGCTAGCGGAGACGCGGCGAGGCGATCGGAGGCGCGGCGCCGCGAGCAGAGGCGCTGCGAGGCGAGCGGAGGCGCGGCGAGGCGAGCGGAGGAGCGGCGAGGCTTGCGGAGGCGCGGCGAGGCTAGCGGAGACGCGGCGGGGCGAGCGGCGGCGCGACTAACGGAGGCTTCCAGGAACTGAGGGTCGGCGTGACGATGGGACAGGAGGCGCGGCGAGGTGAGGCGCGACGACGGGAGGCGAGGCAATGGGAAGCGCGACGAGGGGAAGAGCTCGATGAGGAAGGGGAGGCTAGACTTGTAGAGCGGCTACGTATTCTACTCTTTGATGCGCTGTCGAGATGCTTTTTCCTCGTATATTGTTTCTAGGCCGAAGTAGTGAGGTTGGGCTTCCACACTCCGTGGTTTCTCCTCATTCGGTTGGGTTGGTTTGTCGCACGCTCCAACTGATGTTGAGTGACGACTACACAATCTCCTCGTTGCTCATTTCGCTTTCGCCACGCCCATCTTCCCGAAGTGAACCTTTTTTCCATATCGCCAACACAGTTAAAGCCCTTCAGTAGTTTTGGCAAAAACCATGCTGACCTCGGGCTTTAACTTGTTCGTGTGGTTGGGTATTATGTATGTACTAGGTTTCTGTTGACTGTGCATACAAGAATCTTTAACATCAACCTGTGTCAGATAAGGGCAAATGTGATGCTAATTATACCGTAGGTGAACATGATGTCTCGAAGCAGCCTGAATAAAAAACATTACTGTAAGACCAAAAGTTCCAGACATAACGCTTAGTGCTTTGCATTGCATCCTGACCGTCCGGCTCGAGACTGCTTAAAGCGCACACGTTGTTCCACAAAGTGTAGTCCGGTGGGTGTTACATCTAATGCGTTTGAACGCGATTCGAATGGGTTTTCTACAATACAAAAATCTGCTGCCATTTACACCCTCAGTCAGCACTCAGCACGATGGCAAGCAGGCTGCACTCAAATCTCGAAATTCGATGTGCAACTTGGTTATCATGCAGGTTGCCTTCTGTCGAGGCAACCTGTTTCCATTGCATGGATTCGCGTCGCGAGAGTCTTTGTCAATGAGAAGGAGTCGGTCGGTATGGTAGGAAGTCACATCAGATTCCCTTTGTTCCTCCATGATTTACAGCCGTAGGATAAAGTCGTCTCGCATCGCAATCAAATCCAGGGGTCTCGGGAACTCCAAAAGCTGGGCACGCCAGCAACTCCCAATGAAATTCACAAGCCTGGATAAGATTGGCGGAGCGTCGATCAGCTCGATGAGAGGAGCTCAGCGCACGTGTGGGGGAGCAACTCCCAAGAACATCTGCGAATCATCAATCTTCAAGAAGGATGAGAATTTGAGAAACATAATCCATCAAGCTATTCCCCAGATTTCGTCAGAACCCGCCACCAAATTACAAGCCTCATCAGGTGCCGCCGTCTGTGTCAGGTCCTGCGACTCAATCCGAAGCCATGTCCATCAGCATCGCTGTAGCCGTCGCTGCTTATACCTTCACAGACGGTGCTGCAAGAATTGCCGTCTCTCGTCGGGGGCTCGAACCCGCGTTAGCTGGACGATCCCCCACCAAGAGAGCGAGTCTGACAGGTTAGATTCTCTTCGCAGTCAGCGTTTCCCATTCACCTTGCAAGAGCTATGTGTATGAGTCGCCAGGTCTTTAATAACCCTGAATCTGCACAGTACCTTTCCCTTATTATCCTCATTTTTGTGCATCCTCTTCTTTCTTCTCTTACTATTCACTCGAATTTCCCGGCTCAGGTAAACGCGGCGCATCACCTGCTGTACCGGTGTTCTGCTCCGCTAACCCCCACACCGGCCCGTCCACGTCAGCACCTTCCGCGTCAGCACCGTCCACGTCAGCATCAGCAATGACATCTGACGGCGGAGAAACGGCGTCGTTTCGCCAGATGAGTCCGGAGGAGCATTGGTGGTGGGGTACACCCGAATACCTCATGGGTAACTGGCACGGCCAATGGCGATCATGGAAGCCGATGCAATCAACAGACGAGATCAGATCCATGAAATCCGTGCGGAAAATATGGGCTACGTCACCCGATCTCAGCAGCTTCGCCCACATGGTGATCCTCAGACCCTTTTCTTCTCCCCTCCTCGCCTTCTCCCCCTCCCTCTTCTCCCTCCCCTTTCCCCTCCCTCTTCTCCCTCCCCCTTTCCCCCCTTCCCCTCCCATTCCCCCTTCTCCCTCCCCTTTCTCCCCTCCCCCTTTCCCCCACATCCGTTCTCCCCGCGTCCCTCCTTATTCCTCCCCACCTAGTAGTGTAGTGTTCGTTTTCCTCTCCCTTGTCGGTTTTTCACACACCCTGACGCAAGCCTACGTTCCGCTTTCCGCCGCCTCTTGCGCTGCCACCCGCTCTTTCGTCCTGACGTTCAAAAAGCTGCTGCAACAAAATCGATTTAAAACGAGTGGCACGGTACCGCGGCCAGGGCGAGGTGATCCCAACAATCTATCACTTCGTAATTGCCCTGGCCCTCCCTCCTCTGTAACAAGATGGGACACGTGATAAAAGTAATGTTTTGAGACGTCTCAAAGCACGGTACCGAGGCCAGGGCGAGGTGATCCCAACAATCTGTCACTTCATTATTGCCCTTCCTCAGAAGCTCCTCTGTAACAAGATGGGACTTGTTACATCCTCATCTCTACTACACTCTCACACCACTCTCACTTTACTGCCAATTTCACGCCACCCTTAAGCTTCCGCCTCCCCTGCCAGAACGACTGGTACGACCACCAGGGCGAAGTTTCCAAGCAACCGCCCAAGGTGGGGGTTCAATGGGACATGTCCCTGGCAGAGCACAGCCTGCCAGACGGGTTCTGCCACGTGGCAGCCAGCACTGCGCGCCGCTACGTCGTGAGCAGGAAGGCGGACGCGATCTGGGCACCTCTGGAGGTGGCTGACGGGGAAGGAGGCATCAAGCTGCCATTTTTGGTCGAATTCTTCTTCTCCCACAGTAAGTCCTGCTGCTTGCTCTTATCAAAACTTCTGAGAAGCTTCTCTGTCCTCATGCGGTGGCCATCTGGTCGGTCTGGAGGTGGCGGATGGGTAAGGCGGCATCAAGCTGCCATTTCTAGTTGAATTCTTCTTCTCCCACAGTGAGCCAACCCTGCATTATCTCTGGAAGAGGGAAGGGTCATCAACTTGTCTCTTGTTGATATTATTTTTTCCTTATATATCTATCTTCTCCTATTTTTTTCTAGATTATTATCAAGTTTCCCAGTATTTTCCCATTACTCCACCATGTACCATATCTCTAATTTTAGCCACGTTGCCTTATCTTTCTCTTCCCATTGATGGCATATCAATTCTCAGCCCCTTGTGTCTAGGATCATCTGAAACGCCTTCTGAGTCATTTCAAAGCTTTCCAGCCCCCACTTTTCGTCGTTGATGCTGATTCACAGGGGTCAAGGAGGAGTCTCCCCATTCACAGTTTTTTTGTATTGCTACTCTTTCCAGCCCCCGCATCTCGTCTTGGCAGCGTAACTGGATTTGAAGCCGACGGAGCATTCCGGGCCTCAGTGGTGGTTGAAGAGTCGCTAGACACCAACGAGCGCCGCCCCTCGGACTGGGTCTGGCCCACGTGGGGCCCGGGTGGACTTTCGTCCCATCTGCCCGACCACCTGCCGCCCGTTCCGGCACTAGATGACAAGACGATGGCAGGAACTCGCACCGTTTTGACTCGAAACCTGATGGTTCAGGAGCGAGAAAACGTGTCCTGGGCGGAAGAATGGAGCCCAACCGCTGCTGCTGCTGCCATTGCTGCTGGTGACACTGCTTCAGCTGGAAATGCCGTTGCAGCGGATGTAACAGGAGCAGCAGCAGCGGCTGGGTTCATGGGGCGAGTGCCGGAGGGGGATGAGGACCGTTACATAGTCGTTGCTCTGCCGCACGGGGTGGTGGTGTGCGCCCCGCGCTCGCTGCAGCTGGTGGCAGGGAGGCCGTTTGTGCTGTCGGTGTCTTTGGTGGTGGGGGAGGGCGAGGTGAAGCGGATCACTGCCTCTTGGGGGGCTACTGGGGGCTTTGAGAAAGTGGAGGGGGAACTGTACAGGAGAGAGGGATGAAAGGGGAGGTGTTGTGGCTGGCGGGGGAGGGCGAGGACTAGCGAATCACTGCCTTGTGAGGGGACGCTGGGGCTGGGGGGGGTAGTGAGGGAGTGTGGTACAAGAGACGGGGGTGAACCCATGGGAGGGCTTTTTAGGCGCCTCAAATGTCTGAGGGGGAGTGGTTGTGTGATAGTGTGGTGCAAGAGACGGGGGTGAGGTGGGTGTGCCCTAGGGCAGTCCGGGCCCCGGCATTCCGGTCGCTTCACTGAGCACCAGTGGAGGATGGGTCGAGCAGGATACAATGTTGTGAGATTGTACTGTACATTTGCTGTGAAACGAATGTGTACAATAAATTATGTAAAACCCACCATGTGCAAGCCCCTGTCTTCTATGTCACAAGTGATTATCAAATTGTACTACAGTATTTACGTACATCACCCTTTCTGTTGGATACCATCCTGACTCTTGCTGGACACTCCTGAAAGCGCGTACACTTTTGTTGCAGATGGTGATCGTGGGGTGTCGCATGATCGCATCCATCGCATCAGCGTCTCTTCTGCCCTCCACCACGTGGAATAGAAACGTCACACTGCCGCTTATCATCGGCACTTAGCAGGACGGCGCTTACAACATAGGCTGCCCAAATCTCCGAATCTAGAATATATCGATTAGCGACGAAGCCCAATTTTCTTTCGTCGCGTCGCAAGAGTCGCTGTCAAATGCAAGGGAGTCGCTAGGCAAGGAATCATACGCCTGGCGTCGTTCATGCTTTAAAGCCGTCGGATTAGGTCGTTTTGGCTCATCGATTCGAGAATATCGTGAGAACGCTTGCTCAGCAACTCCCATTGTGATCCATGAGCTCGAATTCGATTGGCAGAGCTTCGATCGGCTCCCCAGAAGGCACTTGACTGAAACGAGGGGAGGATAGCAAAGCGCAAACACATCAACCATCTACGAATGATCAACCTCCACGAAGATAAGAGCCATGTTTCTAACCATTTCCCAGATTTCGTCACACTCACCACTAGCCTCCTCGCTACAGCCGTCTGTGCTGTTATTGAATCCAAAGGCGTGTCGATCACCAATGCTGCAGCGGTGGCGGCGACTACATAATCCGAATAGGTAGCTCGAGCGTGTTTCAAGACTTGCTGTCTCTCGCGGGAAACTTTAGACCCGCATTGATTGGGCGATCCACCTAGAGCGCGAGCCTTACAGGTAGGTGGTGCTATTCTCACTCAACTTGACCCGTTAAACCTTGCAATAACTGTGAATATTAGTCACCGTTATCAGTACTGGTGGATCCGCTCAGTACCTTTCTCGGATTCCCTCATTTTCCATCAATTTTAGAACGATTTTCTTTCTTCTCCCATCCACTCTGGTAAACGCGGCGCATCGCCTGCTGTAACGGTGTTCTGCTCCGTGAATCCCCACACCGGCCCGTCCACGTCAGCACCTAACACGTCAGCGCCTTCCAAGTCAGCATCATCCATGGCATCTGACGGCGGAGAAGCGGCGCCGTTCCGGCAGATGAGTCCGGAGGAGCACAGGTGGTGGGGTACGCCGGAGCGCCTTATGACTAACTGGCACGGTCAATGGCGATGCTGGAAGCCTCTCGAATCGACGGACGCGATCCGATCCTTTAAATCCGTGCGGAAATTCTGGGCCACGTCACCCGATCGCAGCAGTTTCGCGCACATGGTGAGCCACACAGACTCCTTCCCTCCCTCCCGTACCCCTTTTTTTTCCCTTCCCCATCCCGACCCTCCTCCCTCCCCCCCCCCCCCCCCCCCCCTCACTCTCCCCCTCCCCCTTTCCCCCGCAACGCCCTTGGTTCCCCCTCACCTAGCTCCCGTTCTCCTCTCCCTTGTCGTTTTTCCTCGCACTGTGACTCACGCCCACTCTGACGCACGCCCACTCTGACGCACGCCCACTCTGACGCAGCACAGCCTGCCTTTTCAAATTGACTCAAATGTCACCCTCCCACTCTTCCCCATGCTATCCCTCCCCTGGTCTACTGCAGAACGACTTTTACGACGAGCAGGGTGAGGTTCCCAAGTTTCGGCCCCCGGTCGGCGTCCAATGGGACATGTCACTCGCGGAGCACAGCCTGCCAGACGGATTCTGCCACGTGGCAGTCGGCACAGCGCGCCGCCACTCCGTCAGCAGGGAGAGGGACGGGATCTGGGGCCCTCTGGAGGTGGGGGATGGGGCGGGGGGCATCAAGCCTTTTGTGGAGGAGTTTTTCTTCTCCCACTGTGAGTCATGGCTGCTGCAATCGTTTTCGTCTCTCAAACTGCTCCCTCAGCAGGAAAGGCGCGTATGTTTTCGAGGTGCTCCAAAATGAGCTCCCTCTGCTGGCGATTACAAGTTTTTTTTTGTGTTTTTTTTTTTTTTGTAGGGGGAGGGGGGTGGCGGCTTTGTTTGATTTTCCATTTCAGCTCCCACATCTCGTCTCAGCACCATTGCCGAATTCGATCACCAAGCTAATGCGGAGCTTCTCTCTCCTTTCACAACTCCTTTGCTCCCCTTTCTCGTCAGCCCCCAAGTCTCGTTTTGGCTGCATGGTTGGATTCGATCCAGAAGGAGCGTTGCGCGCCTACGTGGTGGTCGAGGATTCGCTAGACACCAACGAACGCCATCCCTCCGACTGGGTCTGGCCCACGTGGGGCCCCGGCGGCGTCCCGTCCTGTCTGCCCGACCACCTGCCGCCCGTTCCGGCACTAGATGACAAGACGATGGCGGGAACTCGCACCATTCTGACTCGCAACCTGATGGTTCAGGAGCGGGAGAACGTGTCCTGGGCAGAGGAATGGAGCCCTAACAGTGCTGCCGCTGCCGCTGCAGCAGCTGCTGCTGCTTCAGCTGAAAAGTCTGTTGCTGCGGATGCAGCAGCGGCTGGGTTCATGGGGCGAGTGCCAGAGGGCGATGAGGAGTGGTATGCGGCGTTTGCTCTCCCCCATGGGGTGGTGGTGTGCGCCCCTCGCTCGCTGCAGCTGGTGGCAGGGAGGCCGTTTGTGCTGTCGGTGTCGTGGGTGGTGGGCGAGGGCGAGGTGAAGCGGATCACTTCCTCCTGGGGGGCTAGTGGGGGCTTAGAGAAAGTGGAGGGCGAGTGGTACAGGAGACAGGCGTGAAAGGGGAGCAATGGTGTGTAGGAGGTTGAATTGAAACGAAGGGAGGAATGTGTTTCTTGGGGACGTGGGTGAAGGGATGGGAGAGAGAGGGAGAGAGGTGGCTGTGTGTGTGTTTCTGCACTGCCTTTTGAGGCACCTCACAAGAGAGGGATGTGTTTTGGTGAAGGCATGGGAGAGAGAGAGGTGGCTGTGTGTGTGTGTCTGCACTGCACCCGTTTCACTGCACTGCAGCAGCAGTGGTGGTGGGGGATGAGGGGGTGGGTTGGGCTGGTAATGCAAGCACGTGGAATTGTAGATTGTTGAATTCTACTGTACATCACTTCTGCTTTGCAGAGGACATGCGTGTTGGATGCAATGGGTGAGAATTGCCCGCGTGTGGGTGGGCCTTCAGCATGTATGACACATGAAAGATGTGTTCTTTCTGTTGTCTGCTTTACACTGTACCCGATGCAACTGCCACGTCAAATCACATGTGGATAACAGCAAAAAAGAATCACTACAACTTGTTCAGAGCCAGTTGTATACTGGACACATACCGGTATGCTCAACAAATTGTTCTGGACTGGACTACACTTGGCTATTCTGCCGATTGATCAACGTCAGCATCGAAACGGAAATATTAGACAACATACACTAAGGATATTCGAGGGCAGGCAAGGGGGGAGGAAAGAGGGAGAGGAGAGAGGAAGGAAAAGAAGGAAATAAGGGTACATTCCTGAAGCGCTGTCACAAAGCCTCGCGTCTCAATCGAAGAGATGCAGTGCGGTGGAAATGTTCGACACTTAGGTGTAATGCGGTGCAGACTGGTACAGAGGTTGTATGATGCGATTGAGACATTTGTGTCAAGAGCGGAATGTACCCTAAGAGTCACCACTAGTTCCCTGTGCAACATAACCCATCCGTCCAGGGCCTCTTACTCATCCCCTCCCATGTTGTTCCCTTGCTCCGCTCCCCACCCCACCCTTTTTTATTCTACTCACTAGTTCCCCGTGCAACACAACCCACCCCTCCAGGGCCTCTCTCTCATCTCCTCTGCTTTTAAGTCGATCATACCCTCCAGCTCCTCAAAAGCAGACCCGCTTACTCACTCCCTCTCATGTCGTTCCCGCCTCCTCCGCTCCCCACCCTTTTTTATTCGACTCACTAGTTCCCCGTCCAACACAACCCACCCCTCCAGGGCCTCTCTCTCACTCCCTCTCATGTCATCCCCCCCTCCTCCGCACCCCACCCCTCACCCCCTTCTTTCACTATTCATCTTCTGGGATCAACTCTTCTTCTGCGTGCCTCCAGCCTTCAGCAGCCTCTCGCCACGCCACAGCAACAGCAGACACATACTCGCCGCGCTCGTACTTGTCCTTCTCAAACACAATAAACCCATCCAGGTCCTCATACTCGTCCTCTCCCGTGTGCATCCCCTCTCTCCTCTCCGCCTCCACCAGCTCTGCAATGTATGCGTTCCGCCTCCTCCTCCCTCCTGCGTTCCGCCTCCTCCTCCTCCCTCTCGCTTTCCCTTCCATGCCCCTGCTTTCCTCTCCTTCCATGCCCTCGCTCTCTTCGCTCTCCTCTCCTTCACCCATGCCCTCGCTCTCTTCGCTCTCCTCTCCTCCCCCCATGCCTTCGCTCTCCCCCAACCCTTCCCTCTCTTCCTCGCTTCCCACTTGGTCACTCTCCTCTCCTCCTGCTCCATTTCCTCCTCCTTTCCCTCCCATGTTTCCTCCCCCTTCCCCTCCCAACTCGCCTCCTCCTTCCCCTCCTACCTCTCCTCCTTTACTCCCCCCCACTGCCCTCCTTCTGCTTCCCCTACTTGCCCCACTCCCCCCTACCTTAACCCCACTCCCCTCACTCTTTCCCTCCCCCATCGCCCCACGCCCCCTCGTCCTCCCCCCACTACCCCCACCCTTCCGCGCACTCTTCCTCCCAGTCCCTCCTGCAGCCTCCTCCCCACTTCCAGCCGCCCCAGACTCCTTCGCAGCAGCTTCCTGCCCCTTCTCCTCATGCGTATCGCCAACTTTGCTAGCAGAACCAGCGGAACCAGAAGGTTTATCCTCCCTCATTGGTTTATTCTCTGCCTCTGCAGCATTCTTCCCCATGCACCACTCCGCTTCTTCCTCAGCCCCTCCTTCCCCTTTTGTTTCCCCCTCTCCTTCCCCCTCTCCTTCCCCCTCCCCTTCTCCCACCACTTCATGCTCTCCTCCCCCTTCCATCTCCCTCTGCTGCTGCCGCCCACTGTGCCGCCCACTGAGCCGCCCACCGCCTTGCTCTGCTTCCACTCTCTTCAGCACCGTGCTGTTACGCAGTAACCTGGTAACCCTGCCCTGCCCTCCTCGCTCACACTGCTTAACCTTCCCTCCCTTCTCACGCTGTTTCCCCTGTGCTCCCATTTCCCGCTGCTCCTCCTTCCTCTGCCCCTCCCCCTCCTTCAGCTCCTTCTCCCCTTGCTTGCTCGCCTCTCTCCTTCCTTCTCCTTTCCCCTCTTCCACCTCCACCTTACCCACAACAATAGTTTTCCCCTTTTTCACCTCCATACCCCCTTTCTCTTCCACCTCTTTATACAACCCCCCCACTTCCACCACCATTTCTTCATCCCCGCACGCTTCTTTTCCTTTCTCCCTGCTCCACTCCCTTTCCTCGCCCCCCTCCTTCTCCTCGCTCCCTTCCATCTTCTCAGCTCCCCCTCCCCCTTCCTTCTCCTTGACCCCCTCCCGCTCCTCGTTCCCCTCCTCCTCCTCTTCAGTTAGATCCACAAACTCGCACTTCGGTTTTTCCGCCTCTCCTGTGTTTTTTAATTCCGCCGCCACCGCTATCTTTCCCCACTCCCTCCCCGTCGCCTTTCCCCCCTCCCCTTCCGCTGACTTTCCGCCCTCCCTCTCCGCCTTCACCCTCCCCATCCCCCCCAGTTCCTCCGCCCCCCCTACCTTCCCCGCCCAAGCTGCCTCCCCCTGCAGGCTCCGACTCTCGCCCCGCCCCCACCCCCGTCCGCGCCCCCGTCCGCGCCCCCGTCCCCGCCCCCGTCCCCCCTCTCTCTTCCCTGCTACCGACATTTTCTGCCGCCCCACATTCCCTGCAGCGCCAACTCCTTCCGCCATTTTCTCCGCCTCCTCCGCCTTCGCCGACTCTACCACCTCTTCCACCGCATAGAGACCGCGTTCGCCAACTGCCAGCTCCGCCTCCCCCACTTCCCCCACTTCCTTCACTTCCTTTGCCTCTTCCACCTCCTCTACCTCCCCCGCCTCCTCTACTTCCCCCACCTCCGCCGCTTCGAGCACCGCCGCGTTTCGAGGTGCCTCATGGTAACCCTTTTTGACACCTGCCTGCTGCACATCCCCCACCTCCTCCACTTCCTCCACCTCCTCTACCTCCTCCATTTCCTCCGCTTCCTCCGCTTCCTCCGCTTCCTCCGCTTCCTCCGTGTCCTCTGCTGCATTTCCCCACACCACTTTCGACTCTAACTGACCCCAAGAGGACTTTTGAGCCGACTCAAAAGTCGCCGCATTTTCCCACACCACTTTCGACTCTGACTGACCCCAAGAACCCCCCTCCCCTTTCACGGCCCCCTTCTTCTGATTTCTGAATCCAGCCATTTCCCCCGCATGGGTTGGATCCTTCACTTTCCCCCTCCCCATCCCCGTTCCCTCTCCCTTCCCCTTCCCCGTCCCCGTCCCCGTCCCCTTTCTTCCCCGCCCCGTTACCGTTTCCTTACCCACCCCCTCTCCATCCTCTTCCTCCTTCACCTTCCCCCTTCCTTTCCCCTGCTCCCTCCCCTTCTTGATCCCCTTCCCATATTCTCGTTCTCCTGCCCTCACTCCTTTAGCTCCAGTACTCCCAACCGACTTGCCCTCGCTCGTAGTAGTGCTTTTCTTGAACCCGCCCTCACCACTCCCAACCGGCTTGCCCTCAGTAGTGATAATGTTTCCCTCGAAGCCACCTTCACCACTTCGGATCGGATCCGCACCTCCTTCATCCCTCCCTCCACCTCCACCTCCACCCCCACTTGCTCCACCTCTTCCTCCACTTCCCTTTCCTCCCCCACTGTTTTTTCCTTCACCGATGATTCTTCTTCCTTCACCAGCCTCACAAGCTTCCCCACTTCCTCCCCCTTCACCGCTTCCCCCTCCTCGACCTGCGCCTCCACCTGCTCCTCGACCTGCGCCTCCACCTGCTCCTCGACCTGCGCCTCCACCTGATCCTCCACTTGCTCCTCCACCGGCTCCTCTACCTCCTCTCCCGTCTACAGCCTTCCTTCTCGCAGCGCGCGTGATCCTCGTCGTCTCGTCTCCTCCTCCCGCCAGTTCCTCAATCTCCGCTGTAAACTCCCTCCTTATAAGCAACGTAAACGAGTGTAGCTTGCGCAGCTCCAGGGCCTCGCGCCTCACATTCTCTTGGAGCGAACTTTTTCGCAGTAACGAGTACGAGTGCAGCATGCGCAGCTCCCTGCTCGACCCTCGCACCTCCCTTCCCGACTCTCGCCTCGATCCTTCCCAAGGTACAATGGCTAAGGGAGACTCTTCACCCAGCGGCTCCATTTTCGCATCCATTCTCGACGTTCTTCGAGCCGTCCTTTCTGAGCCTTTGGCTGTCGATGTATGATAACTGTCCGAAGTTTTAGCCCACGACTCCTCCCCTCCGGCACCCGCTAATTCTGGAACCTTGGGTTCGAAAACCACCAGGGCTTTTCCGTTATCCGCGTCCTCGTTACTAGCTACGACGGGTGCGATCTTCAGCTTCTTCGCCACACCTTGTCTCTCGACTTCAGAAACCCGGTTCTTGTTGCGCGTGTATCTACGCCTCGGCCCACTATCCAACTTCAGGGGGGCGCTTATAGTGTCAATTCTCGATGCGGCAGCGGGCTGCGGTATCGCCATCTCGTTCGGACGCTTCTTAACGATGACCGTCGTTCGTTTTCCCATCTGGATTGATCGTCTAGCCTCCGTACCCTTCCCACTTAAGCCCACCTCGTTGGCTCGATATTAAATATCGAGTCAAAACAGACGCTCTTCTATATTCCTTTTAGTATACGGCGGCAGCCCCAATTACGGAGGGTCCTATAGATCGATAGGGCTATGAGAAAGTCTCCGAGTAAAAAAGTAGAGAACGAAAAAAAGCCTCCCTGATTCAATCATGTCAAAATGGATGGTGAGGTGACCTTGGTGTTGGCGAGTGGCTGCGTGAACCAAGTCCTCTCAGAAGTCCTGCTTGAATACGGACAATTGTTTTGAAACTTCCGAGGTTGCAAAATACTTGTGTTTTGTTTGTGCTTGTCTCCGAGCTTGACTCTTGTAAGGGCGTATTCCTGAGCTGGTGTCATCCGAAAATTTTGGAACTCATGCGATTGGTTCAAAAATAAAAATCGGCCAAATACGTGCACTCCAACGTTTTCGGATGACACCAACACTGGATGACACGAGCTCAGGAATACGCCCTAAATTGGAGTTTTCGTGGGGTTCGACAGATTAGATTGGAGTAGGGGGACCAAGGAAGCAGCGCGCCGCATGTCCCTCGATTTTAGTTGCGCGCGGCTTGAAGGAGGAATTGTGAAGCAACATTCGTGCCACGTGTCTAGAAGTTTGTGTACGCTTTATGAAGAACTTCTCTGTGGCGCTATAGAAATTTGTAGCTGAATTGGCTGCGTCGTAAATATGTTTCTTTCCTCTTCAATGTCGGTGGGATTGGTTGGGCAAACAATGGGACCAGTTCTGTCAGCTTGTTTTCTCCCCACGTCAGCACGGCCCACACTGACATGTCCCTGGGACACAGCAGCCCTACCTGACGTGGAAATGAAACCGCCAACATCACGGAGCAAATATTCTTGCCTACTCCTGTCATCAAGCATTCTTGTCACCCTCATTCCGAGCTTCCGTTCCCAGTTAGACCGAATTTCTCAGCTTTAGCAGCTGCTTTCGCCCACACACACGAGGTTTTCTAGGCGTTTTTATCTTGATCAAAAGTAGCGAGTGCGCATCGGACCGCTCGTAATGGCGACGCCAAAGGTTAAGCTCACCGTGGGCTCGGATGGAGTGGCTGTTATTGAAATCCACAACCCTCCTGTCAATGCTCTCGCACCAGAAGGTATTATTGATTCTTTGAACCAGGATCGTGGTGTTTATTATCAACCATTGGCGATTCGTCTTCAGTATTCTAACCTATTGAGTTTGTCTGCAGTCCTACTCGGTTTGAAGGTGTCGTTCGACGAGGCGCACCGGAGGAACGACGTGAAAGCCATTGTCGTGATCGGTAAATTGCAAATAAACCTTTACCGCACTTCCTTCTTTTCTTGTCGAAACTAGTTTAGCATAACTTGTTTGTCCGGATGTAGCTCACTTTGGTTCTTTTCTGTGGCTGCTGTTTCAGGGACAAATGGCAAGTTCTCGGGAGGCTTCGATATCTCGGCGATTGTTGCAGTCCAGGAAAATGGTACTGATCATTGTCTCTTCGTGCTACTCGCGCGATAGAACTCTCGCGATTCTTCTCGCGATTCGAGTTGGTCTGTGACTCGTTTCCGTGCTTTCTTGTGCTGGTTGTCCCCGTTACAGGGAACATGGACTCGATGGTCAGGCCGTCAGTCCCACTCTTCGTGGAGACCATTGAAGGTATGCATCTCTCAACGTTTCATTTCAATGTGGAATAGAATGTGTCATAATTACGAATACTCACACATGTCAGTACTTCCCTATGCAGGTGGTTCAAAGCCAGTCGTGGCGGCCGTTGAGGGTCTTGCTCTAGGCGGTGGCTTGGAGCTTGCTCTGGTACGTACGTCGCCGCTCTAGCTCGTATAACCTTGTAAAACACACAATAACATTATCACGCAAGTACGCAAGTACACACTCTGAAGCTCATAGTCGGTTTTGATTGTTCCCTTCTTTTTTTTCCAATGCCAGTCATGCCATGCAAGAATCGCTGCACCCAAGGCCCAGCTGGGGCTTCCAGAGCTGCAGCTCGGCATCATTCCTGGATTCGGAGGTACTGGCCCATCCATGTGTGCAATGACTGGCCTATGCTGAGCCATCATTTCGTATGCTTCTGATGTTGGTGGTGTTGCTGGATTTCTTGTTTTGCAAGCCCTGGTCGTAAGAAACTTTTTTTTTTTCCAACATTGTGTTTTCTTGTGCTGGTCGTGTTCTGCTGGTTGTGTCCAGGCACTCAGCGTTTGCCTCGCCTGGTTGGCCTACAGAAGGCGATTGAAATGATCCTGGTGAGTTTCTTAGGCATTTTCCTGCAGAATATGAAACTTCATGCTACGTATCATTTCTAATAGTGTCTTGTTCCCCCTTTGGTCCCAGATGTCCAAGCCTATCACATCTGAAGCGGGACTCAAGGCTGGTCTCGTTGATCAAATTGTTCCTAGCAATGCCCTGCTAACCACCGCCAAGGCGTGGGCCCTGGATATTGCCAGCGGCAGGAAGCCATGGCTGAAGACGCTGGAGAGGAACGACAGGATTGAGAGCCTGGGCGAGGCTCGAGCCATCTTCAAGTTCGCAAGGGTTCAGGCGATTCAGACGGCTCCTAACCTCACTCATCCGTTGCGGTGCTTGGACGCCATGGAGTATGGCGTCACCCATGGGGGGTACGCCGGCAATCTCAAGGTGAGTTTTGGATGGAGGACAAGAAAACTTCATGTGTGGCTGCCACCTTACCATTTTATAGAATGTGAGTATTTAGAAAGCTGAAGCTGTTGTTTTGTGCCTGTTGCAGGAAGAGGAGGTGTTTTTGGAACTTGTGCTTGCTGACACGGCCAAGTCCCTGACACATATCTTCTTCGCCCAGAGGCAAACAACTAAGGTACATTGCTTTGGAAGCCTTAGATTGCAGTAAATGAATCCTCCTCACTGAAACCCTTTATGGCACCAACCAAAGCATCAGAAATTGAAGGAAGCTGGATGACATGTTAACGAATCTGCTGTGCTTTTCAGATCCCTGGAGTCACAGATCGGGGTTTGAAGCCTCGGCCCCTCCGCAAGGTGGCAGTGATTGGAGGGGGGTTGATGGGTTCTGGGATCGTCACCGCGCTCATCACGGCGAAGATTCAAGTCATTCTCAAGGAGGTCAATGCCCAGTTTCTCCAGCAAGGGCTGGACCGTGTCAAGGGTGAGCATATTCATGTCTTCCTACTTCCACTTGTCTCGATTATCTGATGAGTGCTGGTTGCATCAGAATCGGCCTTGTTTGGAGGTATTGATATCCTCTTTTTTTTTCTCTTGTTTGGTGGCAGCAAATTTCCAAGGCAGGCTAAAGAAGGGGAGGATGACACAGGAGCAGGTGGATAAGATTCTGTCGCTACTCAAGGGCACGCTCTCCTACGACGACTTTGCTGACGTGGATCTGGTCATTGAGGTGAGACAGAGAAGAGCTAACGCCATCCAAAAAAATCATATCTGCTGCACTACAATTCCTAGAAGTAAACGGCAGTTAACATCTGAAGCTAAAGGATTAAAGGCAATATTATCTTCTCACTTGCATCTTTCTGTTATGCAGGCTGTGATTGAGAGCATCCCTTTGAAGCAGCAGATCTTCCAGGACCTGGAGAGGGTGTGCAAGCCTGCGTGCATCCTCTCGTCCAACACGTCAACCATCGACCTCAACGTCGTTGGTGCCAAGACTCGCTCCCAGGACCGCATCATCGGCGCACACTTCTTCAGGTATTCAGGAGAAATGTGATCAGAGAGTCTATACGATGTTCAGGTACTTGGGTGTGTAGGTGTTGGCGACCTGGGGGGTGCATGTCTGCCAGATTCTGGTCCAGATCCCATGGCTGGTATAAGGCCTCACAGTCAGTGCCAAGCCTGTGACTACCCCCTCTCGCCCCCAAAACATTCGGTTACTTCACCCTTGCTGTTGATCACTCCAGTCCTACCCATCTGCTGCCCGTGTCCAACTCATATTGCTATTTTTTTCTCTTCGTCCAACTTCTATTTGCTCCTCGGTTCTTTCCCCCTCTCAGACCATCGCAGCCCTGCCCATGTGATGCCGCTGCTGGAGGTGGTCCGCACTGATAAGACCTCCCCACAGGCCATCCTTGACCTCATCACCTTGGGCAAGACCATCAAGAAGACGCCCGTGGTGGGCAACCCCAACCAGTATATATGTTCTCCTGTCCTTCCCCCCCCCTCCCCACCATTGCGGCCCTGCCCACGTGATGCCGCTGCTGGAGGTGGTTTGCACAGACAAGACCTCCCATAGGCCATCCTGGATCTCATCACCCTCCTGGTCCCCCCCACCCCACGCCCCCTTTAACCATCGCAGCCCTGCCCACGTGATGCCGCTGCTGGAGGTGGTTCGCACAGACAAGACCTCACATAGGCCATCCTGGATCTCATCACCCTCCTGGTCCCCCCCACCCCACGCCCCCTTTAACCATCGCAGCCCTGCCCACGTGATGCCGCTGCTGGAGGTGGTTCGCACAGACAAGACCTCACATAGGCCATCCTGGATCTCATCACCCTCCTGGTCCCCCCCACCCCACGCCCCCTTTAACCATCGCAGCCCTGCCCACGTGATGCCGCTGCTGGAGGTGGTTCGCACAGACAAGACCTCCCATAGGCCATCCTTGATCTCATCACCCTCCTGCTCCCCCCCACCCCACGCCTCCTTTAACCATCGCAGCCCTGCCCATGTGATGCCGCTGTTGGAGGTGGTCCGCACTGATAAGACCTCCCCTCAGGCCATCCTGGATCTCATCACCCTGGGCAAGACCATTAAGAAGACGCCAGTGGTGGTGGGCAACTGCACGGGCTTTGCTGTCAACCGCGTCTTCTTCCCCTACACCATGGCCGCCTGCCTGCTCGTGGACCTGGGAGTGGATCTCTACCGGATCGACCGGGTCATCAAGGCCTTTGGCATGCCCATGGGGCCCTTCAGGTGATTACGCCCCTTCCCTGGTTCTTCCATTTGGTTAAGGCTGTCAACCAGTAGGGCTGTCAACCGCGTCTTCTTCCCCTACACCATGGCCGCCTGTCTGCACGTGGATCTTGGTGTCGATCTCTACCGCATTGACCGGGTCATCAAGGCCTTCGGCATGCCCATGGGACCCTTCAGGTGATTCCGCATTACTGTCCATGGGGCAATCTGTTCTCCTTAGGTGTGGGGCTGGGCTTTGGGGAACTCTAACTGGTAAGGTTGTCAACCAATCAGGCTGTCAATCACGATTTCTTTCCCTACAACATGGCGGCCTGCCTGCTCATCGACCAGGTCATCAAGGCCTTCGGCATGCCCGTGGGGCTCTTCAGGTGATCATGCCTTCCATATTGTTGCAAGTATTGGTAAGCCTTACACCCAAGCCCTATCCTCATGAATATTGTGGCAATTCTCAGCCCGAGCCTTCTTTTTCCCGGTTATGGCGTTTGGCCCACGCATGGTGTTCTATCACAGGCTGGCTGATTTGGTGGGGATGCAAGTGGGGCAGGCGGTGGGGACGCAGTTCGTCACGGCGTTCCCCGAGCGGGCCTACAAGGCTGCACTCATCCCCCTCCTCGTTGAGGCCAAACGCTTCGGTAAGGCCCCCTGCATACCTGGTTCACAAGCCTTTTTTTTCTTTCGTTATCGCAGGCTTCAGGACTCCATGCATGGTTCCACTTTCTGCATTCTTTTGTCGTTGCCACTGCCACAGGTTGCTTGTTTCTGGACGCTGACAGCTAAGATTATTGTTTCTCTCTTTCATGCTGTGTGTGCACGAGCAGGGGAGAAGTCGGGCAAGGGCTTCTATCTGACTTTTGAGTCGACTCAAAAGTCATCTCTCTTTCCTTTCATGCTGTGTGTGCACGAGCAGGGGAGAAATCAGGCAAGGGCTTCTATCTGACTTTTGAGTCGACTCAAAAGTCATCTCTCTTTCCTTTCATGCTGTGTGTGCACGAGCAGGGGAGAAATCAGGCAAGGGCTTCTATCTGACTTTTGAGTCGACTCAAAAGTCATCTCTCTTTCCTTTCATGCTGTGTGTGCACGAGCAGGGGAGAAATCAGGCAAGGGCTTCTATCTGTACGACAACAACAGGCGCCAGCGCCCGGACCCGGCAATCAAAGAATTCGTGGAGCAGGCAGGGAAGTACAACAACATCAAGCCGGGCGGCAAGCCCGTGGCAGTATCTGACAGGGACATCGTGGAGATGATCTTCTTCCCCGTGGTGAACGAGGCGTGCCGTGTGCTGGACGAGGGCATTGTGGTGCGCGCATCAGATCTCGACATTGCCACTGTCATGTCCATGGGCTTCCCTCCCTACCGGTGAGTGTGAGGTGTGTTTACTTCCCTTTACACTTGTCAGGGAGTGACTGGCTTCCGTTCCTACAGGTGGTAGGACGAGTGCAGGTATTCCCTCTCTTGGTTAGTGGTGCTGGACCTTGTGGTGAGGGAGGCAAGCCCGTGGCAGTATCTGACAGGGACATCGTGGAGATGATATTCTTCCCCGTGGTGAACGAGGCGTGCCGTGCGCTGGACGAGGGCATTGTGGTGCGCGCATCGGACCTGGACATTGCCACGGTCATGTCCATGGGCTTCCCCCCCTACCGGTGAGTGTGTGGTGTCATTGCGTCTCTCCCTGCAGGTGATATGAGGAAGGATGCAGGTATGACATTCTGGTACGTAGTGCTTGTGGCGTGCTGTGTGCTGGATGGGGGCATCGTCGTGGTGCGAGCATCGGATCTGGACATTGCCACTGTCATGTCCATGGGCTTCCCCTCCTACCGGTGAGCGTGTGGTGTTCCTTCTTCCCTGCCGGTGAGTGTGTGGTGTTCTTTCCTCCCTGCCGGTGAATGGGTATGGTGTATCGTGGTGCGCGCATTGGATCTGGACATTGCTACCGTCATCCCATGGGCTTTTCTCCTTACCGGTGAGTGCGTGGTGTGGTTGCTTCTCGTCCTGCTGGCTGGTCAGTGAGTGACTGGACTCCTTACAGGAGTAGGTGTGTAGGGGTAACGTCTGAGTTTGATTCTGTAGTGCTCAGCAATACATTGTCATGCTTAGCCTTGGTATTCCTGTTTTTCCTCTATTTCGTATTTTTCTTTGCCCTTTCTGGCTTCCAGGGGTGGCCTGGTCTTCTGGGCTGATCTGGTCGGGGCAAAGTACATTGCGGATCGCCTCACCACATGGTCACAGGCCTATGGAGGTTTCTTCAAGCCTTGCAACTACTTGCTTGAGCGAGCAGCTCGAGGCGTCAAGCTGGTGAGTGAATACTATGTGCTGGATTGTTGGATTCATTTATGGGAATAATTCCCTGTAGTTTTTCCTACTCCTTTTCTTCGCCTTGTGCCTGCATTTCTGTGACGTATGGTTGGAATCATCCATGTGCCTGGTTTCTGCATCTTGCAGGGAGCACCGAAGGGAGCGTCTTCAATGGCTAAGCTTTAAGTAACATGTTACAGGATGGTGGGCAAGCTATGTAGATGCTGCTGCTAGTGACTGATTGTTCGATGCTGATTGTATGCACATTATCCTCTGATGTACAGTGGAGCGGAATAAGACGATATATGTGGGCCAAAGAAGGATGCACCTGGCGGAATTGTATGCTCTACAAAAGGTCAGCATTGCAGCAAAAAAACCCCTTTTAGGTGAAGGTTCAAATCTGGGTGGAAGATGGTCGACTGACAGCATATTCCTCTTGTCGCGGACGGCCATACGAGCTTCGCAGCCGTCATGTGCGATTACTGTCCCAGTATCTGTCATCAGCGAACCGTCAACGAATCCCATCGCACAAGAAGAGTACGCAATGCAGCCCAGCCCCAAGGATTCTATCTTTGTCAGAAGTTGCGGTTCAGAAGTGCAACAGATATACAATTCTAGACGGTCCAGTACGTTACAGTGTGGTGATTCGCGTCTTCCACTCACACGACTCTTTTGTCCAAACCCAGGGCAGAACTTGCAGCGATGGAAGCAGGCAAGCGTCCAGCCAATCCCGAAGTGGAAGGAGGTTCCTGTCATGTGAATGTGTGGCTTGGTTGGTAGGGTAGGGTAGAGAAGAGAGAGGGAGAGGAGACAAGAAGCTTTTCCTACCTCATCGCTTCTCCGTGTTGTACCAGTTCAGTAGAGTATGCTCGCTTCTCAGCCATAGGTCTTACAGAATAAACTAGTTTCCCCCGCTTTTACGACTGGTTCTGGTGTTCCTCTTGCTGATGTCGTAGACGCTGTTTTGGAAGGCATTATTTAGCGGTAGCAAAGAAACAGGCTGTTAGGGTTACGGTTTGTAGAAAGTAGCCTTGCTGACCTTACCCGTTTTGCCCTTGGCACCACTTCTATTGTCCACTGTCGCGTGGCAAACTTGGTTACACTGCAAGGACGTTTGCACCTGCGACTTTCCATACAGACGTGATAGGATTCAAAGATTGTCGAGATTCGTTGTTTAAGACTTCTTCCCCTTTCGCTCCATTAGGGTTAGCAGCAGCAGCACTAGTATGGCTCACTTCCAGGACCCGTGGGTCAAAGAGTTCGAGGATGCCTCCAGGATGGCGGATGACTTGGCAGGCCTTATTCAGGAAAGAAACGACGCGATCAAATTAAAAGGGGATCCATCGCGCCTCGTCGCTGCAGCTCGCCGAAAGATTGCGATGCTTATGGCGAAATCGGATCGCCTAGAAACTGGGCTTCGAGTTGCAGCGGAGAAGTCGCAACTGTAAGCTTCTTGGAGGAGGGATTAGGGTGACAGGTTCTTGCTATGAAGCGTAGGTTTATAGCTATCTCTTGATGAAACCTGTTGTAGTCGTTTGTTACCTTTCTCTCCTCGTTAACTTTTGCCGCAAAGACACACGTCCCGTGTTTCGAATTTCGCGTATCTTAGCCGCTCTCTCCCTCTCTCCCTGTTTTCTTCGCTCTTCCAGCAATTCTACGGAGATTCGGCGGCGGGAAGACCTGCTTCTCGCTCTCCGCTTCAAGGCGAAGGAGATGGCAGCCGTGCTCACCTCCGCGCAATCAGCGGCTAACAGGTTCGTCGTCGCCTGATTGAAATGGGTTTAAATTGCTTAAACGGATGCGGCAGCCGTGCTCACCTCCGCGCAATCAGCGGCTAACAGGTTCGTCGTCGCCTGATTGAAATGGGTTTTAAGATTGCTTAAACGGATGCGGCAGCCGTGCTCACCTCCGCGCAATCAGCCGCTAACAGGTTCGTCGTCGCCTTGGTTTACGTAACGATACGTATCTCCCCCCTTCTCCTCCCATCCCTCCTTTCCCCCTCCCCTGCCACCCTTCCATCCCCCGCTCCCCCTTTCCCCCTCTCACCATTCTGACCCCTCGCTTCACTGCCTGCTGCTTTCTGCTTCTTTCTCGTTGCATTGCTTGCGCTTTCTGTTGACTGTAACTGGGTGCTCTGCCTCCCCCTCGCGTCCTTCTTTCTGAGGCTTTCGCCCTGCCATGACGGGCGAGTTTCGTTGGCGCGAGAAATGGAGTTCAAGTACTCGTCCGTGTTTTGGCGTCAATGACATGCTGAGGTTTGAGACGTCTCAACTCAAAAGTTGGCGTGAGAAGAGGAGCTCAAGTACTCGTCTGCGTTGCGACATGCTTCTGTCACATCACATGCTGCCTTGCATGTTTCTTTTTCCCCTCCCTCGGGCCTGGCGGGCGAGGCGAGTTGTAATGAAGAGGAAATATCCTCCCCCTCTTCCCCTCGTTTCCTTCCCGCTGCAGGTCAGCCCTGCTGGGCCGTGACGGGCGGTCGCTGGTGGCGGTGGAGACGGAGAGAACAGCCTCGCGAGACAACAAGGGGCTCGTGGCTCTGCAGCAGGAGATCATGCAAGGTATGCTGCTGAAAGGATGCGCTCTTGTTTTTTAGTTGACTTAAACAAGAAGCTTGTGGCTCTGCAGCAAGAGATCATGCAAGGTATGCTGTTGAAAGGATGCGCTCTTAAACAAGAAGCTTGTGGCTCTGCAGCAAGAGATCATGCAAGGTATGCTGTTGAAAGGATGCGCTCTTAAACAAGAAGCTTGTGGCTCTGCAGCAAGAGATCATGCAAGGTATGCTGTTGAAAGGATGCGCTCTTAAACAAGAAGCTTGTGGCTCTGCAGCAAGAGATCATGCAAGGTATATGCTGCTGGATATCTGCCCTCTGAATATGTAGTCGATTCAAACAAAGGTCTCGTGGTGCTGCAGCAGGAGATAATGCAAGGTCTGTCGCTGTGGACATACATGCCCTCTGATTTCCTGGTCCACTCAAACAAGGGCCTCGTGGCCCTGCGTCAAGAGATCATGCAAGGCATGATGTTGAGGACATGCCGTCGTACCGTTGTTCTTTGTCTTTCTTGCGTTTTGCTGAGGAGTTGAGCGGTCCCCCCTCCATGCCTCTTGCCTGGCTTGGTTCCTGATCACATCCATTCCATTCATGTGAACCCTCCTTTTTGTTGGTTGTCAACAGGAGTGGCTAACCTCTTCTTTGTTCTCTTTGGAACTGCTCTTTGTTTTTTTGTCTGTTTTTTTACCTGCCGATCGGAGCAGAGCAAGACTCGGAGCTGGAGGAGCTGGAGTCGACGGTGGCAACCACCAAGCACATTGCGCTCACCATTAACGGCGAGCTGGACCTGCATCGACATCTGCTGGTATGTGCCTGCCGACAGGTGTGTTTTGGGACCTCTCAAAACGAACGGTGGCAACCACCAAGCACATTGCGCTCACCATCAATGGCGGGCTGGACCTGCATCGACACCTGCTGGTATGTGCCTGCCGACAGGTGTGTTTTGGGACCTCTCAAAACGAACGGTGGCAACCACCAAGCACATTGCGCTCACCATCAATGGCGGGCTGGACCTGCATTGACATCTGCTGGTATGTGCCTGCCGACAGGTGTGTTTTGGGACCTCTCAAAACGAACGGTGGCAACCACCAAGCACATTGCGCTCACCATCAATGGCGGGCTGGACCTGCATCGACATCTGCTGGTATGTGCCTTTTCTTTGCATTATTGTATGCATGTTTTGATAGCTACCATTCGTACTGTATGACTGACGCATCTCCGTGATAACTTTGTGAGCATCCAAGTGAGCCTTTGCTGCAGCAGAATCAGCTATGCTGACTTCGGTTCTAATGGCTGAAGCTGTGGCTGCACGTTCTATGACTGAAGCCCTTTCCACGTGTTTGTGTCTGAATGGCTTTGCTGCCGGTGCACGTGTGCACGTGTGCAGGATGACTTGGATGACAACATTCAGTCAACAAATGCTCGTGTACAGGTGGGCTGCTCGTTTTGCTTCTATCACTCCATTATCCCTCACTGTCCCTCCCTCCCGTCTCTCTCTTCCTACCCTCCTCTCCTCCCGTCACTCCCCTTTCTTTCCTCCCTGCTGCTGCTTTCCTATTCTCGCTTTCACAACTCAATTATAGACTGGGACACATAATGTATAGTGTGTTGTTGCATACAATCCCACTTCTTCCCCCCCTAATTGACACTGCACAGCTGGCCAAGAAGAAGATGTCAATATTCATGCGCCGATCAGACAACACATGCAACATGCCTCTCGTCATGCTAGTAGCTGCAGGGCTGGTATTCGTCACACTTGTAGTGTATTCGGTTCTCAAGATGTTTCGTCGTCACACCTAGTTACAAGATTGCAGACACCACCATTCTTGGTTCTGTACAGTAATGTTTTGGTAGGTATTGTACTCTCCATAGCTAAAAAACGGGCTAGTTAAATAATGCTATGTCATTATACAATGTATTCTTCTGTCTACCTCCATTGCTTGTCATCCGCACTCGGTCAACCATGTCTTCTTGTTTCCATTGGCATACATGTGGACGATATTAACTAGAGTGGTCTTGAGTCGTCGTCCGCCACGTCGCTAAACAAATGAAATGAGCGGTTCTGCAGAAGTTTTGTGGGAAGGAAGGGGCAGCCTCGCGGAAAACGATTTACAGTACAGGCGGGCGGGCAGGCACCATGGAGGAAAGGTGAGCTGGTTTGATTGGTGGAGCAAGTCAATGAAACTTGTCGTCGACTGTACATGAACCTCTACAGTTTGAACCTCTCAGGGAGCAGAAACTTCCAACTATGTGCTTTAAAAAGCTTGTAAGAAGGTGGTCGGCGGTTTGTTACGGTTTAATTTGCTAAAATATGTTAAAGAGACAGGCTCGTCAAACACAGGCCCACTCGTGCCACCCCCAAATCGAACCTGTTCCTGTGTGAAGGGCATCTTGTTTTGACGAATTCCGTCGCAGACGAACCCGTCCGTCAGTCACCAGTCCGTCAGCCTGCGGGGGAAGGTGAGCTTCGTGCTGCTCTGCTTCCCCGAAGGGCCTGTCAAGAGAGTGCACTGGACGCCATACCGCGCAGCTCGTTCGATGGTGCTCCGCTTTGCAGTGCGCTGCACTCGTCACTGCTGCCCCTCTCACTCCTATCACATCACACAGCACACATCACATCACATGTCCTCGCTCTCTCCTTATAATGGCGTCTTTCTACTGGTAGCATCTCATCAGCCAGTCCTTTTGTCAATTCCACGAGGTTTTTTTCTTTTGCTCACAGCTCCACTCTCCCGATCACAGGCTACGTGGAACCCTATTATACCGTTCACGCACGCGGTGTTCCAGGTCTTTCGTCTGAACCTAATCTAACGACATCCAGATTCGTTTTTCTCTGATTAAATAGATATTGTAGTAAAATGGCGAACGCAATGGCTGACTGTGAGGGCGTGCCGATAACTCTCCCCAATGCCGCCCATAGTCGACAGAAGTTTAACAACTCCTTCCATCCGCAAGTCGCGGCCAGCCCGCAAGTCATAGGTTTCACTCCGCGCTTCGAGGTCGGAGCGCAGCTCGGTGAAGGCTCCTACGGCGTCGTTAACGTTTGCCACGAGAAAGCCGTGTTGACACGTCAGCTGTCACGGCAACCTAGCTACGGCGCAAGCAGGCTGCATCTTCATCCGGGCGCCGCCGCCGCCGTCGCCGCAGTTGACGGAACTGCCGCGGCTGCCGGAAATGGCGCCGCGAATGGCGCCGCAGATGGCGGAGGAGGCGGCGACAGCGACGAGGAGAACGGGGTCGAGCGGCCGCAGATCGTGGCGAGCGTGGAGCGGGTAGAAGCGACCGAGGCGGCGCTCCTCGCGGCGCGAATCGCGGCGGAAGACGCGGCGGGAGACGCGGAAGGAAAATCGCAACCACTTCCGGCGAAGACCGCGGCGGAACCGCCAGCCGCGGGCAAGATATACGCGTGTAAGACGGTGGATAAGATTCTCAACGTGGAAGGCGGCGCGGCGACTCAGAAGCGGTTGTCTGCTCGCGATATAGAGGTGCGCGTTAGCGCGCTTAAGCACGAAATTAAGGTTCTCAAACACGTGGGTTATCATCCGAACATTGTGAAAGTTGTCGGAGTTTACAATAACGAGAAACGGCTGCGACTCGTTATGGAGCTGTGCGACGCGGGGGACCTGCTGGGGCTTCTAACGAATCCTCCCAAGAAGCCGCAGGCGGAAGCTAATAACGGGAATAACGGTGCAGGAGGAGGTGCGAATAAAGAAGGTGATTCTAGCGAACGCGCAGCAGGCAACGAGACCAAGCCTGAAGAGACCCGAGGGAAACCTTTCACCAAAATCTCGCAGTTTTTCAAAGGGCTGGCCAAGGGGACAGCAGACCTAAAACTAGCAGAAGCTGGGGCTACTAATAACGGGGACGGCAGCAGCAGCAGTGCCCAGCCCGAAAAAATGCTGCAAACGGGCCTGTCGGAAAGGCAGACTGCTCTGATGTTCCGCCAGCTGGTAAAGGCTGTTGAGCACTGCCACTCGCGGCAGGTGATTCACCGTGATATCAAGCTGGAAAACGTGTTGCTGAACAACTGCTGTTGCTGCAAATGCAAGCCTGGGTCAGACGCAGGGGGGCAGGCGAATGGGAACCAGCAGCAGCAGCAGCAAGGCGAGCCGTCTACCTGCTCGGGTTACGTCGTTAAACTCGCGGATTTCGGGCTGGCGAAGCTGCTGCAGCCAACGCAAGCCATGGCGAACGGCAACAAGGGCAGCCAGCTGTACAAAGCACCTGAGGTGGCGCAGGGCCGGTGGTATACCACCCAGGCTGACATGTGGTCTTTAGGAGTCGTTCTGTACGCTTTGCTAAGTGCCAGGTTTCCGCCGAGGGATGCGCAGGGGATGGTGGCATGGGAAGCGGTTTCGGACCAGAGGTTGTTGTTTAAAGGGGGGAGCTGGAAGGAGGTGAGTGCGGAGGCGAAGGCGCTTGTGGGTGTTCTGCTGTCGTGGGATCCGAAGGGGCGGTTGGATTGTGGAGAGGTGTTTAATCACCCGTGGCTGGTGCAGCACTGCAGATGAGAGAGGAGATTGAGATTGTGTGGGGACTAGGAGGAGTGGGAAGGAGGTGAGTGAGGAGGCGAAGGCGGTGGTGGGTGTTCTTCTGTCGTGGGATCTGAAGGGGCGGCTGGATTGTGGGGAGGTGTTTAATCACCCGTGGCTGGTGTAACAGTGCAGATGAGAGAGGAGAGGAGCGAGGGGAGATTGGTTGGAGTGGGAAGGAGCAGTGGCCGTATTGTGGCGAGGTGTTTTAACACTCGTGGCTCGTGCAGCACTGTCGATGAGGGGGGAGAGGATGAGTGATGAGGCAATGTGGAGGAGAGAATGATGCAACAGGTGTAGAGGGTTAGACAGACAGGTGATTCACTTCATTTGCCTGCTGTGTCGTCTCTCTTTTCTTCTCCCTTGGAACCTTAAACAATATGTACTGCTGTGGTGAGTGCTGCAAATAGCATTTGCCTTGCTTGATTTTTGCCTGATCTTTTAATTAAATTTTTGAAGTGCACAGCATTAACAAGTATGCTAGTAGTGCGACATACAATACAATACAGCGAATAAATCCGCCATGGGTGATGGTCGGGGTTGAGAGCAGGGCAGTGTTAACAGCATGTAGCCAGGTTGGGGAAGAGTCAGCTGGAGTGGGAGGCCTGAGTCAGGAAAGAGACAGGAGGAGTGTGCATTGCATTTCCAGAACACTGCAGCACTTGCTGTGGTTTGCTGGAAGCAGACAGAGGGCTGGGGGGGCGATGGGGCCAGCACGGGGGGCAGCACTATTTAGGCGCCTCAAAAGTCGCAGACGGAAGTAGTTCCAAGCAGCACGGGTGGATCGGATAGGCTCCGTGACGAGACTCCAGAGCCCTGACTATTTTTGAGGCGCCTCAATAATAAGCTTTGTTGTGACGGGACTCCAGACTCCAGTGCCCTGTGATGCTGCACTGCAACTGCGCTGCGCATCAGGTGTGGAGTTTTGAGACGTCTCGAAACACGGGAGGATCAGATAGGCTCCGTGACGAGAGTCCAGTCCAGGGGCGCTGTGAAGCTTTGCATCAAAGAGAATTGAAAGCCTTGCGAAGGTTTTGGGAGATTAGAGCCTTAAGAGCAGCAGCAACGGTGGTTCAGACAGGCTCCGTGACGAGACTCCATAGCCCTGTGAAGCTGCACTGCACCTGAGCATCAGATGTGGGGAGTGGGGAGCGGCAGGCAGGGAGTGGGGGAGTAGGAAAAAGAAGAGGGAAAAATGCTTGTTTTGGGGGACTCTGAAATAGCTTAGGGCATGTAACTTTTGCCGTTTCGGTCAAATGTCCGGACGGAGCCCTCAAAACGTCCGAACAGAGCTCCGTCCGGACGTTTGGGACTCAGGTCCGGACGACAGCCCGTCCGGACCACAAATGTGGAGCTTTTTGAATACCCGAAAATTTGTAATTTCGTTTCAAGATGTAACAGGCATTACTGCACTCGTAGAGTGTCGTGAAGGTTCGCCTTCAAAAATTAGCGGCAAGATACTGGGTGCGATTTTCAACAAATCGTGCGCCAATGACAGCGCAGAAAAATCGGACGGTCCGATATACCGTTCGGACGATGTCAGCAAGGTAGTCCGGACCAAATTTTGACAGAAAAGTGTCAGACATGGTCCGGACGGTGGCGACGTCGCAGGGCGTCTCGCGAATTCCTAACCGAGGTGCTGCGAACTTAGTTACCCTACAAATGTCCGGACGGGGCTTCCGTCCGGACGATGGAATGTGAAAAGGTTACACGCCCTTAGGGAAGGTGGAGAGAAAGTGGAGAGCGCGGAGAGAGAGGAGGCAGACAGACGTATTACCTCTTCAAATACTCCTCTTTAAGTTCTCGCGAGTTAATTTGTCAAGCTTTTGCCCCGAGAGCTTTGAGAAGCTCTGCCTGAGCCTCGGGGCAGAAGGCAGAAGCGTTGCAGCGAGCACAGGGCAGGCAGAAGCGGTGCGAGAAGAAGAAGCTGCAGCTGCAGGCAGGCGAGCAGCAGACGGAGGCGCGGCAGAGGGGAGAGAGGAGAGAGGGGAGGAGAAAGGGGACAGAGGAGGCAGACTTTCTCTTACCTCTTTGAATACCCGCTCCTTTATTCGTCAAGCTTTCGTTCCAAGCCAAGCGCTTTGAGCAGCTCAGCCTGGGCTTCGGGGCAGAAAACACAGCCTCACCTCTTGAGTTACTTGCTGGTTACTTGAGGCAGGCGAGCAGCACGCAGGGGTGTGGCTGAGAGAAGAGAAAGGAGAGAGGAGATACAGAAGAGAGAGCAGACCCAACATACCCAACATACCCTTACCATTTCGTATTCCGACTCCTTCATCCGTCAGGCTTTTGTGCCGAGAGCTTTGAGGAGCTCCGCCTGAGCTTCGGGGCAGAAGGCAGAAGCGTTGCGGCGAGCGCAGGGCAGGCAGAAGCGGTGCGAGAAGAAGAAGCTGCAGGCAGGCGAGCAGCAGACGGGGGCGCGGCAGAGAGAGCAGGCAGATCCGAGGAAGAGCGGCCGGCTCGAACGGGACGAGCCGGACTCGAATGGATCCCGACAGATGTAGCCATCCTCGAGGAACCTGGTGGGGTTATCATCGATGCATTTCACCAAGAACGGAATCACCAAGCCAGAAACGGAGGTTGGGATTCAGGACAGGATCCCGGCAGATGTAGCCGTTCTCGAGAAACCTGATGGGGGTATCATGAACAAATATCACCAGGGACAGAATTTACCAAGCCAGAACCGGGGGTCAGAATTCAGGACAGGATCCCGGCAGATGTAGCCATCCTCGAGGAACCTGATGGGGTTATCATGAACGAATATCACCAGGATGGACATTGCGCCAGAGGCAGAGTCAGGATGTAAGACCACAGCAAAGACCCAGCCGCACTCGAATGATTCCCGGCAGATGCATCCGTTCTCGAGGAACCTGACGTCACGAGGAACGGGCATCATGCGAGGAGCGAGATGATCTCCCACACAGGGATTATCAAGCCAGGACGGAGGTCAGGATTCAGGACAGGAAACAGACAAATGTAGCCAGACTCGAATGGATCCCAGCAGATGTAGCCGCCCTCGAGGAACCTGGTGGGGTGGTAACAGCCGGAAACGGAGGTTACGGTAATATTCAGGACAGGAACCAGGCAGGGAGGGACACATTTCAAACCAAGGTGACTTTTGAGTCAACTCAAAAGTCACTTCAGGACAGGAACCAGACAGGGAGGGACATCTCAAACCCAGAGTCAGGATACAATACCGGCACAAACATCGAGAGCCGCACTAGAATGGATCCCGGCAAATGTATCCGTCCTCGAGGAACCTGGTGGGGTTAAGAGCAATGAGTATCACCAAGAACGGAGATGACGAGGACGCAGTGGGAAGCACCTACGCGATCTGCGGCGCGAATGGCGGCCGACGGCCCATATAGTCGTAACGCGCTTCGAGTTTGCACAGCGTGCATGTGAAGATGGTTTCGCGGGATTTTTCGAAGGTCACCCGGTCCACATCGGAAGATTCCATGGTCGCAGGACGAAGAAACGGGACGAAGAGACGGAACGAAAACCAAACGGAGAAAACACAAGCAGCTTGGAATGACCAAACGTTCACATCGAGATATTTCAACTGGGTTTCGCGAGCATCGCTTTCTCCAAATCCCATTCTACCACGACCAAGCTGATCGCCATGGCGTCATTCCTCCGTCTCCAACGGTCGCCCTTCAGTGTTTCCCGCTCCATGCATATCTTGGGACTGAAAAAAAGGCAGAATCTAGGCTCACTGTACGCGTTTCCAGCAGAATCGGTAAAACTCACCACGAAATTGCATGATTTGCCCATGTGTAAAGTCTGTTTCGGAACTCAGCTCTTGTGCAGGAGCATTTCATGCATATACGCAGCTCCGCTATCGCTACTAGAATAGGAAAATCGTTTCACTAATTTCACTAGTTTCTGTAAGCTGGCAACAGAAATGAGCCCCTTTGCCACGCTGGAAGTCAAGCCGTTCATCAAAATTCTATTCACGCTACCTGGGGCAGGGATGACGCTATGATTGGCTAGTTCTCTGTTGACTGTCTCGTCAGCAAGGCGAGTACTTTCATTTCTGTCCAATTCCATCGTAACCGTACATAAGAGCACCGAACCGTGCAAATCACAATCACAGAAGACCAACAAATCCTGGAACAACCCGACGCTGTACAAACCGAGCCGTGACGTTGCCCCGTTGAATAAACCACGGCAGCAGCCACGGCACAAGGCCAAGCAGCAATGCCCAATCGTGGCTCGTCATGGGCCACGGGCAGAACGAAAGCAAAGAACTCATCTGAAGTCGTGCCGCGTCTCTTGTTTCATTTCAAATTCCGCCAAACCTCTCTGCTTGCGCCAACGCCCGTCTCAGGAAAGAAGTTGGAACCAGATGCTAGGTTTCCACTCCCACGGCTTCGAGTTCTTTCCGGTTCCGATTGACGAAACTCGTCTCGTCTTCGCCGACGTGGATTCCATATCGCGCTCATCTTGCTCTCATCATCCCTGATGTTCTTTCTCAAGCCTGGTCTCAACTCGAAATAGCTTTTCCATAGATTCTTTCCTGCTTTGCAGAAACGAACACCGGAGCTCTGCTTTCGTCATTGCTTCACAGCGCATTTCTTGGTCTTGAAGCTGTTCTGCCAGAACAGACTATCGCGAGTCCATCCGTAGCGTTGTAATAGATTCAACGGAGAAAACAAGGGGGGTAGAGTTTTACTATCATTTTTTCGCAATAGATGTAATATAGAACGCCTCTAGGCTTCTTCATCATGGCGTCACCTGGAGCGATAATCATTACTAGAGCTCTTCTGCTCTCCACCGCACTCCTTTCCGCGATTACCACTGGCGATACTACTGTTACCAGCACCGTTGGTCGTTCGAATTCGATACCTAGTACCAGCTACGTTGAGAGTTTTTCAAAGGCCTTCTCTAGACGTTTCCCTCACGGGGCCAGTAGCAGTAGCGGAACATTTGATCTCCCTCTCGGTTCGTCACCCGTCCCGACAGCTATAGTAGCTGCCACCGCTGCAATAACACGTCCTAAATTGAATAAAATCGGATCTCGTCTTCCGCGTCGCATGGTTGGCGCTCGAATCAGAATCACAGACAACCCGCAAGCAGAAAAACCTCAAGATATCGTCAAGAAACACCCCGCTTCAGCCAGCAAAGACGAGCCGCCATCTTCCAAGTTAACTTTGCCTCGACCTACTCCGACTGCACCTCTTCCGCCACCGATGACGCTGTTGGGAGGCCTGCGCAGGGGTTACGTGCCTGTTAGGCGGCGGAATCCCAGCGGCGGTCTCCAATCGAGTCGCCAGATTAGCCTGAGTGACGGCACCCGCCGCCGTCAGCTGCGCGGTCGCGACAGGCAGGCTGAGGAGGAGGCTTTTGAGTCGACTCAAAAGGATCCCAGCGGTGGTCCCCAATCGGGTCGCCAGATTAGCCCGAGTGACGGCACCCGCCGCCGCCAACTGCGCGGTCGCGACAGGCAGGCTGAGGAGGAGGATGGCGAGGCTGGCATGACCGAAGCTGGCATGACCGAAGCTGGCATGACCGAAGCTGGCATGACCGAAGCTGGCATGACCGAAGCTGGCATGACCGAAGCTGGCATGACCGAAGCTGGAGTGACCGAAGCTGGAGTGACCGAGGCTGGGAAATCCAAAACAAGCCCCGAGCTGTACTATAACGGAGGGGCTGTTATCATGGATCCGGTTGTCTACCTCATCTACTACGGCACGTGGCCTGAGAATTCCGGAGCTGCTGTCATTAAGAATTTCGTGCAGTCACTGGGAGGAAACGCGAGCAGGCAGGGGGGGCCGAGGGGTGAGAGCAGCGTGAGCGACTGGTGGGCGATCACCACGCATTACTTCATGACAGGGGCTGACCGCAAGCTGGCATACGTCACTCCCAAGGTGGGTGACTTCTTGTAGCTCCTAAGGAGGTGGGGAAGAGTGTACGTGAGAGCAGCGTGAGCGACTGGTGGGCGATCACCACGCATTACTTCATGACAGGGGCTGACCGCAAGCTGGCATACGTCACTCCTAAGGTGGGTGACTTCTCGAAGTGTGAAGCGTACATCACACCTACCCTCTTCCCCACCTCCCTTCCCCCCTTTTCTCCCCTCCTCCCCCCTTTACTTTCCCTCAACTCCGAGCATGTCTTTGTGCCCTTCCCACATGCCAGCTGCACCATGCGTCCTCCTCGACACCCGCAATCCCTTCCTAGATCGTCCCGACTTCATTGCCTTCCTCCCCTCCATCCATACTCGTCCTTCCGGGCATCCATCTTGTTTCCTCCCTCCGAACCACTTTGCAGGTTCGGTTTGGCGGCTCGGTAGTGGACCGGGGCTCCATCGGCCATTCCTTCTCCGACACCGAGATTGCACGGAGTGAGTTATCCTGGCCCGTGCACCTCTTGACTTTTGAGTCGACTCAAAAGTCAACACGGAGTGAGTTATCCTGGCCCGTGCACCTCTTGTTCTTAGGCGCCTTGCGAGCCTTCGCAGCTCCTTCCGAGGCGCCTCAGAAATAGACTCCATCGGCCATTCCTTCTCCGACACTGAGATTGCACGGAGTGAGTGGTTTGGGAGCCCTTGCAACTTTACTCCCAGTTGTTGATCGAAATGTGGGCAAGGCCAGCAAATTGCGATCCGATCCGATCCGATCCGATCCGATCCGATCCAAGCGGGATCTACATCGTGGTCACGCATGTCCCCTCAGGTCTCCAAGTGCCTCCCATTCACTCTTCCCCCGGTCTTTCTGCCTCCCCTTCGCCTTCCGCTCTTCCACCTTCCTTTTGTCAATTGCAACGAGGGCAAGGCCAACCGACTGCCGTCCCATCCGAGTGGGATCTACATAAAAAACAAAAAATAATGACGTCTCCTCCACTCCACATGCCTCCTTCCCCTCCCCCACCCTCCAGTTGTGGATCGCAATGTGGGCAAGGCCAACCGGCTGCCGTCCGATCCGAGCGGGATCTACATCGTGACCACTCGTGTCCCCTCAGGTCTCCAATTGCGTCTCAATCACTCCTCCCCTGGTCTTTCTGCCTTCCCTTCTCCTTCCCCCCCCCCACCCTCCAGTTGTGGATCGCAATGTGGGCAAGGCCAACCGGCTGCCGTCCGATCCAAGTGGGATCTACATTAAAAATAGAGAATGACGTCTCCTCCACTCCACATGCCTCCTTCCCCTCCCCCACCCTCCAGTTGTGGATCGCAATGTGGGCAAGGCCAACCGGCTGCCGTCCGATCCGAGCGGGATCTACATCGTGACCAATCGTGTCCCCTCAGGTCTCCAAGTGCGTCCCAATCACTCTTCCCCTGGTCCTTCTGCCTCCCCTTCTCCTTCCCCTCCCCCACCCTCCAGTCGTCGATCGCAACGTGGGCAAGGCCAACCGGCTGCCGTCCGATCCGAGCGGGATCTGCATCGTGGTCACCAGTGCTGACGTCCCATCCACGCCACACGCCTTCATCTCTCCTCTTCAACCCTTCCCCTTCGATGTCCTCCATTGCCCTTTCCCCTCACTCTCTTAAATCCCCTATCCCACACCCTCCAGTTGTCGATCGCAATGTGGGCAAGGCCAACCGTCTGCCGTCCGATCCAAACGGAATCTACATCGTGGTCACGAGTGCTGACGTGGACGTGTGGGAGTTCAGCCGCTGCAGCTACTGCGGGTGGCACGCACAGATGATGGACATGCGGAGCGGGAGCCCTGTGGCATACGCGTTCGTGGGCCACCACTCGCTGTGCTGCCAGTACAGCAAGTAAGTCTAACAAGGGATGAACCGTGACGAACTGTATAAACGTGAGTTCAGCCGCTGCAGCTACTCCGAGTGCCACCGGGAGCCCTGTGGCATACGAATTCGTGGGCCACCACTCACTCTGCTGCCGGTACAGCAAGTAAGCAGGGACGAGCAGGGAGGAACTGGGAGGAACCTTACTGTGGCATAGGTGTTCAGCCGCTGCAGCTACTGCGGGTGGCATGCGCAGATGATGGACATGCGCACCGGCAGCCCTGTGGCATATGCGTTCGTGGGTCACCACTCGCTGTGCTGCCAGAACAGCAAGTAAGCCTTACCTGTGTGGCTTGTAAAGAGGACAGATGGTGGACATGTGCACTGGCAGCCCTGTGGCATATGCGTTCGTGGGTCACCACTCGCTGTGCTGCCAGAACAGCAAGTAAGCCTTACCTGTGTGGCTTGTAAAGAGGACAGATGGTGGACATGTGCACTGGCAGCCCTGTGGCATATGCGTTCGTGTCGTGGGTCACCACTCGCTGTGCTGCCAGTACAGCAAGTAAGTATTGGCAGTGCCGTCCGTTCAGGGGCCTTCCTTGCGTAATCATTCGTGGGTCACCACTCGCTGTGCTGCCAGTGCAGCAAGTAACTATTGGCAGGGAGCCTTCCTTGCGTAATCATTCGTGGGTCACCACTCGCTGTGCTGCCAGTGCAGCAAGTAACTATTGGCAGGGAGCCTTCCTTGCGTAATCATTCGTGGGTCACCACTCGCTGTGCTGCCAGTGCAACAAGTAACTATTGGCAGGGAGCCTTCCTTGCGTAATCATTCGTGGGTCACCACTCGCTGTGCTGCCAGTGCAGCAAGTAACTATTGGCAGGGAGCCTTCCTTGCGTAATCATTCGTGGGTCACCACTCGCTGTGCTGCCAGTGCAGCAAGTAACTATTGGCAGGGAGCCTTCCTTGCGTAATCATTCGTGGGTCACCACTCCCAGCGCTGCCCGTTCATGCAGCTCCTCCCCCAACGGCCAGCCGGCCAATGACAGCATGGTGAGCACCATCGCCCACTAAAGCTGCTGCTCACCCACCCCTCCTGCCTCGCATTTCCCTTCCACCTTCCTGTTCCCCCATTCCGTCCCCATCCCCTCCTGGCAGCTCCTCCCCCAACGGGCTGCCAGCCAATGACAGCCTGGTGAGCACCACCGCCCATGAGACCACAGAGGCTGCTGCTGACCACTCCAGCCTCCTTAACCCTCGCATTTCCCTGCCACCCCCTGCCCCTCAAATCCCACCCCATCTCACTGGCAGCTCCTCCCCCAACGGGCTACCAGCCATAGACAGCATGGTGAGCAGAGCACCATCGCCCACGAGATCACCAAGGCTGCTAACCTTGCCTGCCAAACCCTCTGCCACTCTCCCCCTCCCCCCACGCAGCTCCTCCCCCAACGGCCTGCCAGCCATAGACAGCATGGTGAGCACGATCGCGCACGAGACCACAGAGGCCACCACCGAGTACACTGGGCTCTCCCCACCACTACCACTGAAACCTCTACCCAATATCCTCCCTCCCCATCCCCTATCCCCTACCCTTGATCCCCCCTGGAAGCTCCTCCCCCAACGGGCTACCAGCCATAGACAGCATGGTGAGCACCATCGCGCACGAGATCACTGAAGCCACCACCGATCCGGACATTTCCTCGGGCTGGTTCGACGCTTCCGGGCAGGAAAACTCCGACAAGTGCGGCTCCTTCTACGGGCAGCCGGAAGAAATAAAACGCGCCCGCGGCCCCAGCAGCAGTGGCAGTGGCGGCAGCAGCAGCGGTAGCACAACCAGCAGCAGCCGGCACAGGGGGAACGCGTTTTTCAAATCCAACTTCGCAGCCCCTCAGCAGAACGATGAGTATGAATACAACATGGTTGGTAACCATGGCATGCGTTACATGGTGGAGGGCAACTGGGATCTACTCACAGGCACGTGCCAGATCCAAGGAAAGCCTCACGACCCTAGGTCTACCGAACCTGAACGGCTGGCTCGGAACCAGGGCTTGGCTCCGAACCAGGATTTGGTTGGAGTTTCGACAGAAGGCGGATGGAGAGCGTCGTTTTTAAGTGATTTCGCCACTACAAGTTCTGCCGCCCCTAGTTCTGCTGCTCCAGGCTCGGAATACATTGTCATCCCTCCTGACTATGGCGACAGCATCGGATCCCTTCCCCCTCCAAGCTCTGCCGCCCCAAGCTCTGCCGCCCCAAGCTCTGCCGCCCCAAGCTCCGCTGCTCCAAGCTCTGCCGCCCCAAGCTCTGCCGCACCGAGCTTTGCCGCCCCGAGCTCTGCCGCCCCAAGCTCTGCCGCCCCGAGCTCTGCTGCCCCTAGTTCGGAGTATGGCCCAGGTTCGGAATATGCCCCAGGCTCGGAGTATGGCCCAGGTTCGGAGTACGCCCCAGGCTCGGAGTATGTGTACTACCCACCTGGCTCTGAAGGCGAGATTGGCTCATTGGCTTCTCCCAGTTACACCGCCCCTAGTTCCGCCGCCCCTAGTTCCGCCGCCGCTAGCTTCGCCGCCCCTAGTTTCGCCGCCCCTAGTTCTGCCGCCCCTAGTTCTGCAGCCCCTAGTTCCGCCGCCCCTAGTTCCGCCGCCCCTAGTTCTGCCGCCCCTAGTTCTGCCGCCCCTAGTTCTGCCGCCCCTAGTATCGCCGCCCCTAGTTCCGCCGCCCCTAGTTCCGCCGCCCCTAGTTCCGCCGCTCCTAGCTCTGCCGCCCCTAGTTCTGCCGCCCCTAGTTCTGCCGCCCCTAGTTCTGCCGCCCCTAGTTCTGCCGCCCCTAGTTCCGCCGCCCCTAGTTCCGCCGCCCCTAGTTTCGCCGCTCCTAGTTTCGCCGCCCCAAGCTCTGCCGCTCCTAGCTCCGCCGCCCCTAGTTCCGCCGCCCCAAGTTCCGCCGCCCCTAGTTCCGCTGCCCCTAGTTCCGCCCCCCCTAGTTCTGCCGCCCCTAGTTCCGCTGCCCCTAGTTCCGCCCCCCCTAGTTCTGCCGCACCTAGTTCTGCTGCTCCAAGCTCTTCCCCTCCCAGCAATGCTGCCCCCAGCTCTGCTGCTCTCCGTTCAAACAGGGCACCTGGCTCGGAAAATGCACCAGGCTCGGAAGTTGCACCGGGTTCAGATGCGGCACCTGGCTCGGAAACAGCACAAGGATCGGAATCGGCCCCTGGTTCGGAAGCAGCTCCTGGGTCGCAGGCTGCTCCAGGTTCGGACGGTGCTCCGGGATCAACTAATGCACCAGCCTCAGAAAATGCTCCGGGCTCTGAAGATTCTCCAGGCTCGGAAAATGCTCCAGGCTCAGAAGAGGCTCCAGGCTCGGAGGCTCCAGGCTCGGAAGAGGCTCCAGGCTCGGAAGAGGCTCCAGGCTCGGAATATGCTCCAGGCTCAGAAGATGCTCCAGGCTCGGAAGATGCCCCAGGTTCAGAAAATGCTCCAGGCTCAGAAGAAGCTCCGGGTTCAGAGAATGCTCCAGGCTCGGAAGAAGCTCCAGGCTCAGAGAATGCTCCAGGCTCGGAAGAGTCTCCAGGCTCGGAAGGATCTCCAGGTTCAGAGAATGCTCCAGGCTCAGAAGATGCTCCAGGTTCAGAGAATGCTCCAGGCTCAGAAGATGCTCCAGGTTCGGAGTACGCTCCAGGCTCGGAATATGCCCTAGGCTCAGATGCGCCAGATGCTCCAGGCTCGGAATATGCTCCTGCTCCAGGCTCGGAATATGTTCCTGCTCCAGGCTCGGATTATGCTCCTGCTCCTGGTTCGGAGTATGCTCCTGGCTCGGAGTATGCTCCTGGCTCGGAGTATGCTCCTGGCTCGGAGTATGTTTCACCTATTGAAGACTTCCCACCTGATTTGGAGCCTGCTCCCAGCTCAGAGGATGCACCTGGTTCAGAATATTATTCAGGTGGATCAGATTCAGGGAGTTACGCACCTGGATTTGGAGATTCAGGTGGATTGGATTTAGGGAACAACGCACCAGGATTTGGAGATTCTTCAGGTGGATCGGATTTCAGCAATGCACCACCAGAGTTCGAAGAGTATTCAGATGGATCAGATTCAGGTAGTTACGCACCTGAATTGATAGATTCGACGGTTGGATTAGATTCAGGGAGCAATGCACCTGCGTTCAGAGATTATTCAGGTAATCTGGATTCAGGCAGCAGCGCACCAGAATTTGGAGATTATTCAAGTGGATCGGACTTAGACAGTTACGCGCCTGGAGTGGGAGACTATGCGGGTGAGAGTCTTTGAAATCCAGGCAGCCTAGACATGATGAGCTTTTTGAAACCACTCTTTCATTACTAAGAGAATAAGGACTGATTCACGTCTTTGCACTCGATAGCTTCCTGCATTTCAGCTCGTATATCACATGCGGTGTTGTTCTGATGTGGCTATGGATGGTGGCATATGGTTCTGCAACTAAGAATCTGCTCACAGCGTTCCTAGCATAGTGATAGCTGTGGAAAATACGGTGGGTGGGATGTGAACAAGGAATCAGGTGACTAACAGGCTCAGTTTTCTTCCCTAAACCCTACCCAACCGTTCTTAAATGTGCGGCAAACACAATGATGCGAAGCATTTTCCCTAACCTCCAGTGAATCAAAACTGGAAGTGTCGTGTCTATGTTCAAGGGGAAATCTTGAGTAACCGAAGTCCAGAATAATTAATGTTTTTTATAGTCACCAAGAGTTAAATGTTTGACGTGTTCATATTGGCCTCACACGACCTCGAAGTGAGTACAATAATGGAACCAGCCAGTGTCCTTGGACGTGCGCGCTTCGTGAAGTGCAGCTTCCTTCCCATCAGATTTTCGTGACCACGAGTTACTTTTTCCTTCACTTTCGTGTTCGCGACATTCACCCCAAACCACCAAATGGCGAAATTTTGCGACAAGTACAGCACACCCCTACCCGAATAGTTGGTGAGGGGGGGGGCAGCAGCATTTTCCCCCATCCCCAACAAAAATGGCGCGAAAACGGGCTGTGATCTGTGGAAATGGCACCGCCCAGGGCTCCTCCAACCAACATCGTGTATTCGGAGGTCAAGCTCTTGAGAGCAAGAGAGAGGAGATGGGGAAGTGAAGTGAGCAGAGGCAAAAGCATGTCACACCTGCTGTGCTTGCGCGAATTGGAGTTAGGTTGAATCGAGTTGAGTCTCGAAGTTAGGTCAAGTTTTAGTCTGGTGTCCAGGACTACGGCCATAGAGTTGACCAGCGCCCAGCTACTTCTGAAAGAGCATTTCCCGGACTCTTTGTTCACACGCATTGTTATCCACGCACGAATGCTAGCCCAATGCGCATTTGCGACAATGGTAACATGACTAGCATTATCGCAACGTCTAACAGTCAGTCTAGCTTTTTGCTTAACTCACCATTTCGCATATTTTTTAATCGCGACTAACAGAAATGGCCCACAGGTTTGGCTCAAGTCGTTTAGAGAGGCGAAACAGTATCGCGGACGACTCGGACCCATGCGCGGGAGACGGCAACGGGCAGGGGCGCTACGGCCAGGGGGAAGTCGGCTGGTGCGGCTCGCTCTTTTCGCGCGCACCCAAGCGCGGCGGACCCGCGGGCCGCTTGCGCGGGTTCACATGGGACCCGTGGCGGAATGATTCGGGGAGCGGCGGTGGCGGCGGCGGCGGCGGCGGAAGTGGCTGGGGATGGGGAAGCGGAGGCGATGGCAGCATGTCACCGCGCTCTCCGCGCACTCCCCGCACTCCGCGCTCCCCGCGAGCGCCGATAACGCCTCGCCGACGCCGGCACGATGGCAGTTATCGACCCGGCACGCCGTCCCACCGTCCTGGCTCTCCTTATAAGAACGCACCGCCTTATTTCCTTGGCGGGCAGCCCCTCGCCTCCGTGGCCGCTTCTGGGTCGTACGATCCTGCTAACGGGGGATCGCTTCCCGACGGAAACAGCGGCGAGTTTTGGGGAGGCGGTCCGGCGCTGAGCGCGTCCCGGCGAGCGGGGCGGCAGCAGGGAGGCGGCAGAGACGGCGGCAAGGGCGGGGCAGGGGGTTTCCTGGTGATGAGCGATTGGCTGACGTGTTCGTTACAGTCCCTGCTACAATCGCGTATGGAGCAGCTGCATGCGTCGGAACAGGTGAGCCGGCGGCAGCTGATGGCGGAAACTGCGGAGATGGTTCTCAATGTGCTCGACGCGCGTTCCTCAGACGATGCGCTCGCGCATCGCTCCGAAGTCTCCGCGCTGCGCCGCCTCCAACGGGAGTCGTTCAGCGACCTATTGCACCTTCGCGACAGGCTCACGCGGCTCGAGCTCCTCGCGGACGAGTTCTCCCTCGGCCAGCACCGCGTCGCGCCCGCCGCGTTCCTCGCCGCGAACTCCGGCCGCACCGAGGTCTCGGGCCGCATCACCGTCGGGTCCGCGCTCGTCCCAACAGGCGGCCTCCGCTCGCACCGCTCCCGAGCCGCGATGGAAGCGGCGGGGCTGCGCTCCGGCGTGCAGATGGCTTTAAATCTCGCGTCCCTCTGCCGGTCGTCGGACCGCCTTAGTACCGTTCTAGGAGTCGGGCCGCCGGACCCGCTAGGCCCGGCATTAGCGCTAGGCGGCCCGGTAGTGCTGCAGAAGGCGGTGTATAGGGCGCAGGTGGCGGAAGGGTTGGCGGTGACCGCCGCGCCGATGGGCGCAAGCGGAGCGGACCTGGTGGGCGAAGGCTCCGCGGGAGCGGGAGTGCGCGGAAATAGCGCATCGAATCAGGTACGCAGACTAGCAGGCACCTACGTGTTTCTGAATTCTATCAGTTATCGGTTTTGACATCCTTGTTTAACCTCGTTCCTCGTTTTTCATCGTTTGACATCCTCTTTTCTCTCTCTCCTCATTATCCTTGTCTAAATCAAGCCTCTTTCCCTGTTCTTCCCTGTCTTCATGTCTTCCTATTGGGCGCAGCCACGTGGCCTCACCACGTTCAGCAGCGGCACGATTCCGCTCCTCCAATCCATCCGCGGGTCCGCCCTCGCGGTAACCGTCGACACGCCCGTCCCCGCGCTTTCCCCCTTCCTGCCCGCGGTCTCCCGCGCTCTATCCGCCATTCCGCGCGCGCTTCCTCCATCCATCGCCCGCGCCCTGGGCCTCCGCTCCTCGCGCCACTCCCCGTACACTCCCCTCCGCCCCTCCTCCCGCTCCGCTTCCGCGGATCCGCCCGCGCTGTCGTTTACTGCGGGGAAGCTAGTCGCGGGGTGGGGGGTTCCGCTGGAAGATCCTTCCGCGCTCGCCGCCGCCGCGGCGGATACTGCGCTCTGCACCTCCGCCATGGGGCATCTTGCGCTCCGCTTTTCCCCCACCCTGCGCGTTTCCGCCGCCGCCGCGTCGCACTCGTGGCCCTCGCCGCCCGCGCCGTCCTTCCCCGGACTGCACTGGTCAGAAATGGGGCCCCTGGTGCTTCCGCGGCTGGGGGGAATCTTCCGCAGCCCGCACCCGCGCGGCGGGGGCGCGAGGGGGGGAATGCAGGTGGTGGCGGAAGCGGGGTCGACTACAGAAGGGGGAGCGATGGGCGGAAGATTCGGGGGAAGCGGTGTGGGCGCGGAGTCCCCGCGGAGTTGCGCCAGTGGGGGAGTGGATAGAATAGTAGTGGAAAGTATGAGGGGCGGCGGAGGGGGCGGAAGCGGAGGCGGGGGCGCGGGAAGGGGAAGCGGAGGTATGGGTGGTATAGGGGGAAGCGGGAACGTGCTGGAGGGCGCGGGTGACAGTATTGATGCCACGAGCGCGTGGCTGATGGATATGGGTGACTATAACGAGAGCAGACCAGAGTCCTTTGGCGTGGCGCTGGCTTTTGAAAAGGAGCTTCAAGGGGGAACAACTGTTTCCGCGTGGGCGCAGCGGTCCAGGTGGGCGGGGGAGTACGGGGGCGGAGTGGCGGCAGGGGGAGGCGGAAGGGGGGGAGAGGAGGCGGAAGAGGGGCTTCTGGGGAGATTGGGCGCGGATTGGCAGTGGGCGGTGGCGGTGACGGGAAGAGCAGCAGGGGAAGGGGAGGAAGGGGAGAGAGTGGGGAGTGGCGGAGGGAAAAGGGCGAGTGGAAAGGGAGGGGGAGGGGAAGGAGGGGTGAGAGCGGCGAGGGTAGTTGGGTACAGGGTGAGTGTTGGGCAGGGGGTACCAGAGGGTGGTTTACCCCCGGATTTGGTGGAGAGCAGTGAGGTGTCGATAGGGGGAGTGGGGAAGGGGGGCGGGGCGCGGAGGCTGTGGCAGGGGGAGGGGAGTGTGGTGGTGGATTGCGGGGGGGGAGTGGTGCTGGAGCCGGGGGTGGTGGTTGCAGGGAATGGGGAGCTGGGCGTGCACACTGCCTTCATGCTGCGAACCACACTCAACATCTAGACTGCGTTTGGTGGTGGAGGGAGTGGTGGTGGACTATGGTGGTGGGAACTGGTGAGGAGCTGTCAAAAGAGGACAGGTGGGCTGCGGAGGCCTTACTTGCATCTAGACTGCGTTTGGTGGTGGTGGGAGTGGTGGTGGGAGTGGTGGGAGTGGTGGTGGGAGTGGTGGGAGTGGTGGTGGGAGTGGTGGTGGGAGTGGTGGGAGTGGTGGTGGACTATGGTGGTGGGAACTGGTGATTGCCTGAAACGGGGAGCTGGGCGCGTTCATACTTCCTTCATGCTGCGAACCACACTCAACATCTGGATATCCTCTCTCATCTCTGCTGGTTGGATCGAGGAGAGTGGTGCTGGAACTGGGAGGAGGGGGGGTTGGGGGTGGGTGGTGACTTCGGGGGAAACAGTGACCTAGGGGCGTTTACACCGTGCCGTCATGCTGAGCGGTGTTGATAGGGCCAACAACAAACAGCTTCACTGACCACTGACGCACTTAGGATTGACTGCGGGGTTGACTGGGGGTTGACCGAATCTTGACCGGGATCTTACGGGGGGTTGACTGTGGGGGGAGGAGGATGGGGGGGGAAGGGGGGGGGGGAGGGCAGGGCATGAAGGGGGGGGGGGGAGAGGGCAGGGCAGGAAGGGGGGGATTTAGGTCGCTGCAGTAGGCTCAGCTGACTAACTGACAGGGAGATGGAGTTCAGCACTCTCTACAATGTCTGGTAGCTGTCAGGGGCATAATTGAGCTGCAGTGTTTGCAGACGTTTTTTGGCGGTTGGGGAAGATGGTGACGATGTATTTTTTGGGCAGTTTTTTGGAAGATGGCATTAAAGGGAGGAACGGTTGAGTGCGGGAGGAAGGCAGGCTGGTCCTTGGAAGGTAATTTATGAGCGCCGCAGTGAGGGCTGCTGCTCACACCACTCATTCGTTAGGACCTTGTTGATGACAGGAGTGCTGAGCATATATTGAAGGAGCATAAAAAGTGTAATGTTGGTTCTATCAATTAATGGTGTTTGAATATACACTTGCTGATAGATGGAACATTACAAAAGCCTCCTCTCCGACCTCAAAGTACTACCTAACTGACTAGTCTACCAGTATCCACATGCATGAGCAGTGCTTCTGCAATGTTCCCCCATCACCCTCATCATCATCCACTGTCTTTTACAAGCTGAGGTGGAAGGTAAATCACACCCTCCCACCGATCACTCTTCCTGAAAGCGCCCCGTCAGCACCGGAGAATCCGAGGTACAGGTCATCATTGGTGATCCCCTGAATGGACGCCAACACATCCGCCACGTCAGCAGCTGACGCCCTCACGACATTGGCCAGCGACCAGGACACCGGGCTCATGGGCACCCACGTGCCAGGCAGGGCGAGGGCTGCTGAAGCAGCGCTGTTGCTGCAGGCGTTGCCCTTGAAGATGGCCTGCGAGTCCGGGGCCTTGGTCACTCCTGCTGCGTACAGGTAGTATGTGAGCAGATAGTCCGAGCCACTGCATGGGAGGTATTGAAAGGCACCGAGAGGTATGGAAGAAAGGAGTATGAGTTACGGAGGGATGAACTTAGCATCAACCCAAAATGCAAGGAGAAATCCTGGTGGGGAGAGAGAAATAAATGCTGGATGGTGGATCAATAGGAGTCAGCACGAGTCAACAGGAGTCAACGCAAGTGACTTACATCTTCATGATCTGAATGTCAGCAGCGCCGGCCTGAAGAGACAGCAGGCCCTTGCATGATGTCAGCACGGCACGCAGCATGCCTGCCTGCTGGGGCAGAAGATTTGCGAGACTCCCCACCACGCTGCCACTCACACCACCGCCGTTCAGAGCGCCATTCAGAGCCCCGCCCAAAGCACCGTTCAAGCCGGTGTTCAAACCGCCGTTCAGAGCGCCATTCAGAGAGTTCACCATCCCAGCGAGGGCGGACACGTTCCCTTTGAGTTCAGCCTCTGCGCGCCGCGCGGATCGCCACAGAAGCCGCCCCGGCGGCTGGACGCGACACGGCCGCGGAGCCTACGCCCAAATCTGCGCCTGAGCCGATTATCCCCGCCAGATCCTTGTTCAGAGCGGTGATGCTGCTGCTGATAGAAGAGATGTTGGACCGAATCCCCGAGATCTGGGAAATCAGATCCGTGAAGTTCAGATTCGGCGACCCTGAGATGTTCAGAGCGTTAAGATTAACGAGGCTCGCGTTCAAAGCAGCGAGGTTGGCTTTAAGGGCGGATATCTGCGCCTGGAGCGCGGCGTCAGCGGACGCGTTGCTGCTGAGGGCCGCCGAGATCTGATCGAGCGATTTCTTGAGAAGCGCGTCGAGAGACGCGATCTGGCCGTTGAGGGACGACTGGAGGCCGGAGAGCGTCGAGTTGAGCGCCGCTGCGGGATTGACGCTACCCGCTGCTGCGGCTGCCGATGCAATGGCTGAATTCAAGCCGGGTCGAAGGCGGTTGGTGGGTAAAGAGCCGGCGCTGGGGAGAAACCGTCCTGCTTCGGCTGGTTGCGTTGCCAAAAGCACTGCAATAGATGAAAAAACGAGGAGAGATGAGGTTTCAAGGACGAAATGCAACTGAAAGTTCGTAGCTGGCATATTTTCATGTGTAACGCGTGAAGAGGTGCTCTTTCGTGCTGAAAAGCACGGGTGGCGAAGTGGCTCACCTGTGAGGACCAGAGCGACAAGCCCTAGCGTGGATGGAGCTGCGGTGCGTGCCATGATGGTTGTCGAGCTACTACTTATCGAGTTGAAGTGAGAGAGCTCAGGCAGGCGTTTTTTATTGATAAACAATATCGAAACGGAAAAATCGTCGTGATCAAGAAATGTGAACAAGAGGTGCAGTTGTCAGTGTTTGAGGTAGTGCGGTGCTTGAGATAGCCGTGCGTTTGAGAGTCGATGCTCAAATGCTTCCTGGTGTTCGATTTATGTATGTTCCGACAGACTGCATGAATGCGCAGAAACTCTACAAGAAATTTCGGGAAACTCAGCGCGGACCGCGGATTGTGCGCGTCGATTGGTCGATTCCCTCCCATCGAGTCGCACGCGGAGAGGCTGGGGCGGTGCTGTGAAGGGGTAGGCTGCTGCTGAGGTTTGTCGGAGGAGGCTGGTGCGGTGCTGCTGGCGGAAGTAGCGGTTCTGTGTCGGAGCATGAATGCAGTGGAACGGAAAATGCTGGCGGAGGGGTCACCAAAAATGACAAGCTAAATGGATTGAAGAGCCTTCGATTGCAGCTCGTGAGCTTTACAATTGTACACTGTCAAATGAACAACCATATTCTTGACAGGATGTCACACATGCACTTTAAGAACAATGGCTAACCTACACTTGAGGAGCTTATACTAGGATTCAAAGGGGGCTAAAAGACTAATAAAAAATCAATAACATGCAAAGATACAAAGACGAAAGATATGGTAGCCTTCCTACTGGCTAAACTCAGTGAATTACACACAGAACAAAACGTGGAAGCCCTACATCCACCGGGCTTATTCAGGTAGAAATGTGCAGCAGAATCGCCATCAGCGGCTTGTAACTGGCCCTTTTCAAAATGGCAAATACCAGCTCCACGATGCATCTTCCAAAACAAGTCCGTGAAAACCACCCAGACGCAGTCCCCCTACAATACAACCATCTTTATGAACCTGTCACAGCTGCGTCTGATCCATGTACCATTGTGGAAGCAACCACCCTCCAAACCCAAGATCACGGCGCCCTCTGATGATTTAGGCTGTTTAATCTCTCAGCAAACGCAGTGGCGGCAGCATTGACCTCCGCTGCCCTCCGCGCCACAACCGCCATTTGCCGCAACAACCGCTGCCGCACCAACTCGGCGCGCACGCCAGCTGCTGCGCTTGTCGGAACTGTTTCACGGGCAGAAGGCCCCGCGCGCCGACCTTGCGAGTTGCCTATACCCGCCGCCAGCTTGAGGTCCCTGTTTAAAACGCGGATACTCGACCGCAAGCCCGAGATGCTGGATTCCAGCACCAGACGCTGCAGGATTAACGGCGACGGCGCCGCTGCTGCTGCCTTCCCTGAACGCGAATGGCCTGTTGTCGCAGTCGATGTGAAGTTGATGCTGTCGAGCCACTTGGAGAAATCAGCGAGGCTGGCTTCAAACGAGGAAACGTGGTCTTGGATGGCGGCAGTAGTAGCGGATGTGCTGCTGTTGATGCTCTTTTCGAGATTCGCAACTTGCTTTGTTATGTATGCGTCGAAAGAGGAAACCGAAGTGTTGAGATTCGCGGTGAGTCTCTTGGCGGCTGCTTCGGTGGCGTTGGCTGCTGCAGCGGCTTTGGCTTCGGCTGCTTTTGCTGCTGCTAGTGCGCCTGCCTTGACTTTGTTACAAAAGTCGTCGGTGGGAAGAAAATAGCAAAAAGCCTCGCTTTCCGACACGAAGTACGCTGCAGTGAAACGAGAATCCAGGCAAACAACGAAGGAAAAAAATTGTCGGGATTATACAGTAGCAGATGGTTTCAAGGAAGGAGAGCAGCGGCAAAAGCGGCGGCGGTTGCGTCCGGGTCAGGGTTTCAAGGGATCTCACCTGTGACGAGGAGTGCGATGAGGGATAACGATGCGGGGGATGTAATACGCGCCATTTCCGGACTTGTGCGGTGCGCATGACTCGACGGATATCGTACGGAAACGGTATTAGGAAACGAGCTAGTTACTGAGGCACGCAAGATTAGACAGGCGACTCGCCTTAAGTTACAGAGAATGGACAGCAGGGACGAGGAAGGAGTTTGAACCAGAAACGCACTGTACCACCTAACGAAGATGCAACTAAGGACTGTACTACAGTGCAGATTGATATGAAGAGGTTGTGGGGGGTTGGGTTGGGTAGTGTTCTGGTTCAGGCACAATGTCGGCGCTACACAACAAGAACTGAAGGTTCTTCCGTGCTGTGTGCCATGTCGAGCGAACACCTGCACTGTACCGTACCCTGCGGAGGTCCTTGTGTCATGTGACGTGTCAATACAGAATCAACTTTGCTCCTCCAGCCCACACGCACAATTTCACATGATGTGGCGGCGACATAAGGGGGCACTTCGACATAATGTACACCTTCTCATAGGGAACTTTGAAAGCATATTGTTGCATTCATTTAAATTAGCAGTAATACACTTCTATCTCAAATGTCATTGGCAAGAGTTCCTCGATCTAAATTCTCCTTGTCTTGCGTATACACAATTTCTACGCACTGGTTGGAACATGACAGATGCAACACCTCATGACAGATCACTGGAGGGATGAAGCATCTAAAATGTTCCTACCATTGCCCTACCTTCACAACTTTCCCCCAATAATCTTCCCTGAGAGTGCTACACCAGCCCCAAAGAATCCAACATACAGCCTGTCATTGGTGACTCCTTGGAGAGATGCCAACAGATCCGCCAAGTCAGCAGCTGACGCCCTCACAACATTCACCAGCGACCAGGTCACAGGGCTCATAGGCACCCACGTGCCAGGGAGGGTGAGGGGTACAGTGGTAACAGAGTTGCAAGGGTTGCCCTTGAAAATGGCCTGAGAGTCCGGCGCCTTGGTCATTCCTGTTACGTAAAAGTAGTATGTAATCATGTAGTCCGAGCCACTGCATGGGAGGAGTTCACAGGCAACCGAGAGGTAAGGGAGGGATGAGATATTGCGGTTTGAACCAGCATTGACCGCAGATGCTGAAGGAAAACGATGAGAAAGCGAAGTGCAAGGAGAAAGCCTGTTAGGGAGAGGGAAATGTTGGACGATGGGGTCAAGACGAGTCAACACGAGTCAACGCGAGTGACTCACATCTTAAGAATCTGAATATCAGCAGCGCCGGCTTGGAGAGACAGCAGGCCGTTGCATGACGTCAGCACGGCGCGCAGCATGCCTGCCTGCTGGGGCAGAAGATTTGCGACATTCGCCACCACGCTGCCGTCCACACCGCTACCGAGGACTCCGTTCACGCCGTTAGCAACCCCGCTAGCAACAACGTTCACCATCGCAGCGAGCGCGTTGACGTTCCCGTTGATTCCCGCAAGTCGCTGCGTCAGATCGGAGATCCGCGTCGCCAACTCCGCGGCGGCAGGGACGCCGGACGCCGCACCAGAAGAAGTCCCCACCGTCGAGAGGGGCTGCGCCCTCGGCGCGAGCGGATCGGAGATCTGCCTCGCCAACTCGCCGGCAGGGACGCCGGCCGCCGCGCCAGAAGTCCCCACTGTTGAAAGCGGCTGTGTTCCCGCCACGAGCGTCGGTCGCGCCCCCCCGGACCCCGCTGCTGCGAATTCCGCTAGGTCCTTTGCAAGCGCATCCATGCTCTTCTTCAAACCGTCGGCAGACAGCTTCGACTCGACAGCCGAAAGCTGAGACTTCAAGGCCGCCAGAAGCGGCGCTAATGAAGGTGACGCCGATTCGGACGAGATATTGGCTCTGGCGAATGTGAAGTTGAGGTGGGCGAGGCTGTCGCTAAGCGCGGCGAGGCTGGCGTTTAACGCGGATACCTGCGCCTGCAGCGCGGTCTCGATAGCGGCCGCGCTGCTGTTGAGAGAAGACACGAGGCTGGAAATAGAGGCATTGAGGGACGACACGAAGTCGGAAATGCTCGAGTTGAGGGATGCGGGGCTGGCGTTTATGTTTGCGGCTGCTGCGGAAGCTGATTTTGCTGCGGCTGCGGCAGCTGCTGAGGCCGCGGCGGCTGCTTTGGCGGCTACTTCGGATGGCTTGAGGTAGGTCGGAAGGCGGTTGGCGGGAAGAAATCTTGCGTCTATGCCTTGAGCGAGAATCACTGCATGTCCAAAGAAAATCATGAAAAGAACAACGAAGATAAGCGAAAGGGAAATATGTAGCTGCAGGCATGCACAGCCGCTAATTGAATCAGTATTAGTTGATGGGTATCAACGATTCGCACCTGTGACGAGGAGTGCTATGAGGGTTACAGCAGGAGCTGCACTGCGAGCCATGATCTTCCGAGTAGAGCGATGCGATGCGAAAGCTGCGAGCGAGCTAAGACAGGCCTCCGAGAAGCTGATGTGTGAGAGGATGCTGGCTTGCGGGAGCACTGAAGGTCGAGCAGAGAGCTGGATAGATTGTATTTGACAAGTTCAGCTGTTGATGTCGAATATTGTGGTTGGAGCTGAATTTATATGTTCGAGGGGCTCGCTTGCTTGGCCTGGCAGTTGGAATGGAAAGGGAAGGGAATTTCCGGTGCGAACCGCGGACTTACGGCCGAGGCGCACGCGGAGTTCTGCATTGCTGATACGACGGAGCGTGAAAGGCGCTAAATGGGAAAGTTTCCACCGAAAGGAGAAATCTGTTATAAGGCTAGTCGGAACGACGCTAAATGGGAAAGTTTCCACCGAATGGAGAAATCTGTTATAAGGCTAGTCGGTGCTTCTATTGAATCTTGCTGATTCTACAATGCGTTTTTTTTTTTCGAAACCTCAAACGAGCTACTGATATAATTTGCATAAAATGACGTACTGACTAAACCAAGGGTGCTCGTATTAAACCATGTCAGAAGGTTACGCTGTTGGCTTCCAGGGTGTATTTTGCGTTCTTAGTACGAAGGCATCCAAAATATCTTACTAGCGTTAGGACATGGCACTGGGAGAAAACCTACGAAGATAATCACGGCTAAAATATACATACTTACACTACCTACAAAAACAGGGTGTCAGATCTAGCTAGTTGTTTAACCATGCCTGCTCCAGCTGCTTGTGCACGGAAGCGCCAAAGCACTTGGCTCTTGTAATGGAAAACCGTGTCGCAGATAGCGATGAAGCCGCGGAGCAACGTGTCGTCTTCAGTATATAGCAGGCATGCCGGTGGCTGGCTCTTCCCAACACCACCAAACCCCACACATTCGTCTGGCAGGGATTAGACGGAGGTGCCACCTCATCTAGCTCTCCGGACAGCTCCTGACCGTATCTCTTGGTAAGATCGCTCTCATCGAGCCGGTGAACCAAAATGAGACCATCTGGATCGTCGTTCTGAACTGCTTGTCTTACGGACGACCAGCTGTCAGCGTGATCTACAATACCCTGTGGAAGCCGCTGTCTAACGGGAGATCGGAAGCCACGGACCCCGTCGAAAACGAGATGGAAAAATGGAGCGTCGTCGAGATGTCGAATAATCTGGAAGGGGAAAGAAGAGAATCGCGAAAGTTAGACTCATATTTGTAAACACTGACGTGAAATTACAACATATGCAATAGATGCAATGATAGCATACTTGACTGATGAAAACAGAAAACAAAATAATGGATTCCACGAAGCTTACATCGGCAGCGGAGTGTTGAAGCCATGATTCAATCTTCTGTTGCGTAACCGCTGGGGACACCATGGAAGGGTCGGTCCAACTCTCAACTTGATCCGAGCCGTTGGAGCTTTGGTAAGCCAACATGGACGCACTCTCCATTCGCACTTCAGGCTGCTTCCGACCACGTGACTTAGCCTTCAATCCAGACGGAAGCGAGCCTATCTTAGGTTGAAGGGACACCTGTGAAAGTTTGCGTGATCTCGATGATGAGCTTTTAGCTCCGACTACGAACGAGGACTGAGGTAGGGTGGCGGTGGCGGCCATGGCTGCTATTTCTGATCACTGGGTTCTGAGGGACTTGGCCAATAGAGGGTAGTAAGCGTGAATAAGCAGACAGATCCAAGAATCCTGGGATGATGGAAAGGGTACGGAGGCCAACCTCTTATCTACCCAACGATTGCTGCAACCTGAATAATGAAATGGCTTTCCTGCAAACCCTAGGAGCCTGGCCATACCTCTCAACTCTCCAGGCTCCATTGCTCCCCACTGCAGCAGAATGGCCTCAGTGTTGGGACCACAGCAGAGCAGAGCAGCCATGAAGCAAAAACGTTTCAGCAAGCTGGAGGGGGTGAGGAGTCAAAATGGGATTCTCCAGAAACACGTTTAGGGCACACCTTGCAGGTGTGTTTGACTGACAAGGAGCAGGCTCAAGGCAATGTTCCCGCCAAAGCGAATATTGCACAGCGAGTTACCGCGAGCCAGGTCAGCCAAGAATTGCTGAAGTGTCGCGGTCTACAGTGGAATACCACGTGCCTGGGAGGAGGAGATAGTGGCCAGCACGTGCACAGAGCGAGTTTGAGTTGAGATAGTTCCGCGTCTGGCGGAGCGGAATGCCGTGGCGGATAGTGTGGATTGTTGGGGTGGTTGCCCAATGAAATGACCCCCGCCCCTCCGACCCCAAGAAGTGCGGTTGACTTCACTGCTTTGGCGAAGCGAAACGTCACCAGCGGTGCACCAATGAATTGCTTCGTGGAAAGTCCGGTGTATCGAAAACTTCATCGCGGTGGGTGGACACGTCGGTGGAACGCTGTCGATGCAATTGGCCGACGAGGACATCACGGGATTGACAACGTAGCGACGCATCTGGACGTCACTCGTTCGGCTTCTCCGAGAGTCCACGCGGCGACCTGTAAACGGCAGATTCAATTGGGCAGTTGGACCACCCACCAGAACCAGCGCGCCTCCTTGGACCATGGAGGCCACTGCTGATTGCTATCACCGCCACGACTTCCAGCACCACCATGATATGCAAGTAGGAACGACAGCTCATAACGGTTCTGTTCTGTACATCATGATTCTCAATAACATAACGGGTCACGTACCGTACAAGGTTGTTTCACCTAAACACAGTTAAGAGTGTGTTACGTACTCTGAAGGATTTTTTCGGCATTCCTTACCGCGTGCTTCAACACCGCGTACAGGACCAATTGTTTGTTCGCTCATTACTTCTAACGGGGCTTCGCCAACCTTCGCGCGCTGCCTTTGCCAAACCATGCATCGCTGGCCTGGCCGAGTCGGCCTACACCTCGGGACTAGCCCGAACCTCGATGCCATCGTCGCACTTGCTAGCTCGCACGCACTGTGTTACCGTTTGCATTTTCACTTACAAGTATTAACTCATGCCTTCGCTCGTACTTTGTACGCATTTGACACTTTAGTGCAATCCTCGCTACCTCACTACATTGCGCCAGTAACAACCCCACTTTTAGGTGGCCAGTCGGTCAAAACAACCCCACTTTTAGCAACTGAGCAACGGTCTAGGCAACCAGCAAGGTTGACTGCACATTAACGAGATGGGCACAAAACCAAGGAGTTTCCAATTTCCAAATTGGCCGGTCGGGGCCAGGGCCCACGATATCAGGGCAAAACATCCTGATTACCCTGATTTCAGGATGGTGTTTTTATTTTGCCCTGGAATTTCAGAATGACGCTGAAATTTACCCTGTGACGTCAGGATGATCCATGTGTTTTGCCCTGAAATTTCAGAATGGTAGTGAAATTCTGCCCTGAAGCGTTAGGGTGAATGTAGAGGGATGCCCTGACTCGTGGGAAGGGGAGAAGGGGTGGAGGGGGGAGAGGGGGAGAGGGGAGGAAGGAGGCTGGGGGGTGTGTGTGCTAGTTTTGTCCCCAACCCTCCCCCACCAATGTTTTTGCTCAGCTAGTAGAAGTGAAACCAGTGAACAACCTGCTCCTTTCGTGCCTTCCCCTCCATCCTCTCTAGTGCCTTGTATTTTTTGCCCTGAACCATCCAGATGAATTTCTGCTGGTGCCCTGAAATTTCAGGATGGCCAGGGAATTTCGCCCTGAAAAATCAGGGCATTTCGGAGATTTTTCAGAAGTTACCCTGAGGGCTCAGGATGCCCTAAATCCTAGCACAGGCCCTGGTCGGGGCAACCAAGCCAGCCAGGCTAACGACATACATAACACACCCTTAGTGTGAATGCAGTAGTGGTAGACGTGAAGCATTATTTCCAAATTCCAGGTCCAAAATGCTCTGGGATGAGACAATACTACTGTGAGTGAGGTTGCTTATGTTGTCATTAGGGTCTTGGGCTAGGGCTTGAAACCTGCAAGACGACGAAAAGATGAATACGTTTAATGAATAAATGAAGGGCCGTACACAATAAGGTAAAAACTTGCTAGGGATGCGATTGATGCTTACTGAACTGTAACAATCCAGCGTAGAGCATGTTCCTCCTACCTTGATTGCACAAACTCGACATCAGCAGAACGCCTTCAAAAAGTGTAGCAGTTGAGATCCAATTTCTTCCTGCGCCCAGAGCAAAGAATTGATAACGAAAACATGAAGGAAGAGGGGAACAGGGATGGGGGCGAGTGAAAGCAGGGAGCGGAATGGGAAGGGGGGGGGGTGGGTGGGCAATGAAAGTATGGAACCACACAATATATTCCAATTTGGAAAGGTAGACCCAGCGGATGGAGGGAGAAGGATGAAGGGATGGAAGAATATGACGTTTGTAGGGTCCGACTGCGACTGAGCTGAGAGGCGAGGGTGAAAAAAAAAAAAAAAAAAAAAAAAAAAGGGGTGCGGGGGACTGTCCAGGGTGGGAGGAAAGGAGAGGTCAACGTTCGCCAAACAGGAGGGTGGGAACAGGGGAGAAGTGGGATAAAGCATCGTGGAGGAGGAAAGGGGTGCAGGGGGAGGGAGAACAAACGATTGCGCCAGGGCAGAACGCTTGCATGCGCAGCACCATACCCACTTCCAAATGCCGCGTCCAATTAATGATTCCGCCACTGCAACCTGCAGACAGAAGCCCATATCTTATCGTCCGAGGCATCTCCATGCAAGGCATTTTTGAATACAAAATTATTCTAAGAAAGAAGCCAATCAGGGCAACCCATAAATAGAACCCATACCTCTAATCATCCCAGGCGAGTTTTGAGACGTCTCAAAACCCAACCCATACCTCTAATAATCCAAGGCCTCTCCATGGAAGGCGCTTTCAAATGCATCGCTCCGAGCATCCTCATAGACCTCCTCCTCCTCCTCCTCCTCCTCCTTTTCCTCCACCTCATGGTGATCTCCATAAGCCTTCGTGTCCTCGTTATCCTCCTCATCCCCCTCATCGTCCATATCACCTCCCTCCTCAAAATTGTCCCATTCGGAATCAGATTCCTCCTCACAACCCTCCGCAGGCCCCCCATCAGAGATGCTCTCTCGGGCATCCCAAAACTCCTCCTCAGGCCCTTCACGAGTGACGACAGCCCCTGGAACCCCCCCTCCCCTTCCCCCCTGCTCCTCCTCCTCGCGATTCTCGACTCGTGCAGTTGCCGCTGGTCGGACAGCAGCCAGAATTTCTCGAGGTGCAGCAGTAGCTGAAGCCGAGATTTCTCGAGGTGGTGCGGAGGGAACGCGTCGGGGAGCAAGCAGCTTGCGGCCGAACTTGAGCACTGCTGACTGGGTGTGCTGAGCGGCTTGCAGAGTCTGGGCTTGCAGCTTGCGCGCCTGGGACAGTACATAGTGCCGCGTGCTGATGGGGAGGGGACAAGGAGGGTTGGGTGGTGTGTACTAGAAACCTGAGCAATGCTGCCTGGCCGCTCTGAGCGGCTTGCAGAGCCCGAGCTTGCAGCTTGCGCACCTGGGACAGCGCATAGTGCCGCGTGCTGGTGGGGAGGGAAAGGGGGGTGGAGGGGGGGGAGTGGGGCCGGAGGTACACATGAGAAACCTGGGCGTGCTGAGCGGCTTGGAGAGACCAGGCTTGCAGCTTGCGCGCCTGGGACAGCACTTAGTGCCTCGTGCTGGTGGGGAGTGAATGGTGTGAGTGTGGAGAGGGAGAGGGGGAGGGGAGGAAAGGAGAGGGGAGAAAAGGGGAGGGGAGGAAGGGGGACGATATATGAGAAGTTTGAGCACAGCTGCCTGGGTGTGCCGAATGGCCTCCTGGAGGAGTCGGGCTTGCAGCCTGTGTGCCTGGGATAGCACATAGTGCTGCGAGCTGGTGGGGAGGGAACGGCAGCAAGGGGGGACGGAGAGGGGGGGATATACATGAGAATCTACTGCGCAGTTGCCGCCGGGGCATGCCGAATGGCCTCCTGGAGGAGTCGGGCTTGCAGCCTGTGTGCCTGGGAAAGGGAGGGAAGGAGCGGCACACAGGCTGCAAGCACATAGTGCTGCACGCTGGCGGGGAGTGAAGTTGCGGATGGAACAAGGGGCAAGGAAGACACTGGGATGCTCAGAATTCACATGCTTGTATCACATGATTGTCGCACATGGTTGTGTTACATGGTTCTGCCCGATGGCCCTTCTACCACAATAGAAATCTGAAGTATGAATAATATAATAAACTCACTGGAGCCAAACAGATTGACACAGCAATCAAGCAGCGCCGTGTACGGAATCAAGAGCAGCACCTAAACTGGTGTCATTAGCAGCAGCGTTGGAGCTAGAGAACCAAGAGCGGACGCACGAGCAAGAGCTAGAGTGAGGGAGAAAGAGAATCAACTCATTGCAGAATCGAATCAGAGGCATCACCTAACGCGGTGTCTGTCTGTCAGCCGCAGCTACAAAGGAGAGTGAGAGTGGAAGAAAGGGAGTGAAAGCGAGAGTGAGGGCGAGAGAGGGAGAGAGTTGGGGGGAGAGAAGGAGAGGGCACCTGAGGCGGTGTCTGTTAGCAGCAGCTACGAAGGAGCCAACGCCCTTGAAGATCCACATGAAGGCTCGGAACAACTGTGGAGAGGGGAGATGGAGAAAGGAGAGGGAGGGAGAAGGAGTGTGAGTGGGAAACAGGTGAAGATAGAGGTAGAGATAGAGAAATCAAACGCCAAGAAGGCCATCGGAGGAGCCAACGCCCGTAAGGATCCACATGAAGGCTCGGAACAGCTGGGGAGAGGGGAGAAAAGGGGGAGAGGGAGACGGATAAAAATAGTGGCAGAGATAGAGAAATCAAACGCCAAGAAAGTCATTGAAGGAGACCACGCCCTTGAAGATCCACATGAAGGCGCGGAACAACTCTGGAGAAAGGAGAGGGAGAGAGAGGAGGAGAGAGGCAGAGACAGAGAGATCGAGGACAAGGGAGAGTCTGAAGCCATACAGATGTGGCAAAGCTTTATGCTGATTGCAGCACATGTCATTTTACCGCCAAACAAGTTGAGAAACAGTTTTGAGGCAGGCTACGAATCCTTACATAGGGCCCAAAACTGTAATTGTAAACTGGATGTTTCATGCCTTACGCCCAATGTCCAATGTAAACGAGTGGGCTAATCCCAACATCTCTGGTAACCCCACCTTCTGGAAGAGGTTTTGCCACAGCTGCAGCAGGGAAGAGGATGACGACTTTAGAGTTGGCAAAACAATTGTATGTTTCTATTGCCTTGCACACAACACAACCAGAATGAGTTGATTGATCTCAACATCTCTGGTAACCCCACCTTCTGGAAGAGGTTTTGCCACAGCTCCAGCAGGGAAGAGGATGACGACTTTAGAGTCAGCAAAACAATTGTATGTTTCTATTGCCTTGCACACAACCAGAATGAGTTGATTGATCTCAACATCTCTGGTAACCCCACCTTCTGGAAGAGGTTTTGCCACAGCTGCAGCAGGGACGAGGACGACGACCGAACCACCGCCGAACCTGCAGCCGAGGAAACCTGCCCCACTGCCGAACCTGCGGCGGAGATCTGCTGGCCCACAGCCTTGGTCGCCGAGCCTAACTTTCGAGCCCCTCCGACCAATCGCAGCGAAGAGGTAACAGCCTTGGAGATATAGGAGAAAGTATTAGCCACAGATTTATAGCCGTAAGCGAAGGTGAAAGAGAGGGCTTTTATGGAGTATGTGATTGGTTGCAGGAGGGTTTTAGAGAAGTATACAAGGTGAAGCGAGAGGGTATTGGAAAAGTGTGTGAAGTGAAGGGAGAGGGATTTGAGGGAGGAGGCGAGGGAGAGCGTGAGGGAGTGGGAGAGTGAGTGTGAAAAGGTGGAGTAGAGGAAGGAGGCGAGCTGCAGCAGCACACGGAGCAGCTGGAGGGGGAGCTTGAGGAGAGAGAGGAGGGCGGAGAGGAGAGGCGTGAGGAGAAGGTGGATGAATTGGTATAGAGGCAAGATGATGGCTCGACCTGGAGAACGGTGGGGAAGCATGGTGGGGGAGATGGAGGGAGAGATGGAGGGAGAGATGGAGGGAGAGATGGAGGGACAGGGTGGAACACATGAGGATGTGAGAATGAGTAGTGGAAGGGTGATGGGTACACCGGAGAAATGGTAGGATGGAGATAGATCAAACACGGTGAGTAAAACACAGTGAATGGTGCATGAAACACAGTGGAATTCAGCTCGTCCACCCCACACTCACCTGTGCCCCACACTCACCTGTGCCCCACACTCACCTGTGCCCCACACTCCTCCATGAGACACAGTGCGGCTCACCTATGGCCCAGAGGGTACGAGCAAGGAGCAGCAGCGGGTGAAGAAGCATCCCAAGCAGCCGGCCCAGCAGCACAGCTTGAGTATACACAAACGACAGCTGAGCCGACAGCAGCTGAGACACTCTCCACACGCTGCTGCTGCATGCTTGTGCGAGAAGCCGATACAGCAGCAGGAGGTTGCTGTACAGGAAGGAGACGCGAGAAGATACTAGTGAAGACAGCAGCTGTACCAGCTTCAGAACAGAGCAGCTGTAGGCCTGTGAGAGGAGCTGATAGAGCAGCAGACAGCCTTTGGAGATGGTTGCTCCGGTGGAGTATACAGCCAGGTAGCATGCATGCAGTAACTGCCACACCGGGACGAGTGTGTGCTGCCCCAGCAGCCACAGCGGGCGCATGGCGTAACCGAGTAACTGCCCGCTGCTGGTAACCAGTTTCCCGAGGGCTGACAAGAGGTTCCATGCGGTGGAGAGGAGTTTGGAGAGGCATAGGAGGACGGTGTGAGAGAGGAGCGAGCAGGGGTGCTGGAAGGGGCGGAGGAGGAGAGTGAGAAAGTAGGAGAGGAGGGAAACCGCGTGAGAGATGACTTTCCAAGAGGAGGATAGCCACTTAAAGGCGTGCTCCCAGTTCTGCAGGAAAAGAATGGTGCCCAGGTATCTTAGCCTCGTTCCCATGTCCCATGTGCCTACGACAGACCATATTGGCCCCAGCATCCGCGCCAGCATTTCCTGTAGCACCGGGATGTTCTTATACAGGTCGTAGAATCCGATGAGGACTGTAACGAGGGAGACTATAAAGCACGCGTACCCGACGAGCGGGCGCATCCAGGGGCGGTAGAGGGCCGAGAGGCCGGCGCAGGATTGGAGGAAAACGGCCCAGGCAGGCAGGCCGGATTCTAATTGGTGGAGCAGGCGCTGGTCGGTGGTGATGACGTCAGCGAGCGCGGCGGGGAGGTGTGGGTGGGTGAAGCGGAAGAGGAGGAGGGTGTCTGGGTAGGTGATGGTGGTGGGAGAGGTGCGAGGGGCTGGGAGGAGGGGTTTGGGAGAGGAGAGGAGGGTGGAGGGGTAGGTGAGGTGGGTGGGAGGGGTTCGGGCTTGGTGGGGAGATGGGTGGTGGGGGGATGGGAGGTGGGGTCTGGGGGAGGTGAGGAGGGTGGAGGGATGAGGGTGGGTGGGGAGGGTGCGGGAAGGAGAGGTGAAATGGTGTCGTTCGTGTTGGTGTTGGTGGTGTTGGTGCTGGTGTTGGTGTTGGTGTTGGTGGTGGCGTTGGTGTTGGTGTTGTCTGGCAGAGGAGGAGGTGGAGCAGTAGCTTCTGCTGTCGGTCTCAGTGTCACTGTCACCATCGTCAGAGCAAAAGCCGCGGCTGTCACCCTCAGTGTCCCCACCGTCAGCATCATCATCCGAGCAGTAGCTTCTGCTGTCCATCCCACCGTCAGAACTACCCCCGCCACCACTACTGCCACGACTGCCACCACCGCCACTACTGCAACTACCGCAGCTGTCATCAAAAGATTCACCCCTCTCATTCTCCTCCTCCTCGTCCTCCTCCTCCCACTCCTCCTGCTCCTCCTCATTCTCTTCCTCCTCCTCGTACTCATCATAGTTGAATGTATCTCCACACTCGTCACAGCCAACATCACCACTGCCACCGTCACCATCATCACCACACACATCCCCATCGTCGCTCAGGCAGTAGCTGGTGCTCACAAAGAGGCGGCGAGGAATGAGAATACTGGGGAACAGCTCTCGTGCCACACCACCATGTACAGTCAGTGCCAATGCTGCTTCCGCTGAATCTGCTTCTGCTGACTCTGCTTCCGCTGACTCTTCTTCCGCTGACTCTGCTTCCGCTGACTCTGCTTCTGCTGAATCTGCTTCCATTGGATATGCTTCCACCTCGTGAAACACGCTTGACACTTCCCCATCTTCGCCCCTTCCATCACTGACAGTCAGTGCTGATTCCGCCTCTACCTCCTCCCAGCCCTCTGGACTATCCCAGGCCTCTGCTTCCTCCTCTGCTCCCACCTCTTCATACACGCTCGATACTATTTCATCCGGGTCCACGTCATCATAAACACTCCATGCCATTCCCTCTGCTTCCACGTCATCATGTACACTGGATGCTACCCCATCTGCTAGCATCTCTCCATGCGTACGACTAGATACCATCCCTAATGTATCCACGTCATCATGTACACTACGTGGTGCCTCTGCCTTCACCTCCTCCCAGCTTTCTGAGGTATGACGTGGCTCTGCATCAATATACTCACACGTACTTGATTCCACCCCATCTGCTTCCACATCATCATGTACACTGCACGGTGAATGTGCTTCCACGTCATCATGTATGGTTGATCGACTCCCACTATACAAAGGCGACTCATTTTCCCAGCAGGATACATAGCTAGGCTCTACGCTCATAAAGGACTCCCTCTCGTCTGCCGCACCACCACTCCCATTCTCTAACAGCCAAGCAGGTTCGTTTCCCTTTGGCATTCTCCCCTCTGTCGCACCACCATTCGTCAGCTCCCGACCTCTGCTATCATCGCAGCACTCACCCTCTGGTTGAGCGTGGAAGACAAATTCGGTGTCCAGCAAGCCCACCTCACTGCAACCCTCTGAAAACCTCTCACTGGAGTCACTCATCCATGCGTGCTGGTCCGAACTGGACTGGCTTGTGCCTGCCTGCTGCTGCTGCTGGCGTTGCTGCTGCTGTTGGTGTAGAGGGCTGCACAGCTGGGAGCATACAGGAGACATGGGAAAAGGAAGAATAAGGAAGAATAAGGAAGGGCATCAGAAACGGGGAGGGAGGGTCTGGGGGACGAGGAAACGAGACAGAAGGAACCAAGGGAGTGAGTGTGGGTGCTCGATAAGCTTTTTACTTCTCAGGGAAGAAACTTAGCTTGCTTGACGCACCTGCGAGTCTGACAGTCTGCTACGTGTGCTTTGAAACGCCACCAGCTCCTCCCTTGTTCCAGCATCAGCATCACCATGAGCATGAGCAACAGCAGTATCAGCGGCAGGGTGCAGCCTGAAAGGTACTGGAGAGCACGGGGCCTGCGGTTCATGAAAGAGCGCTTTTTTAGCTAGCTTTTGAGAACTCCCGAACGCTTCTCTAGGACTGCAAATGGGACTGGTGATGCACATCTGGCCTTGCCTGCTCCACAAGCCACTGCCACAAGCAGCATCAGCGCCGAAAGCAGCAGCACGAGCAACACCAGCATGGGCAGAATCACCAGCACCATCAGCAGCAGCAGCAGCAGCAACAGCAGCAGCAGCAGCAGCAGCAGCAGCAGCAGCAGCAGCAGCAGCTAGTCTGCTGCTTCCAGCGAAACTGCTTGCAGGAGTGCTGTACACTGCTCCAAGACTCCCAGCAGCAGCACCACCGCCGCCACAGGCAACAGCAGCAGCAGCAGCAGCCCCAAGAGGAGACTTTGGTCCTACCCGGTTCCCACTGAACGTCCTCCCGCCCATCCACAGACCAGCGGAGACACGTGGACTGGCAGCAGGCACAGAGGCGTGGGAGACGTTGGTCCCCTGCAGGGGAGTGTTTCCATGCAAGGGTGTGTTCCCATGGGAAGGTGTGGCGGGGTAGAGGCGCAGGGCATGCGCACGCACCGCCTGGTCAAACGAGTCAAACTCGCGCTTTACCACTCGCGTCACCTCCATCGCCAAATTGGCTTCCGCCTGCCGCATGAAAGGGGTGAATATGGTTTCCAAAAAGGGGTGTGGGGGGTTGTGGGGAAAGAGAAAAGCAAAAAGCCTAGGCTGGATTATGGCTTGACCACGGCTGGTCGAAGGCAGGCAGGACCAGTGGTGGGCTAAGGCTGGGCTGCCAGATGCTTGGATGGACTTACCGAGTAACGGAACAGAAATGGGTCCAGGAGAGCATACCTGCAGTTCATTCTCGTATCTGAGGCCACGCACGTCGCTCCAGCTGACTTCAAGGGTAACACAGCCACAGAGGCCGTGAGGAGGCGGGTGCAGGTGCGAGAGCGCCCTTCGCCTGGCGTGCAGGCGGCGCACAAACGCGTCCAGCGACCTCCACTTCACCCTCCTGTGCCGCCCACTGCTGCTGCCTCCACCACTCCCTAGCCTTGGGGTTCTGCAGACAGCAGCAGCAGCAGTGGGCAAGCGGAAAGTTCAGCACGCATGAAAGAGGAGATAGCATCAGTGAATAGAGGCGTCCAGCGACCTCCACTTCACCCTCCTGTGCCGCCCACTGCTGCTGCCTATGCCTCCGATGCTGCCCCCTCCGCCACCACTGCTGCCACTTCCTAGTCTCGGAGTTCTGCAATGAAATGACACGGATAAGGAAGAAAAGCAGCATGCGGAGCGGATGAATGGGAGGTGGACTTTGTGGTGATCAAAAGTGTGCAGTAGCGGCCTCTGCTCAACCCTCCCGTGACTTCCACCCTCGCCCAGAAGTTGGTTTCGTTATAAGTCCCTTCGTATAACAGCCTAAATTCTTCTACATTTCAGTTCGTATCTCCCCACTGACCTGCAGAAGGAGTCCTCCAGCGCCATGATCTCGCCAAGAATTTGATTCGCTAGAAACCTCATCAACTCACAGCCTAGCTACTTCTACATTCAGCTCGTATCGTCTGACTGACCTGCAGAAGGAGTCCTCCAGCGCCATGATCTCGCCCAGCAGGCGGTCCATGAGGCTGTTGTTGGCGAACGGCGAGTCGTACCGCGGCGCCTGGAGTCCATGGGAAGAGGGGAAAGACACTTGAAACTCGAGTGACAAAAGAAACAACGAATGATATCAACCATTCCTGTACTGAGGAGTAAATGAAGTCATATCCTGAATTTTCTTGTAATTAATCCTGCGTGGTCGAATCAACGTATTATGCTTCGCTTTCGTTTTCTGCCTGAATCCAGCTTTCCAATCAAGCTGAATCCGTGAACACCGTGGAGTCCAGGCTGACCTTGGAGAGCAGCTGCCATAGTCCGGCATCTTTCCCGCTGCTGCGCTTGGGACACCACGGGCTGTTCACGAAGAAGACCAGCTGACCGGCCTCCTTGGCGATGTGCACCGACAGGATGGACCCTTTCGACGTCTTTCGTCTGCAGGCACCATGGATTCCAGCAGCAGTGGTAAAAGGGTAAAGATTATAAGTAACTTTCTTCTAATTTCACCGTGACAATAACGGCTACTGTTTGAATGGACCCTTTCAACGTCTTCCGCCTGCCAGCACCACGAATTCCAAAAGGAGTGGTGGACATTAGGCGTCCGTTTCTTGTTTAATAAATCGTGAGATTAACGGCTACTATGTGGAAGGACCCTTCCGAAGCTTTACGCCTACCAGCACTATGGATTCCAGCAGCACTAGCTAACACCGGGCGTCAGCTTCTCCTTAACCGTGGGATCAAGAAGGGTACTGAATGAATACATTCTTAAACATAGACCGCTAAGCAAAGTGTGTACGATCAGCGGTGAATGAAATCCGGACCAGCTATTTGTTTTAATAACTTGCACGCACTACACCGTTATCTGATCGTCGAAATCTATTCCCGATGCTCGGTAAAAACGTTAACCGCAGAGACCTTACCCTATCTGTAGGGAAGTGATTGGATAGAGAGTAAGAGGAATGCCAGTTCCTGCCTCATCGAGCTCAGCCATTCCCAGACGAAGAGGGAATTTCAGCTATGGACGAGTGAGGTTACACAACTCAACATCAGAGCTCGTTCCCTGTCATCAGTCAACAAGAGATTGAACAAACTGATGTCCTTTTGATCGTTGAAACTTGAAAGCCATAACAAAGTGCTATGCAGCGCAAAGCACAGCTCTGGTCTGGATGGCTTCTAATCGTCAGGCAGGTAGGTCTGGTTGGTCAGGCATTACTGATGGGGTGATGACGGTGAAGATGCTGCCAGGAACGGCGAGGATTATATCCTTTCACTGGTGAACGGACAAGATTGAAAGACAATGGTTCAAATGATGTGGTGTTTCGCGCTGAAGCTTGTTCAAGCGTGGCTTGGGTGGCCTGAATCTGGTGGGACAGAGGGGTGGATTGCGGAAAAGGGGGAACGCGGGAAAACGGGGAAAAAGGGGGAAGAAGGGAAGGGGACAGGGGGAGGGGGAGGCTGGTGGGGGAGGCTGGTGCAGAGCAGACAGCAGAAGTCAAGCTTCCGTTCCGCTGAACGCGCTAGCGGAACGCGATCGTCAAGAGGTGCCTGGCCTGGACTAGGGATAACGCAGATCTTTCATGACCATGGTTGGGTTTGAAGAATCTGGGTCAGGGAAAACGCGATAATGATATCCTCGGGTGGAGGTACAGCAAAGGGTGAAGGGAATACGAAATAACATAGATTCCACACCACATCGTTTAGGCGAGAATACAAGCTGAAGAATACAAATAGGGTTTGTATATCTGAATATTCAGGCAAAAATGTTTGACATTATGTGAGAGTTCAGTGGATGTGGTGTGGCCCAATCAGTGGATTCAAATTTACCGCGTGTAAGCATACCTGGTACACCAGCAAAAACTGGTCTGAGACAAATTCTTCACCTGACCAGCCATGGCCGTCGCATTCTCCACCGCAATGTGCGGAGCTCCTAGCGCGTCTCCCTGGTATCGCTCGTCTTTTCTCCCCGGATTCAACCCCTCCTCCACCCGGTCTTTTCCGCAAGCCATTTTCACCCTCAACACTCCCCACTCTCACCCTCACCTTTCGCGAATTCCGCGTCATGGAGCTCGCCACGTCAGCACTTCTCGCGCCTCAGTATCAGAACCTTCCGTGCCTTATTCCAGCGCAGGAGGAAAGAAGCACTATTTATCTAGCGCGAATGAGGTCAAGAGAATAGCTAATGCCATTACCCCTACGATCAGCACCCAGAATCCTGCGGGTACTAATCAGAGACGCGGGGTAGCTTGCGCGGCAGCGGCGATGCGCGGGGCTGGCAAGGCGGGGAATGGAGAGGCCGCGCGGATGGTGATGGTGCTGGGGAAGGGCGGCTCGGGAAAGACGACGGCCTCCGTGCTGCTCGCCCAGGTGAATTGCTGCTCGCCCAGGTGAATTGCTGCTCGCCCAGGTGAATTGCTGCTCGCCCAGGTGAATTGCTGCCCTCCAGTAGAATTTCTGCTCTCCAGGTGATATCCGACAGGATCAAAGGTGGCATTTTGTTGGTTCAGGTGGCGTTCTGTTGGTTGCCTCTGGTGACATGACATGCCACAGGCTCAGTTCATTTTAAGGTGACCCGTTTTGAGTCCATTCTGTGCATTGCATGGAAGGTCTAACTTCAGGTGTTGAGTGCAAACAGCGTATAGCGGTACAATGCAATAAGTGATGCAGGGGCAGGAGGGCAGACAATGCAATGCAATGCAGGGCAATGCAGTGCAATGCAATGCAGTGCAGTGCAATGCAGTGCAGTGCAATGCAATGCAGTGCAGTGCACTCCGCTTCAATTCAACAGAAAGTCAGACTGCAAGAAGAGATGCAGGCGGCAGTACAGTACCGCCCTGAAGTGCATACAATCGCCCACATGGCCCACATGGCCCACATTAACACATGGCCCACATTAACACATGGCCCACATGGCCCACATTAACACATGGCCCACATGGCCCACATTAACACATGGCCCACATGGCCCACATGGCCCACATTAACACATGGCCCACATTAACACATGGCCCACATTAACACATGGCCCACATTAACACATGGCCCACATGGCCCACATTCGGCAAATCAGCGACTCCCTCAGGCTAATCTAATCAAGACTTGTCTATGTTCCGCCCACTCCTTGCTCCCTCTCCTCCTCTCTCCCCATTGCTTTCCAGCGGTATGCAGCAGCGGGGTACCGCACGTGTCTGGTGGTGCAGTCTCAGGATCGAGTGGCTGACAGGCTGCTCGGCATGCGCCTCACTCCCTCGCCCCAACCCGTGCCCGTGCCCGCTGCTGCTGGTGGTGATGCCTCACAACAGCCACTGCTTTGTGCTCTTCGTGTGGAAACCACCAAGGTGCGCGTTGAGTTGAGTTGAGTTGAGTTGACTTGAGTTGACTCCAGCTCTAACTACCAGCAATGGAAACCTCTCTTGAGTCAACGAATTTGCTGCTGATGATGGATGGATGGCAGGCCATGCCATGCCAAGCCATGCCATGCCATGAAATTCCGATCTGGGGTCTCTCTTGCCTTGGAGAAATCCTCTGCTCTTCCTCTTTCTTTGTACTCGTCTCTTCTTTTTCCCATGGATCTTCCCCGGTCAGCTGCTACTGACGCCTCTAGCAAGTATAAAGAAACCATTCCTTTGATGCTGCTTCCTTTTCTTACCACCCTTCCCCGGTCAGCTGCTACTGGCGCCTCTAGAGATTATAAAGAAGGCGGACGAGCGACTGGGCATCACACAAGGCGCACTGGCAGAGGTGAGGGTGATTGTACGAGTGTGTGTGACTGTGGGTGTGGGTGCCTCGTGATTACCTTTGAGGATTCTCCAAAGCGGCATATACAAGGCGCACTGGCAGGCAGAGGTGAAGGTGATTGTACGAGTGTGACTGTTGGCGAGGGCAATGAATGAACCAGCATGCTGCTTCTTAATCACCCAGTGTGATTGTGTGAGTTAAATTCTCTGAGTATCATGCCCTGGCTAGGGCTTGACAGGTGGTGGGTGAGGTGAGGAGCTGTCAATGCTGCCGCGCATGGTCGCGTCATGGCAGTCGCTGTTGAACCACCAGTGTTGTTTCTGAGCCACCAGAGCACTCACTCACACTACCTTTGAGAATTCTCAGAAGTAACACCAATTTCATGGCAGTCGCTGTTGTTTCTGAGCCACCAGAGCACTCACTCACACTACCTTTGAGAATTCTCAGAAGTAACACCAATTTCATGGCAGTCGCTGTTGTTTCTGAGCCACCAGAGCACTCACTCACACTACCTTTGAGAATTCTCAGAAGTAACACCAATTTCATGGCAGTCGCTGTTGTTTCTGAGCCATCAGAGCACTCACTCACACTTCCCCCATGCCCATCCCTCCTCGGCCCCAAACGCCTCGACTTCATACCACCCACTTCCCTAACCTAACCCATGAGTCACAAACTACAAACCAAAAACCTATGATAGGTGGTGGGAGAGGAGCTGTCAGTCCTAACAGGCACGGGCGCGGGCGCGGTCATTGAGACTTCTCAAAAACCAGAGAGTTCCTCATGGCAGTCGCAGTCCTGGTTGGGGAACCAGAGCACTCACCACCCACAGCCACACCCACAATCGTAACCACAATCCAACACCCACTCCCACTCCCACTCCCACACCCACTCCCACTCCCACTCCCACTCCAACTCCCACTCCCACTCCCACACCCACTCCCACTCCCACTCCCACTCCAACTCCCACTCCCACTCCCATACCCACTCCCACTCCCACTCCCACACCCACTCCCACTCCCACACCCAAACCCACTCCCACTCCCACTCCACTCCCACTCCCACTCCCACTCCCACTCCCACTCCCACTCCCACTCCCACACCCACTCCCACTCCCATACCCACTCCCACTCCCACTCCCACACCCACACCCACACTCACTCACACACCCACACCCACTCCCACTCCCACACCCACACCCACACTCACACCCACACTCACACCCACACTCACGGCAGGTGGTGGGGGAGGAACTCTCGGTGCTGCCCGGCATGGACGCAGTCATGGCAGTTGCAGTGTTGGAGCGCATCGCGCGTCCAGCTGGCGGCCTGCTGGCCTTCGCCACGTCATCAGGGCCACGATCCACGTCAGCGGGGAAGAAAGGGGCGGCAGGGGGGGAGTGGGTGTACCCGTGGGGTGATGAGGAGGCGGAGGTGGTGGTGTTCGATGGGGCCACCACCTGGGAGGTGCTGCGAATGCTGGCCAGCCCAGAGAAAGCCAGGTGAGGCGTGGTTTAGTGCAGTGGAATGCGGTGATATGCGGTGATGTGCGGTGCAATGTGGTTAGCTGGGAAGTAAGGGGCAGCAGCAGGGGGAGTGGGTGTACCCGTGGGGGAGGGGAAGGCAGAGGTGGTGGTGTTTGATGGGGCCACCACTTGGGAGGTGCTGCGGATGCTGGCTAGTCCAGAGAAAGCCAGGTGAGGCGTGGTTTAGTGCGGTGGAATGTGATGCTATGCGGTGATGTGTGGTGGAATGTGGTCAGCAGGAAAGAACGGGGGAGCTGCAGGGGGAGGGGGAGTGGGTGTACCTATGAAGGGAGGAGGCGGAGGTGGTGGTGTTTGATGGGGCCACCACTTGGGAGGTGCTACGAATGCTGGCCAGCCCGGAGCAAGCCAGGTGAGTGGTTTAGTGCGGTGTAATCTGGTGATGTGCGGTGCTGTGAGGTGCAATGTGGTCAGAATAGCAGCAGCACAAAAGGGGGGAGTGCGTGTACCCATGGGGTGGGGGGAGGAGGAGGCGGAGGTGGTGGTGTTTGACGGGGCCAGCACCTGGGAGGTGCTGCGAATGCTGGCCGGCCCGGAAAAAGCCAGGTGAGGCGCGGTTCAGTGCGGTTGAGTGCGTTGGAGTGCAGTGGAACGTGGTGGACTGTGGTGAACTGCAGTGCAGGAATGTGGTATGCAGGAGGGTGGACGAATGGGGGAGGCGGAGGTGGTGGTGTTTGACGGGGCCAGCACCTGGGAGGTGCTACGAATGCTGGCCGGCCCAGAGAAAGCCAGGTGAGGCGTGGTTGAGAGCAGTGTAAGGCAGTAAGTAAAGTACGGTGGGGTAACGTGGTGCAGAAGGACTAAGGGGTGAGGCAGAGTCGGGGTGGTGAGAGGTCAAGAGGATGTTGCAAAGCACTGAGGTGAGATGAGATGTGGTGCGCTGCGGTGCGGTGCGGTGCGGTGGAGTGGAGTGAAATGATTTTTTGTAGAGTGTCCTGGGTGCTGTAAGCACCACAATCCCAACCCAACCCAGCTTCGGTAAACCCATCCGAACCACGTGTATTGTGCACACACTCCCTTCGCAAACCTTACCAACCCAACCCAACTGGGCTGGGCCAACCCATCCCATCCCAGCCCAGCCCATCTGAACCCAGCTCAACCGCGCTCCGTCCCTCAACTCACCTCTCTGCCCTGCCCCATCCGAGCCAGGTGGTATCTGAGGCGGTTTCGCACCCTGGCAGAGCGGACGGACATCGGCCGTGTGGCTCTGCCCTCCGTGGCCCGCCTGCTCGACTCCATCGTGGGCTCCTCCAAAGGGGGGAGTGGGAGTAGCACTGCTGGGAGTGGAGGGGAGGATGGGCAGCGCAGCACAGCGGAGATTTGGGAGAAGCTCGACTCCTTCTTGTCTGTGAGTATCTTGACATCCCCGCGTGGCTCTGCCCTCCGTGGCCCGCCTGCTCGACTCCATCGTGGGCTCCTCTGAAGGGGGAGCAGTGGGAGTGGTGGGAGTGGTGGGAGTGGTGGGGGTGGTGGGAGTGGACGATTCTCCTTCTTCTTCTTTTTCTCAAACAACGGCCATTTTTCTAGGATGGCATGTCTGCTGATCGGCCAATGCACGTGTACGCTTCCTCTCCCTCGCCTAAGGACCCCCCCTATCACACACTACCGCCCCCCTTTCTTGCTGCTCTCTGTTTCTGACCCCTCAACTCGTCAAACCCCTACCTCTGATCCCATCCCTTCCGCTCTTCCCCTTCCCATCATGCCCAACTCTTTCCATCAAATCTCTCCCCTCTCCTCCTCTTCCTCTTCCCAACCTACCTGCCCCTCCCAACCCCTCAGAAAGCTGTCTCAGCCTTCGCCGACCCGTACCGCACCTCCGTCTTCCTATTGGCCGACGCAGCGAGCCACTCATCAGTCGACACGTGTCGCCGCATCTGGGGCTGCGCAGTGCAAGCAGGCGTGGCCCCTTCAGGCGTCTTCCTTCTCCCATCAGAGGCTGCATCGGAGACAGCATCGGGGGGACTGGCAGAGAAGTTTTCTCCGCTGCCCGTGGCGGAGCTGCCCGTGGTGTCAGAGGAGGCACCGGCGGCTGTAGCAGTCGCGGCCGGGCAGATGAACGATGGGGCGGTGGCGGTTATGAATGGGGAAGGTGCGGGGAAGGCTCCTCCGGCGGTGGATGTGGACGTGGCGGCATGCACGGTTCGTCTGTTTCTGCCGGGATTTGACAAGCAGGAGGTCAAGCTGCAACAGGTGAGTCGGTCGGTTTGTAATCATATCTTCACCAAGGTTCAAGATATACCCTCCCTTTATGTGGCTTTCCTTCCTCATCTAAGTTGACTTGATTCTCACTGACCAACACCTTGGGGGTTCGACAAGTAAGAGGTTGAGAAGCAGCAGGTGAGTCGGTTTGATCAAGGGATGCTTTTTCACCAGGGATCAATGTGTTTCTTCCTCTCACATGACATTCCTGCTCATTGCCTGTTCTTCCCCTTTTTACTCCCTTCCCTCCTCTTCTCCCCTCGTTCCCCTCCTTCACCAAACAATCACCAGAGGAAGGGCGAGGCAGAGCTGCTGGTAGAGGCAGGTGGCCAGAGGTGCTGTATGGAGCTGCGTCAAGCCGTCCCGAGGAAGTTACACATGCTAATTGCCCCTAGTTCTCCACTTCTTGGCCTTACGCCCCCATTTTCCCTTCGCTTTTCCTCCCACCACACATCACCAGTGGAAGGGCGGGGCGGAGCTGCTGGTGGAGGCGGGGGACCAGAGGCGGTGCGTGGAGCTGCCTCGAGCCATTCAGGGGAAGGTGGTCGGGGCGAAATTCGACCCCGCGGGATTCCTTATAATCACGCTCAAGCCTGCAGCAAAGTAGCAGAGAAATTCATCGCGAGGAATTCATCTTCACGCTAAAGCCTGCAACCAAATGGCAGACAACATTCGATACAGCAGGATTTTTTTGCAATCACACTCCAGGCTGCAAGGCCTGAGCATGTTGTAGGTTAGAGGGAAAAAGGGCATCGAGATTCTAGCTGCGGTAGCGGTTGGGGTTTGACAATTGAAAACTCTCAGAAGTGCCTTCTAGCACACAGGCCCGAGCAAATGGGAAGTGAAGGAATTGGGGCATCGATTTGCAGTAGTGGTTGGAGATTTACTTATGAGATCTCGAGAAGAAATGGGGAGAAGTCATCCCTAGAGCATACGCTAGGTCAGATGGGAAAGAAATGGGGCAAATGGCATACCGTACGACAAGAGGGGGAGAAGGGGGGGAAAGAGGATTGAGATTTCACCACACCAGCCGAAACTCTTCCCTCAGTCCTCTCACCACAACCAGACGCTGAGCTGGGTGTCAAAAGGGTATCAGCCAGGTGCTTCCATTCGCAAGAGAGAAATTCAGCAACTGGTTGCATCACTTGTGTAACAAACTTTTTCTAACAAACGTTTTGCTCCGAAGGTGCAAAGCTTTTGAACTTCAAACGAAGCACCCCATCAACGAATTTCCATTGGCTTTTCACTGGTTTCTGGTTGGTTTGTTCATCCACCGTCAAAAGCACACCATACCACAGCACCGCACCGCAAATCCTCTCACCTGCAGCATCCTCCGCCAAAGCCAGCACCGCTCTCTAGCCACCCGTGCGACTCGACGGTGGTGGATAAACCAATCATAGGCGCACAATCCGCGGTCCGCGGTGAAATACTCAAATTTCCAGTTCCGGCTCCAACCAGCCCACCTGCTTCGTGCAAATTCAGGGGGCTCGCCCCGCCCACTCTCGCGGAAACCTACAAATAGAGCACCAAGAGTTCATTTGGGTATCAACTCTCAACTCAACATCACAAACAAGCCTCCGCAACGATTATCTTGGAACCAGAACAACACACTCGCATATACAGCGCCTTTGGTTCTCAATTCTTATCACTCGCGGATCACTGCGCCTCCCTTTACGTGTCATATTTCGAAAACTCAGCCTCCCTGAGCTAGCTCACCAGTTAGCACTTCTATCAGTAGCTCCACCTAATTCGCGTCCTAGCTCGGCAAACATGGCACGCGCTGGAGCTCCTTTCACGCTAGGGCTTGTCGCTCTGCTCGTCACAGGTGAACCATTTTCCTAGCCAGCGCGTTTTCAAGACGTGTCAGATAGCAATGAACAAATATTCTTCGCGCGTTAAGCATGAAAACCATTTCATGCACCTTCAGTTGCACATCATCCTAAAAAACTCATCTCTCCTACTTTTTTCAATGCATCATTGCAGTGCTTTTCGCAACGCAACGAGCCGAAGCAGGCCGGTTTCTAGTGCCCAGTGCCGGTTATTTACCCACCAACCGCCTTCCAACCAACTTGAATTCAGCAATCTCGGCCGCAGCCGCAGCAGCCAGAAACCCCGCAGCCGCGCTCAGCTCGACGCTCTCGGGCCTCCAGTCGTCCCTCAGCGGCCAGATCGCGTCTCTCGACGCGCTTCTCAAGAAATCGCTCGAGAATATCTCTGCGGCTCTCAAAAGCAGCCCGTCAGCTGCAGACAACGCGCTCCAGGCGCAGATATCCGCGCTAAAAGCGAACCTCGCTGCCTTAAACGAGAGCCTCGTCAATCTGAACGCGCTGAACATCTCCGGATCGGATTTGAACGTCACGGATTTGATTTCCTCCAAGATCTCTGGAATCCGATCCAACATCTCCTCGATCACCACCGGCATCGCCGCTCTGAACAAGGACCTGGCCTGGATAATCGGCTCGGGCGTTAGCTCGGGCGTAGGCTCGGGCGCAGGCTTGGCGGGCGCGTTGCGTCCAGCAGCTGGGGCAGCTTCCGCGAGTGGGAGCGCGGCGATCCGCGCGGCGGTGAGGCAGCGGCTGGCGGCTGTGACGCAGCAGGTCGCGGGGCTCAACGGGAACGTGTCCGCCCTCGCCGGGATGGTGACCGACTTGCACAGCGCGCTGAGCAGCGCTCTGGATGGCGCTCTCAACAGCGCTATAAATGGCGGCGCTTTGAACAGCGCTCTGAATGGGGGTTTGAACAACGGCGGCGTGGTGGGGGATCTCGCGAATCTTCTTCCTCAGCAGGCGGGCATGCTGCGTGCCGTGCTGACGTCATGCAACGGCTTGCTGTCTCTCCAGGCTGGCGCTGCCGATATTCAGATCCTCAAGATGTGAGTCGACTCCCGTGAACTTGTGTTGTCTTATGCTGACCCACTGTCCAGGAGTTCCCCTACCCACCAGGCTTTCTTATTTGTTTTTTTGCTCTACACCATTCCACTGTGAACATTGGTCCCTATCTCATGCTAATTCTCCTACCCTCCTCTCTGCTACCTTCCGTTTTCCCCCTACGCAGTGGCTCGGACTACATGCTCACATACTACCTGTACGTAGCAGGAGTGACCAAGGCCCCGGACTCGCAGGCCATTTTCAAGGGCAATGCCTGCAGCAACAGCGCTGCTTCAGCAGCCCTCGCCCTGCCTGGCACGTGGGTGCCCATGAGCCCGGTGTCCTGGTCGCTGGCCAATGTCGTGAGGGCGTCAGCTGCTGACGTGGCGGATGTGCTGGCATTGATCCAAGGGATCACCAATGATGACCTGTTCCTCGGATTCTCCGGTGCTGACGTGGCACTCTCAGGGAGAATGATGGGTGGAAGGGTGTGACTTGCACTGCATGTCAACAAGAACAGGGGTTGGTGAGGGAACATTGCAGAAGCACCACTCATGCTTGGAGCTACACAAATAACGTGCAGCTAGATGCAGTTGTATGTCACGGGATAGGAGAAAATGCTTTTGTAATGTTCCATTCATCAAAAGGAGTCTTGTTTGATGGCCCGTTACGTGATAGCTATAAAAACCTCCAGTTAGGTCTTGGTTGGAGGTAACAGGGACAATCCCATGCTTGTGCAAAAGGCCTCACTTTCAAACAAATAGTTGAACCTTCCTTCCTTGAATAACAATCCCCAAAGTGTGGGAGAAGCTAAGGTACCAGAATGGTCCCGTAAGATCTTGTACCGTATCAGCATAGTGCTTCAGGCAGGAGCCCCACCCCACCACTGGACACTGATTCATGCAGCTGCATCAGGAGCAGCAACGGAGCAGCAGCAGCACTTCACACAGGCCCCCCATGAAAGAGCACCAGCTGTGGCAGCAGGGAAAGAACCAGCTCCCGATACCCATCCCACTGGCACACAGGATTCCTGAGGCGCCTAAAAAATCAGCAGCAGCAGCGCTGCTTCACACAGGGCCCCCATCAAAGAGCACCAGCTGTGGCAGCAGGGAGAGTACCAGTTCCCGATACCCATCCCACTGACACACAGGATTCCCCGTCAAATCAAGCACTGCCACCTGGCACAGCCCGCCTAGGCACTGCAGCACCACCCACAGGTTCGGATGCTGCCGAACCAGATCCAGGGTTGCTGCTGCTGGTGGTGGTTCGGCAGCAGGTTCGGCGAATGGACTATGTGGGCTACTGGATTGTGTGGAGTTGACTTCACACTGTAGGAAGCTAGGGTAATTTGTTTGTATGTTGGATTGCTAATCATGATCATTTCCTACAGATATTTCCGTTCGACATTGTGGTAGAATTTCTCTAGCGTGGAGGGAATCTGATATGTGAGTTGGGCCAGCCAGAGCCCATAATACTCATGTCTGGTACAACCTAGGAATATATTTCTATATATGAAAGTGTACAGCGTTGCGAAACTCAAACGAAAGGACTGTGTCTTATCAATGCAATTCGCTTGCCATTTTCGGTGCAATTGCCGCGTCCATTCAACTGCATTCACGCTCCCTTCCGCCCTCACCATCCTCCGACCGACCGACCACCAACCTCTCGCTCACAGCACCGCTCCCAGCCACTCCGCGTGCGCCTCGATGAGAGGAGGTAAACCAATCAGACGCACGCAATCCGTGGTCCGGACAGAAATTTCCGAAATTTCTAGCTCCACCGCACAAAAGCCTTGCAATTCCAAGGTCCCCGTGCTGTTCGCCAGCAAATCGTTTCTTCAACAAGAAACGATGGCATCAGCGTCGCGACCGCATATGGAAACGGGGGCGGAACCCTCCTCCTAGGTTTGGGCGAAATGCCGCCCGAGAAACTACGCGCCCCCGAAATGCGAAATTTCGCAACCGCATCGGGAAGGTCCACCCCCACTTTCCCCCCAATGGCGTGTAATTTGCTCATCACTGACCCTCTGAACAGCAATGCGTGGGCTGTGCCACCGCTGCGCTTTGAAAAACGCGGCATGACGGGGGCATGGCTAGGGGATGTCATTTTGCCTGGGGACGAAGATTCGTCCCCGCTTCCCGATGCCGTCGATTCGTTAGAATTGGTGCACAAAAGTGGGCGTTCGCCAGACGCCCACTTTGTTTGTTGGTCTGGCCAGTTGGTGAGGCTCGGCACTTTTTTCACGGGCTGACCAAGCTGACGGAGGTTAACGAACTCTAACTGACGGGATCAGGAAGGCGAGACCCACCTTCCTGATCCCGTCGTTATCCCCCCGTTTTTGGATACATTGGTGCTGGCGAACAGCACCATAAATTGAGCACCAGAAAAGATCCTGGGCATCAACTCTCACAACGCAACCCAAATCAGCATTCCTTCCAGCATCGCACTACCTCAGACACTGATAACAACAACTCGTGTACACATTTCGTCGCACTCACCGATCACAGCGATTTTCGTTCCAATCTTGATTGTTAAAACCCGCAGCCTGAATTACAAACCGCTTGGGAGGTGTTAACACCTGGGGAGCCGAACCTCAGGTTTGCTTTCTTCCCGATCATGGGAGGGCCAACACTTTCCAGACCCAAACCTCTCTGGTTACCATGTGTCACTCGCACAACGTACTGAGGTCGTAGGCAGCACAGGTTTGGATCGCTCGGGTCTGGGCAACCCAACCCGGGGGACTTTTGCCCCAAGTGTGCACACCTTTCTGAAAGTTGTAATTCAGGTCGACAAACTTTGCGTAGTTCCTAGCGGACTGGTAGTGACGCCCATAGCTTAGAAGCTAGACACCTCGCATGTCGCCACCTGTGATCGCTTTTCCGCGAAATTTGCTCCCACCATTCTTCGCATCCTCTATTCCTCCCGGAGTTACGATCCGTCGCCCTAGCTTTCCGATAGCCTGAGTCGAACTTTTGGGTCGCGTCGCGGGCCACGCTCACCCCGTAACTTAGGGTCACCGCCCTCTGCGACGAAATCGCTTCTGGTCGTAGCTGCGCCGCCCTCTCTGCCCATCCCATCGCGTTTTGCGTCGCTGAGTTCTGTTCAATTTACAGAGCAGCATCGCGGCCAAACTGCATCGTCCGCACTCACTCCCCTTCCGTCGCAAACGCTTAGTCCCTCCTGTCGCCCACGCGGAGTCCCCTAGAACAAGCGCGCTCATTCCCTTCCGTCGCCCACGCTCACTCCCCTTCCATCGTATACGCGCACACCCCTCCGTCGCCCACGCTCACTCCCTCCCGTCGCCCACGCTCACTCCCTCCCGTCGCCCACGCTCACTCCCTCCCGTCGCCCACTCTCACTCCCTCCCGTCGCCCACGCTCCCTCCCTTCCCGTCGCCCACGCTCCCTCCCTTCCCGTCGCCCACGCTCCCTCCCTTCCCGTCGCCCACGCTCCCTCCCTTCCCGTCGCCCGCGCTCCCTCCCTTCCCGTCGCCCGCGCTCCCTCCCCATCCCTCACCTCCCCATCCATGCTGCGGTTGCTGTAAATGATGCGGAAACCTGCCCTATGTCCCCCTCCCCGCGTCACCATCCCCGCCTCTCCCCCGTCAACCCCACCCCATCCCATGCCACTAGAGACGGGGTGGACGCGGGGCAGAGGAGTGTGGGCGTGCAACCTGCCCCAACACCGCTGTCACGGGCTCGTCGTCTAGCTGAGTCGGGGGCGCCGTGACGTCGTGAGAGGCACCATCTCCGCCTCACCCTCTTCCGCCCAACCCCATTCCGCCCCACCCCATTCCGCCTCACCCCATTCCGCCTCACCCCATTCCGCCTCACCCCATTCTGCCTCACCCCATTCCGCCTCACCCCATTCCCCCTCACCCTCTTCCGCCCCACCCTCTTCCGCCCCACCCCATTCCTCCCCACCCCATTCTGCCTCACCCCATTCTGCCTCACCCGATTCCGCCTCACTCCATTCCCCCTCACCCTATTCCGCCCCACCCCATCCCCCTCACCCTACCAGCAGTCATGTCTCCGGTCCTCCTCTCCCTCTTCCCCCTCCTCTCATTCCTTACTCTACTCCCCCTCCTCTCCCTCTTCCCCCTCCTCTCATTCCTTACTCTACTCCCCCTCCTCTCCCGGGAAAGAGCGGCAGTGGCAGCTTTCCCCCATCGCACACGCGCACTCCCCTCCGACGCCCACGCTCTCTCCCCTCTCGTCACACACGTGCGCTCTCTCCTCTCCTCCCCGTCCATCATCACGCCATCCCTCAACTCCCCATCCCTCATCTCCCCATCCCTCACCTCTCCGGTCTTCCTCTCCCTCTCCCCTCTCCTCTCAATTCAACTCCCTGCTCCCTCTCCTCTCCCTCCTCCCTTTTCACTCGCCCCGCCACTCCCGCCGTGCTTCTCCCTCCCCCCATTCCGCTTCGCCCCATTCCGCCCCACACAATTCCGCCCCATCCCATTCCGCCTCACCCCATTCCGCCCCACCCCCTTCCGCCCCACCCCATCCCGCCCCACCCCCTTCCGCCCCACCCCATTCCGCCCCACCCCCTTCCGCCCCACCCCATTCCGCGCAATCCCTCTTGTCGCGCACCCTCACTTCCCTCCGTCCTGGATGATCACTCCTTCCCGTCGCCCGCGCGCACTCCCCTCGAACGAGCACGCACACTCCCTTCCCGTCGGCCACGCTCACTCCCTTTCCATCGCCTTAGCGCAATCCTTCCGTCTCCCCATCTCCTCCTCTCCCCGTCCCCTCCTCACTTTATCTCATCTTCTCCCCTTCCCCCCCTCACCCCATCTCCTCCTCACCCCATTCCGCCTCACCCCATTCCGCCTCCCGTCCTCTCCCCATCCCCTTTTTCTTACTACCCCTCCTCTCCCTGTCTCTCCTCTCCCCATTCCTCCTCTCCCCATTCCTCCTCTCCCCATCCGTCCTCTCCCCATCCGTCCTCTCCCCATCCGTCCTCTCCCCATCCGTCCTCTCCCCATCCGATCATCTCCCCATCCGGTCCTCTCCCCCTCTCCTTTAAGTGTTTCCCACACTGTCCTCGGCCTTGCGGCACCTCCCCATCCCGTGTGCTTTGCTGCACTGGGGAGCTGCCTGCACCTTCCTGTTTGCTCCGCACTTTACCTCTCCCTCCCCTCCCCCAATCGCTCTGCGCGGCCTCATTGCAGGGACTCCTTGCAGGGAAAGAAGGGGAAAGGGAGGAGAGTGAGGCGGAGTAGGGGAAGAATATGATTTGATGGCGAAAAGAGAGTGCAAGAGGGAGGGTGTGGGTTAGGCCGCCTGTGTCTTCCTCCTTTTGTCTCCTCTTCTGCCGTCCACACCTCCTAACATCCTCTGCTACATCTCTCCAGCTGCAACTTCGCGAGCTACACCTGGCCATGTACGTCACCCCTGTATCGCCCCATACCCTCCCAATTGTTTTTTCCCATCCCCCTCCCCATTGTCTCCCCTCTAAACCTTAGATCCTATTAATCCCCATCCCCCTC